TGGAAATGCTCGCTATGGAAATGCTCGCTATGGAAATACTCGCTATGGAAATGCTCGCTATGGAAATGCTCGCTATGGAAATGCTCGCTTTGGCAACGCTCGCTTTGGAAAGCAACATCTAGTTAAAAAAATAGGCCAAAACACCCATCACGACACCATCTACGCCGATGACAGCACCAAACACACCCAGCCCAGTATCTAAGCTCTTCCAACAAAAGCCCGCCACGACTCCGCAGATGATGGATGAGATGAGGGATAACAAGACAAACGCTGAGAAAATCAGTTTGTCGAGTTCCAGGCGAACTAATAACACATCTCTAGTGCGGAGAGTGCCAGGCGCCTCGGAGAGAGCTGTAAAACGGCGATACGAGGTGACAAAGTCGCACCCAGCTGGGAACTCTCTGGGGTTGTTCAAAGCTTTTGTCAGAACGTGGCAGCGATATTCGGCTCCAATGTCAACGATGCAAGGGAAGTCTTGAGAGATGGCCTCGATTGGTACCTAGGAACGAGTTACGAGTTAGCCTCTGCCTAGTTCAAAACGCGAGGATGGAACACAAACTGGGCACATTGTTGCGTTATAAACGACCGGCGTTAGAAAGGGAACAACCTTTATTAAATTGTCTGTCCACCATCCGCGAGAGGTCACAAGAGACCTCTTGAGTTTGAGTATGACATTAATTGCCTTGTCGGAGGATCGAAACGGAACGTGATAAAGAAGGTAGTTGCCATGGCTGAACATGACTACACGGAGGTCGATCCATGTTGTCTCGAATTGGTGCTCCGTTTCAACATCCCATGACGAAGACATGACGGGTATTTGGCGTTGGCCTTGAGATGATGGGTATGTGTAGATGGGATTGCGACCAGAATTTAATGACAGCTTAAGCAAACGCCGGTGCCGTCTTGTAAGGATTCCATGTTGTTAGGGATATGGGGGCTCCCGAGAGGCAGCTGAGAGAATCACTAGGGCGTGGCAATGAGATGATACAGTGGCTCTCCTATGATGGGAGAATACGGCAAAGCATCGTATAAGTTAGGAATTCCGCGATGTTCGGGAGCTGGGGATTAATTGTTAGGAACGCAACGGCAGCCCGGGAACTTCAAGCCAATGAGATGCAGCCAACAGTGCCCCAAGTTAGGAAGACATGCTAGAAGATGGAGCCATGAGACCGGCAGATGCTTACCTACTTGTATATACCTGTATGTATACGTAGAATTGGGTACATCCATGCCAATTGTTAGGAATCGACGGATGCTGACTTGTGCTTTGCAGCAGTCCGCCCCTATTGATGCATGCGAGGCCTAACAATCCCCAGATTACTACTGGACATGGACCGCTGTCAGGTTCGGGCAGTTTTTGAGATTTAGGAATGCACCCCCTGTCAGTCGCAGTCCAGCCTGCTGATGCACCGCCTGCCCAGCTACACATGTTAGGCTGCAGTTGGTCCGCCTTGCACTCAGTGCTGGTCGTTTGGTGACAGATTCCTAAAAGCGCGATGCGGTCACTAATACGACGACCTCGAACGCTGGTACCGATTCCTAACACTTGTAGGCGCGGCTCAATCTAAGGCACCTGCATGTACATGCATGGTGACGAGCCCAATGGGTGGCGTATCAAGTATATTCATGTGGTTCGTCGGTGCAGAGTATATGATTCTCCTGCTTCTCCCCAGTTCATGTCGTTCTTGAATTGATTTTCCGTGCAACTCACATTTTACCTCTTACAAATTGCCTCTTGACTGGCTACCAACACGCAATAATTCTGGGCGGCATCACGCCGTTGTCGACGCCATGAGCTTGGAGCAGTTGGCTCCGTCCCGGCGCAAAGCCTTCTACTTTGCTGAATACTTGAGAGGGTGAGTGCTCCTCTTTCGGCATCTGCAGCTTTCTATTTCGCATTACGCTAACCATTACCAAGAGGATTTTTCATGGCTCATTCGTGCGGTAACGGCCGCTTCGTCCAGGGCGATCCAAGCGCAGACCTTGACATCTGCTTCAACCTCCGCAAGAACAAGAGCTCACTCATCATCCAAATCCTCGAAGAAAAGCTCATACGGTGGCTGAGCGCAATTCCATCGCTGCATGACAACCATTGGCTTCGGGGTGGCTCCGCTGGTAACCTCATCCCCATGGACAGTCTACTACCACACTACCCAGAAATGAGTGCCAAGTTCGACCAGGATAGAAGGGAGGGACGCACCTTCGAAACCCTCGAGTTATTTGTCCGTCATTTCCTCCGCGAAGGCTCGGTCTTTGCCATCTTCGGCCTTGGGAATCTCCATAAAAGTGGCATTCTTACAGATCTCCATTTCTATGATATTCTAAGTCAAGACCGCCCTATGTCTGAAGATCTCGACCTTCTAGACGAAGCCGTCGACGAGATTGACGAGCGGGATATCAAAGGGCCAAATAACTCTTTGCGCTTCGTAGATGAGCCTATCCAATCCCAACTCCTGACTGCTATCAGCCGGCACGAGGCCCAAGAACGCAGAACCATAGTGCACCGATTACTCGCAAAAGTTGCCAACTCATGCCAAAAACTGTTCGAAGCAAGCATCATGCAGAACGCCTCTGCTGGAGTCAAAGCATTTGTGAATCAAGTCGGCACCAGCGCGTCCGTCTGGAAGAGCGGAACACGTGCGACTCGAGATATATGCGAGGGCTACATGCCGCGCAGCCTGTCAGATATCGTCAGCGCGTTGCAAGTTGCAAATGCAATGCGGTCAGTCGTACCACCTTCAAGACTAGGGTACTCGAAGAAAGAGTAAGCAGACAAGAGCCCTTAACTCGCACACCTAGCTGACAATGTAGATTTATTGATGACATTCCACGATGGGCCTCACTTTTAAGTCCGGATGACCAACACCTGTTCTTTGAAATTGCTTCCTATCTCTGGGGAATTCCGGCCTCAACAGTCGCCCATGAAATGGCAGACAGTTTCGCGCGCCCTTTGATGTCCTTACAAGACATAGACGAGCGTCCCGTGAGGACATCCGGGCTTTTTGACCATGGGTCCGAAAACTCTTATCGGCTGCAAACTCTACGACAACAATACCTTTTCGGCACGCCTCCTACCCTTACGCGTGAAAGAAGACTTACTTTAGCCGAGTGGGATCCATTAGCCAAGCAAACGAAACAAGGGAATTCGCCCACCAATGCCCCCAAGTGCTTAATGGCAAGCGCCAATTCCCATCATCTCACATTCGTAGTTAATAGTGTTAGTGTGGTTGATACCGTCATGGACTGCTCGCCCAGTGTGTCGTCACATCTGACGGCTTCATCATCAGCTACTACCAATTCAGCCTCCTCGGTGATTACAGCTACGCATGGCTCGACTACCATGGGCACTTCGATAGACGGAACGATTTACTGCGAGCATTGCACCTCAACATTTAAACTCGGAAAGAACGGCCGCAGGGGCCAGGCCAGCAATCTCCAGAAACACATGAAAATTCACCATCCCGAGACTATACCAGATTACCACCGAGCAATATACAACTGCCGTTATGGCTGTGGCACGAGGGATCCTAATAAATCGAATATCAAGGCCCATGAGAATAAACACTGCGCGAACAGGAAAGGGAAGCAGCCAAGACGCCATGGCAAGTGGAGACAGACTATTACATGATAATCTTGATTGTAAAGCACCTCAGCACACTGGCCTTCTGGCTATAAGTGTATACGCCTATTCTTAGAGGATCTGCTATTATATCTATATTTCTGTAGTAAGTGCTACTATATCTACATTTTTCTAGTAACTGCTACTGTATCTACATTTTTTTTTAGTAACTGCTGCTATATTTACATATTTTTAATAACCGCTACTATATTCATATAATAAAGTTCTAATGCTGGCTGAATATGTGATAGGGATGTCCCTTGTCGCGTTGGTCATTCTCGAGTAATTGAAGTCCAAGGGTATTCTATCTAGCACTATTATAGATCGTTAAAGCTATTGGTGAATGTATTAAAGAAGCAGATTCTGTGTTTTCTAACATGTCTGTATAACAAAGGGAGGTACTTGCAAAGAGCGCATCGTCCAACTTATGCACTCAGTAAATATCGTGGCCTTTACTCGATTGCAGTGGTAAACATTACCGCATAGTTTCCTTCTCATCATGACTCTCGCCATCCCCATCGTCAAAAATGTAAACTTCGCTCGCTTCCACCAGCTCACTTCAACCCAGCCCCAGAGTCACAACCCCCGAAAACTCCATCAAAAGCCGAGACAACTCCTCCAACCAAACAAACAACCCATTCGACTCCGGATCCCACAGTCCGTATTTCCGCATAACACCCTCTTTGCGACGAAATCATGTGTTCCCTCCCCTCCTCTCTGCTTCGTCCGTCAAATCTATGCAGTTCATCATGTTTGCCTCATGAGGAAATTGCGGGTCCTTCCGAGTGCTGACAGCTGCTCTAACTAAATGAGGTAGAGAAAGAATGAGACTAACTAGATACGGTAAAGACGCATCTCGGGATTTGCGGAGATCATGATTGGAAGAATTTCAAGTTCGGACAACCTTAAACGAGAGGCAAAGCGAGCCCCCCTGAGGAAGAAAGTTGGATATAGAGGCTTAAAGCCGGTGGTGGGGATGGAGTGCATGTTGATGACTGGAGGGCTAGCCTTGTTGGGAATTATTGGCGAGGCGATTGCCTCGGATTGCGATGTTCATGGCCTTGTGTGTGTTTGCGTGTAAGTCGAAGAGTATAAGTATCGACGAGTCTTGTCTTGTATATCTAGACAACACTGTACTTTATCACTCAATTCAAACAAGCACTCAATCTTCTCCTGCTCCAATATCTTTCACTTTATTTTCATTACCCTTTCGCAAGAACAGCAACCATGACTACCTGGGCCGGCGGCATCATCCTCTCCTCGGAGTTCGTCCTCAGCAAATACGGCGACTCCCTCGCCAACAAAACAATCCTCATCACCGGCGTCGCCAACGACTCCATCGCCGGCGAACTCGCCGTCCAAATCAGCGCCTACAAGCCCTCCCTCGTCATCCTAACCGCCCGCTCCGAGGCCCGCGTCGAGCCCGTCGTCGCAAAGATCAAGTCCAAGAACCCCGACGTCTCCGTCCGCTTCCTGAAGCTCGACCTCTCCGACTTAAAAGACGTCCGCAGAGCGGTCAAGGATCTTAGCGACGTGCCCAAGATCGACCACTTCGTCGCCGTGGCGGGTGTCATGGTGCCCCCCTTCGCGAAGACGGCGGACGGCCTCGAGTCGCAGTTTGGCGTCAACTACCTGGCCAACTTCTTGCTGGTCAAGGAGCTGCTGCCCAAGATTAGGGCTGCGGGGCCAAAATCCTCCATTGTCATTTGCTCTAGCTCCGCTGTGCGAAGAGGCCAGGTCCACTTTGACGACATCAACTATAGCGTTTGTTTTCCTCCATAGGACGTGTTGAGAACGGTCCCGATTGCTGACATATTGCCGTTCTCACAGGACGGTGAAACATACGACCCTCTCGATGCATATGGCCAATCAAACGCCGCCAGAACAATCTTTGCCCTGTTCCTAGGCGAGAAGCTCAAAGGAGAAGGCATCCGCGTCTTCAGCGTCGACCCCGGTGGTATGTATCTTGCAATGAAACCCCCCGTAGAAAATCGGTGAGCCGTGGGCTAACCAGTCGCATGTCGATTCAACAGCGGTTCAAACAGGATTGCAGCGCCACTTTGGCGGAGAGTTCCTTGCTCAGATTCAGGTACTGCGCAAGTCGACTGAACGTAAGCATGCTTCCCTCGTCCTCCTTTCTTGACCGATAATTGACTGAAAACAGCACTGCGCGATCTCGATGGCCGCCCCTATAACATGCCAAACTTCACAGGCACATCTGAGGGCGCGTCGACGCTCATCACGGCCATGGTTGATCCCACCATCGAGGAGGCCCACGGTGCCTTCCTGCACCAAAATGCCCCTGCCGAGGATCATTTGACGTCGCACATCTTGAACCGAGATAACTGGACCAAGCTGTGGGAGCTCAGCGAGAAGCTCATCGGAGAGCCCTTTACCATCTAGGCTCTGTGTCCCCCCTCCCCTCATGTACACTCCTTCAGTATGGCATCGCGCTGGCCCGTCGATAGAAATCAAGAAAAAGCCCATATCTCACATCTTAATCAAAGAATCTTCAATGGGCCTTCCTGTCTCTTTGCCCGCCAGTAATTTGTCGTCCTGATGATATCTGGGCACTCGTTCACTATCCACGGCCACTTGCGTATCATGGTGGCCGAGATTTCGTACGACGCGGGATCCCAAGCCTCTCCCCACACCACCATCCCAATCATGCCGTCTTTGTCCGACTCGCCAGATTGTAGAAACATGTGATGGCAAAACTCATCCTCATCTAGATTATGCAACCGCCTCAGCAGCGCGTCCCGCAACGAAGGCTGAGCGCAGACGTCGATCCAGGGGTGGTGGATGACTAGCTTCTGCAACGCGGTTGGCTGCAGGTTCGGCGGTAGATACTGCAGCTCTCTGTCGTATGAAGCGCTACTACTGCCAGGCGCGGAAGGCAGAGCAAGCTGGGTGCCGGCGCCGGTGTAGAAAGGCGAGATGACGTCTTCGGCCATGATATCCATCCCGATGCCGATGACCGCAGCATTCACCCCCGCGGCCCGGATCACGTTGAACTGCATCACGGACAGCAGGAGCTGGCTGTCCAGCGTGTGCTGTGCAACATGGCGAGTAACCAATTCATACAGCCGACGGAAAAAGATAGCCCGTTCGGCCGAGGACAATTTGCAAAAGAAGCGAAATATCTGGTCACGGTGCTTGGGAGAGAGGAACACGTCGGTGAAGCCTGTACCGTAGTAGTCGCGGGTAGCAACAGTTAATTCCGAACCGGATTCTTTCCAACTATCCAACGACGACGTCGGCTGCGTCTGCGCAAGACGCCATTGATACCGCTTCCGATCCAGCGGCCGCCCGTCCAGCTGCGCGTCCTCTGTTCTCGGGTCTACATAAAAGACCCATTTGCTAACCTGATTCTTGTCCTGCTGCTGCTGCTTCTGCAGCTCCTTCTTTCTCATGCCTTTTCATTCATCAGCTCCCGTGAATCAAAAAGAAGATCCAAGTAGATGGGCAGTTAGTTAATCGTCACTTACGGCTCGCCCGCTGATTCAATCGGTTCTGCAATCTCCGCCTGTTCGCTGCACTCAATGTCTCCGTACCCTCCGCCTCCTGGCTTGTAGTGTCTGACATGGCGTCTCGTAGGCTCTTGACGCTACACGCTATGCCTTGGAGTGTAGAATGATGCTATCATACCAACAATCGCAAGCATCATGAAAGCGGCCGAGATGATGTTGATGTTGCAACGTTGGGTGGCGCGCAACGTTAGTTTAAGTCCGGACCCGGGTCCCACCTAAATCCGCTCCGCAACTCTCCAGGATTCCGTATATACGGAGCTGCTGTACAATCTACACATCCTGGCATTGTTACAGCACATTGTTACACTGTCTGTTGCATCCAGCTTTGGTTCTGATCTCAGCTATACCCATGTATATGCATTTACGATGCCTATCACAGTGCACAATCCGTACTGTTCCGTACACTTGGCCTTGCTTGTTGCTGTCAAACCTGATACTTTCACGGCAACACTATCCAACTGCTGGCAAAACGACATACGCTCTTGTTTTCCATCCGCTCGCCTTCTCAAAGTAGACAGAGCATCGCTACGCTATGATTCGTTTATTGTACAGGTGCCCGCAATATTCCACAACAGGAAATTTTGCACTCGTGAGGGGGTGGGTATGTAGTAGATGCTGGGTGCTAGTGACATAACTCGTGTACCCAAAGGAAAAAGAATATCAGATATCGCTCATGTGCCCTCGCCAGAGGGGGTAAAGGAAAAGGAAATATGAAATCACTCCAAGGAATCACACAAAAAGGGAAAAAACAAAGAATGAGGAAGAAGAAGAAGAAAAAAAGAAAAGAAAATAGAAAGTAAAAGGAAAAACAGATCAGAGCGCTTATTCCATCCGGGCAGACTTTTTCGCTCTTCTTATGTAAATCATTCCCTGTGTACCATCAATGGTTCCTGTCCCGTTTCCGTTCCCATTCCCGTTCCCATTTCCATTCCCAGCTGTCCGTTCTCCGGTTGTACCGGGGCCGGCTCCGGCTCCGGCCCCGGCTCCAGCGGATCCTCCTCGTATTGGCTTTTTATCTTCTTCGTTAGCATCGTTATTCGTTTCCATGGCCGCTCGGGTACCCGCCGGAACGATGACGCTAAGCACGCAGTCGTCCAGGTGCTCATAAAAGTCCTGCGGTGCGGCAAAGCGGTTGTTGCAGATGGAACATATGGCGCTAGCCCCTGAGTTAGCAGAAAGTGTAATAAGCCGGCCACCTCTGTTGGTCGTATGGCTATGCAGAGGCGCCTGTTCGACCTGGTGAGCTGCAGCAAGATGGCGCTTAAACACATCGGCCCGGTTGAATGCTTTTGCGTAGGCTGAGCCGACTCCCGGGCAAAACGGGCAAACCATGGTTCCTCGGTAATGTGTCAGCGCGTGTCGGTTTTTGTCGTACTTGCGAGCAAAGCCCTTGGTGTGATATTCGCACGATTCAATGGGGCATTTCTCAGGCCTCTCCTCCTGGTGCGTGAGCATATGAGCAGCCAGGTCTTTGAACACGCGCCCGCAATCGGGAAACGGGCATCTACTACGGTTCTCAGGTGCTGGCGGTGTTGGTATAGGCCTCGATAGGTGGTGTGGGATCGGCGGCTGGGACGATGGTGGCGGCAGTGACAGCGGAGGAGGCGGCGGCGGCGGCGCTAACCGGCCGACAGGGCTCCTCGAGACCATCTCCCATGGCACCTGATCTTCCATGATACTCGGAGATACTGTCATCGAGCTGACAGATGATACTGACAAGTGTGAGCTGACGATTGGGATAGGCGGCGGCAGCTCCATCACCGGTGCCGGCGGTATAGCCGCCAGAGGTACCGTTCTGGTAGGGTGCTTCACGTCTTCTTCCTCTTCGCCATCACTCGACATGTCGTTGTCCACATCACCGCCCACCTCCGCCACAGATTGCCTAACTTCGCGCATCCAGTCTTTCAATAAGGACATGGGCGGCCAATCCCCGCTGGCCTTGCCTCCGCGGTGGGGGTTGAAGTGAGCTCGTCGAAGATGAGCCGCTGCATTATAATAGGCGCCATAGTGCTTCTGCATAACGCAAGCCTTGCAGCTCGAAAGGGGAATGGCAGGCTGTGGCGACGCTGGGCTTTGTCCTCCAGGCTCGCAACAAACCCATCGTTTTACTAACGCTGCGTGTTTAGCATCTGTATGGCGTCTCAGTTCGTGCTCGCCGCGAAATCCTTCGGGATATTCATTACACTTGCGGCAAAACACGCGCCGAAGAGGTGGTCTTTGGTAGGCAGGCTTGAATCTCATGGGGGTCAAGTGGTTTCCGAAGATTGGGCTCGATGCGTTCGTGGTCTCCCCCGCAACCGTGTGCCTCCTGGCACGTCCGACGTGTTCTGGGACTGGCTGGCTCAAGGAAGACGAAACCCCTCCGCGATTGATGTTGGCATCGTCCAATGCCTCCGGACGCGGTCCAAGTAGTATTTCTCTATGGGAGGGCGCGGGAGGGAATGCAGAGCTCCCCACGGATGACCACCGCGGCTCTCGGGCCGAGATGGACTGGGGAGTTGACAGCTGAGAATCATTGATGGGAGCAACGTGTGGCCGTCCGGGGCGGATGAAGCCATTGTACCCAAACATATCTTTAGTTCCGCTTCCTAAACTCATGAGGAAATCTGCACTGGAGCGAATATTTCGGGCCTGCCACGTATCCATGCGCATGATACGGCGAGTGAGCTCATATACGGGAACATCCTCCTGTGGAACATCGCTAGGAGAGCCATCTGTCAACATCGGCCCACTGGTGATGAACAAGTGGACCAAGGCCTTGTACACGCTGTCTATGGTGTTCTGGGGACTGTCTCTGAGTGGACTTTGATGTCGAAACGCTGGATAAGGTAGCAACGATATTGAAGCGAGGTCCATGAGCAAGGTGCGAATTATGCTGAAAATACACAAAGAGTAAAACACGGCCAGCCATTCCTTCGAGTGAAGAGGAGAATTTCTCAGAGAAATGGTCTCAAAGGACTGCAAGAATGATACCATGGCCTGTTCGACAAGCCGGCTGTGCTCTCCGGTAAAATCCAGGCGGTCTGATGGGGGCTGATATCCGAAGCTGGGATCCAACTGAAGGACGGGTTTGGGATGGAAAAGGCAGTAGAATGCAGTTTCGCGGAGCAGCACCTTTGCATGGTATAAAACTGGATACTGTGATTCCTCGGCTTCGCGGGAGGGCGATATATATCCGGTATATCTCAGAAGATCGAGCGGGCTAGCTGATGTCTCCTGGCAATTCCAGCTAGCAGCCAGGGCGCAGAGAATAGGTGGAGGGCGGTTGACCATATCCTGGGTGAGCTGTTGGGTCTCGTGATGCCCATCGTATCTTCTATGAGATTGTTGCTGTCCGGACCACCAAAAGGCATCCCTATAGTCCATACATGTTCTAACATGTTCACCAATGTGCGCTGGAAAAACACACGTTCTCTGAAGATAATCGTTCACATTTTGTCGTCGTGTGGGGGACGTGGAAGATGTGGGTGTTTGGATTTGTCCGTGTGAGAAAGAAGAGCCTAACCGGCGTTGTTAGAGATATGCGTTGGAGCTTTCCGGATTTGCAAAGGCCGAAACGAGGAAACAAGACAACCATAACAACATGAAGGTGCAAATCGAGGCCATACGAAGAAAGGAAACAGAAAAGAAGAGTAAACCAAATCGTTTATACCTGGCAGTAAATAGTCGGTAAAAGCGCTGAGGGAACTGCGGTAGCACCCAATGACGGCCCAATGGTCCTCGGAACTTATCAATGGTAGGTTTGAGCAGGCTGAACACGGCTGATTTCTATCGCACTGGATTCCCAGACAAGAGACAAAATAGATGTTAGTCCACGACGAGGAACGGCCCCTCCAGAGTTTGGGAGAAGAGTGAAGAAGAAAAGCAGTGTCCCACCTCCTTCTTGTTCACTTTACAGCGGAGGCATGGCCGCTGGTCGTGGAAGAGACGAAGCTCTCCGATAGACTCGAGACGAGGCAAGCTGCCGACCCTGCTCCTCTTCAATGGCGGGAGGAGGGGCTCGACATCGGCGTCGACGGCGCTCCTCGGGGCGGCGGAGCGGCTGGAGTAGGCGTAGGTTATGAGCGAGTCTCGCCGTTCGGTCGACGGCGTCGGGATTCTGAGAGGAGGAAGTTTGGAGGACAGGGCGGGGCGTGGAAGGTGCATGAGAGGCGACGGGCCCAACGGTTCAGAGGCATTGGACAGATAGGGACCGTGTCCAGAGGCGAGAACCGACGACGAGGACAGCGACGAACTGGCGGCAGAGAGCTCCGAGTCTCTCTTTGCGTGAGAGGCATGCATTCGGGCGTGGCTGCTCCGATCAAGCTCGGTGAGAAAACCGTAAACGTAGTGGATGCACCGGTCGTCCCAGCACTTTAGAGAGGGAAGCGGATAAGCGCTGGACACAACTTCGCTGCCGCACTCCCGCTGGGCCCGGAGGACAGGGTCGTGGAGCTCCAGATGCTTGTCCAGCCAAGAGCCGAACCCTGGCGGCGCCGATCGCGAAGAGCCTCTCAGGGGCTCGACAGCATCCACGTCTATTTCGCGGGAGCAAAGAGAAGGAGAGAAAAGGTCAGCGTCTGGGCAAGGCGAACTAACAACAGGTCCCGGCCTTGGTTGTTTTTGGGCCTGACGATGTATGGAGTACAAGGCAGATGTAGCATGGAGTAGCAGCAGTATATTTTGACAAATGGATTGGGGGCTTGCATGAGGCGGGTTGGTGGCGGCGGCGGCGGGCTGCGTGGAGAACGGGAGATGGGCAGCTAGCTAATCAAGTAGCGGTAGGAGGGTCTGGTCTCAGCTTACTATCTCGAACACAAGCAGCCTCGAGGCATTCGCAACGGTGCTGAATCGCGCGAGCCTCTTCAATGTCGGACATGAAGGGGGTTACGCGCGACGCCAGGCCTGATAAGCATTTGCGAGTCAGCACACGGGCTCCGTTGCCGGACCGGAAAACGAATGACGGCTCGTATGTATGTGTAAGTATGTGAGGGCATGTACGGAGCGCTACCACTAATATGTACGGTATCTGTCTGGTCTGGTCTGGTCTGGTCTGGTCTGTCCTGTCCGTCTGCCTGTCTAGTACAAAACAAGCGTGGATGCATGTATGCATGTATGTACGGAGTAATAAGGTCAGGTCAGGTAAGGAAAGGCAGGGCAGGGCAGGGCAAGGCAAGGCAAGGCAAGGCAAAGGTAGGGGAGCAAAAAAGCGTGTGTATGTGTGGTGTGTGTGTGTGTGTCAATCGAGGCCGGGCTCAAATGTGGACAAGGCTGTATCAGGACAGGACAGGGGTTTGACAGGCAAGGAAGAAAAAAGAGAGCAATTGAGGGGGAGCCTATGATGCAAATACGCAATACGCACACACATACAGGGCATCAGCCCGTACATGTACATACATGCGCACATGGGGGTGAGAGCGGGAGGGCCAGGCGAGACAGCCAGAGACTGAGAGACAGAGGTAGATAGGGCGGACCGAAAGTGAGAAACATGGAGACATACCGTGGTGATCAACGACGTCTTGGAGGACGCGCAGTTTGTGGCGCAGCATCTCGAGCTCTTCCGGTAGGTTGAGGCCATGGTGGAAGACGTGTCGAACGTCGATGTCGGCCCGTTGGTCGACGGCTGAGTCGGTGTCGAGAAGCCCAGACATGGCGACTCGCGGTTGTTGCTTTTAAACGGCCTCTTGCGTAGTCGTTGCTTTGCTCGTCTTCATGGCCAGGTTCGTCGGCATCGAGGTCTCAGGACATGCTGTCGGCGCCGAGACTGCCGTTGTCCATGGCACGCGCCCCGGGATCAGGGCTGCTGTGAAGGAGAGCGAGACCGGTGAGCGGGCAAGCAAGTAGCGAGCTGAGGAGGGGAGAAGAAAGAGAGGGCGTGGGAAAATCTCGTGGGGGATGGGAAGCGTCCCGGGCTGTCTTTTTGCTTCCGCTTGGAGATGACTTCGTAAAGGCCTTTTGGTGGACCTTGTGTTTCTCTCTTGCGTCTTGCGTCTTGCGTCTTGCTTCTTGTCTCTTCGGGTGGCTCTCTCGTGCGTGGCAATACCTCCTCCTTTCGCTTGTTCTCGTTGGCGTTGTTGCGATCTCGATCTCTTTTCTTGCAACCAGATTGGTTTCTTCTCTCACTCTTCCTCTCTTTTTTTTTGTCTTCCCTTCCCCCTGTCCGCCTACTGTCGGTCTCGTCTCCGAACAGTTTTTCTCACTTGCATTTTGTCTCCTTTCGAAATGCACACCCGCCTGCCACCCCCTTCGCCTCCCCTGCATTATCCATTGGGGCCATTTCGCGGGAATTGCGGGCTGGGGTGTTTTATCAATAGGGCGGTGCGAGTGGGTTTTGCTGGAGGTGGGTGCGACTCCATGGCTGGAAACGCAACGGTTTTTTCTCTGCTTCTTTTCGCTTCTCTTGCCATGGTCGCACACGGGGGACTCGTACAGGCTACAAGGCGCGTGGGGCACAGCCTTGCAGGTAGGGCATCCGATTAGGCGCCGCCTTGGTACTCCATACATGGAGCGTACGACGGCCACGAGCCTGGGCGCACGCAATCTGCGGGTAGCAGTACAGACACGGGTACGGCAGCGAGAGCGCACAGGCAGCACCTGGGCAGGCGAGATAGGTAGTCGGTACTTGGGACGCACACCCACTTCTGCAGACCGAGAGGGCTCCATAATCCAGGTATTATTCGAGCTGGACGGCCTGGACGGCATGTCTCACGCGGGGTGTGGGAGTGAGGGTGGATGCGGGTGCGGGTGCGGGTGAGCGTTGAGCGTTGAGCGTTGGACGTTAAACGTTGAACGGTCCAGGTGTGGCGCACTGTGTTTGACCCCAGAGGGGCCGGCTGTTGCACCGTGTCTGAGACCTCGGAAGAGTGCCATGTGGCCCCATCCCCGCACTGTACGAGCCGCCGTGTGCTACGAGTACCTGAGCAGCACTCGACGAGCATGTACTGTTACTGTTGCTCCGTCCAAGTACTCGTACAAAACCACATCAGGCAGGGCGAATGGACCAGCTGTGGGCTCGACTTTAGTTCCATGTACTCGTAGCGTGTCTGCTCCGACTTGGTTAGAGCGGGTGGTGCTCGTGCTCTTGGCGCCACCTTTGCAGAGCAGATGCCGGCAAGACCCTGCGATGGCATCTCTTCCAGAAGACACGGAACAGGCCTCCGTTCGCAAGGTACCACTACTAATCCCTTAGTAACTGCGTGGGTACTCTATGGTAAGAACTGGGCCTATCGCGATGCCTGTTCCTCTATGTTAGCACTTGTTCTTGTACTGACGCACTCGGCGAGGTGTCCTGAAAAAGTATAACCAAGATGTAAGCATATACTGCAAGAATCCGCAAGAATCCAGATCCAGCAAATAGCCTCACGTTCGGAAGGGGGAACAAGGCAAGGGGGAAAAAAAAAAAAGAAGCACACACACGAGCCGTCTCGGAATACATCCGACGACACTAAAAATGACCAGACAGCGAAATAAGTTCGAGCAAGGCCAAGCACACCAAGGCAGGGAGAAGGGAAAAAAAAGGTGGCCGGTGCACAAGCTCCCGACAGCCACCCCAAGCCAAAAGGGAAAAAGAAGTCACCAGTTCAGTTGTCTGGGGAGTCTAGTCTGGGCTGCTGCTATCAAATTGCTCGTCCATACATACAGACATCCATACCTTACGATAACTGCTCCTGTTCGAGTATATGCTCCCCCCATCTCGACAGCCGCTGCAGCGAATGAACCGCCCTGTCTGGCTGTAAGTTGGAGGGCCCGGCATGGAAGGTAGCATCATCGACGCATCTCGTGCGGCAGAGAGTGGGAGGCCAGAGTCGGCCGAGTCGATGGCTTGCGACTTTTGTGCGCACACGTGCGGTCTTGTCAGAGTCAGATGGATGTCATGTCAGTTGTTAGCCCTCTGACCAGCACCAGCACCAGCACCAGCACCAATGCAGCACTCCACCGCATTTGCATTGACTGATTCAACTGTCGCTAAACTCTATCACCACAGACAAAATTGCATTCTGGGTACTCGCGAGGCTAGTATCCTCGCGGTATCACAGAGAGGGAAAGGTCTGGAGCTGCTAGTGGCCCCCAAGACAGCAGCGCTACCGGCACCTGGTCCAACTCCAACCGGCGATATCTCATCTTCCCGCGCTCTCACTCACTCAGTCTCTCTTCTTCTCGTCGCATCTGCATTCTCTGCTTGCCATCCTCCACACACCCCTGCTTGGTGGTACGCGTACTAGTACATTCTAAGTGTGGTGCGTGTTGTGCTTCTGCCCAGGGCTTGTTTTAATCACCGCCTCGCCTCACCTGTCACCCGCTACGCTACGACCTGACTGACAACCTCCATGCACGCCCTGCTCACTCTCATGTTCCATCCCATTCATCCAGTCCCGCTCGCCCAGCTGCTTGTGCTTGTGCTGCTGCTTGTAACTCGTACGGTAGCCACCCATCCCGTCCAATCTGGCCACTCAGCCGGCCAGCTTTCATTCACGTCCTCACTCACTCACGCACGCACGCACGCACACGCACCCCAATCCGCATCAAGTCTGTCCGTGCAAGTCAAGTTTAGTTGCACCGGGGGGGTTCGGTACATGTGCGTACGAGCACGGAGTACCTGTCGGTAGGTACTGTGACGACACATCCAACCAACAAACGAACATCTCTGCCGCTCAATGGCAAGGCAATTGTCTCAAGTGTTCGCTAAACAAACTCCCAACGGCCTCAAGTTACCGCCTATTTGCCTACTAGGTACGAGTACAAGTGCTCTGCCGACCTACGCGCAGTACCGGACACACTTGTACCGAGCGGCGGAACGCACTACGGCCCAGATACCTGGAGTCCAGGTACTCCGTGCTCTTACACAAGGACACAGGACCACCCCCGTCAACCAAAACAAGGAGCCGCCTCCGCCATTCTCGAACATCACGTCGTGTAGCGCCGTTTAGCCCGCGGCACATTTCCAAGCCAGACAAGCCGCATCCACGCACACACACGCACCCACTCTTACACACACAGCGCACACGCCTTGTACCGGTACTTGCACGTCCCCCAAGACAACGCCGACTCGTCCCGTTCCTTTTTCGCCACAAGCAGGCCCCTACCTCCCTTCTCCATCGTTTCCCCATCGGGCTAGCTCCAACGCTCAGGCCAAAACCCTTCTCCACGCTAAAACACTTGTGCCGGGCCTACTCCACCCCCAATCAGGAAATTCCAGCCCAAGAGCCTAGCAAATCAAAATAAACAAGGGAAAAAAGAGACCGGCGAGAGAGAGCGTGCTTGTGTGACTGTGAGTGTGGATGAGAGAGTGAGAAAAACAGAGACAGAGAGAGAATTAAAAGGCCATAAAGCAAGCTCGTTATACCATGCCAGTGCCATAGCAGCGCTGCGTCAGACAAGACAGACAACTCTCGAGCCACTCGCCCGCCGCTGGTTGGCTGAGATGGATGGAAATGCCAAAAAGCACTGGACGGACACACACAGACACAGACACTCACTCACACACCATTTGACGCCCATCCCATCCCTTCCTCTCTCACCCCAAGCCTAACTAACTAATTCCTGTACCCGCTTCTGCTCGAGGGCTTTTCCCCATAATTCCGCTCTCAAAAAGTGACGATGAGATGCTGCTTGGATGCTAACTCTGTCTGATTCGGGCTGCCGCCCATTTTCAAAACAAGCCACCGCGCATGTACGGAGGCATGTATGTACGTACGGGCATGTCATGTACGAAGCATGTGCGTACATGCAATGCCACTGTCGCTATCAGTCTAATCTCTGCCGGTCTGTCTAATGTCATTACATACTGTATATTCCCATCGCCGTTGTTGCTCGTATCGCATCCTATCATATTGTCAGTTAGGTATATACAGCCAGCCAGCTACTCCGTACTAACATCTTGATGTTGGTTGGGGTGTTGGGCTGCACGGAGCGCACCCCGTATCACTGCCGAAAGGAGTATCCCAGCCAAAAGAGCCATCTTACCTCCCCAGAAAGCATACCGACCAGCCCGCCTTATGGAGTATGGAGCTACATCCATGGCATTGACAAGGTGGCAAGTGATTGTCAAAGAAATCGCCGTGCGATATACATACAGTACAGATAGCCTGCTTCGGTCGTAGTGCTGTACTTGGCAGCAGCAGCCGTTCGTTCGTATCTACAGACTCTTGGCCAGCATACAAGGTCATCATCTTACATACAAGGTCAAGCAACAAGCAACTTCTACTGGCGTCCTGTCCTATTACATTACATGTCCATTACATGCCTTACATGCAAGACGAGAGATAGGTAGCCCCAGTCAAGGTAGTACCAGGCAAACGTCCCCGTCCATGGCCTTGGAGGCGAGAATCCCTCCCCGACAAGGGCCAGGACCAGGACAAGGACCCCCAAAATCACTCCGTGTGTGCTTTCCATCTGCAAAGTACAGTACCACCACGAGTACAGTGCCACTTAACCCGCTGCTTGTCTTGTCCATCCATGGTTTACAATGGCCACAAAAGCTCCATTTCTCCATCCTTTTTTTCTCCCCTCCCCATAAAGCAGCGCTGTCGTATCCAAGCCGCTGACTGCCGCCAATCTCTCCACACAACCAAAGATCGATCAGCAAAGAAAACAGAAGCCTGCCCCCCCTTGTCTCTTCTCTTTCGCCTTCGGCATCCCCCCTTCATCCTCAGGTCTCTTTTGGAGTGCGAAATGACGCGGGGGTAAAAGGTTGCCGTCGCCCCCAATCATTTCCCTTCTCCCCACGACGGAGACCTGATACTCATACGTCAGGCTACATGGGACAAAAAAAGGCTCCCCGGAATTGCGTGCGCCTCGTCATGCCCGTATGTCCGCTTTCTTCTTAGGGCCTCGAAAGAATCGGGGTTGCTTATTCTTTCTTGTATGTGCGCATCTACTGCCAATAGAAGATGCCGAGGTAAGGTATGTCGCCTGCTGCTACTGTACTCGTATTACCTGTATCGAGTATACGCAGTTTGATTGATCTCCTCGGGGAGGTAACCCATGCTTGCGTCTTTATTTCACTTCACGTTCTAGTGGTAGAGAAGATTGTGGCTTATGCCCTTCGTCGAACGTCGTCTAATATTAAAACTCGTAATAAATCGCATGCTAAGAGCGATACAGATGATGAGACAATCATCAAGGTAAGAAAATAAAGGGGAAAGGGAAACAAGGCGAACGATAGATAGCACAGTGTAGCAGTACCAAGCTCATGCTCAGTGGAAGCATGGCCATTTCTTCGTTTCGTCTTTTTGCTTCTCTTTTGCTGTCATGTCAGGCCATTCCCCATCCCACCCGTATTCATGATACTCTAACTCATAGATAATCCAATGGCTGTCCCTACAAAGACGTAGCCAGGTTCTCCCCAATCCAGATCTAGACAAATGCAGGACGGGATAATTAAAAGAATAATAAAAAAGCACTAACAAGCGCCAACGCCGTCTTTGCGCCCTCCCCCCACGAAAGACTGTTTCATTGCAGTCTCTCTTCGTTGTCACCGCCACATTTGTGAGATAGCAATTGGCTAATGCCGTCGTTGCTGTTGCTGTGTTGCTGCACAATGACAGATAGGCAGACAGCTTCTCTCTAAGGCATTGTAACCGTGACACCCCACGGAATCCCCCTGCTTCCCTTTTCTTTTTCCTTCATGTATTTTTTCTAATTTTGGCTTGTCCCTTTCTATTCGTTTCGGGACCACGTCTTCTCTCGGAGCGGTATCTCTTTACCTGACGCTGCACGGCTACCGTCTTCCTCAGCCTTGTAAGCCCAGTATTCACCCAGCCTCAACTCGGCGTACGAGGCGTAATCAAAGTCAATGTGCGAGATGGTCGCCTGAATCAAGGCCCAGATACCCCAATAGAAGCCAGGAACCCCACGGAAGACATCTACCTCGCGTACGAGTTTGTCAGTCTCCTCTTCGAGGTCCATGCCATTGTTTGAGAGCTTTGCATATGTCGCAATGTATTCACGAATAAAGGCATGTCGCTGCGACCGGGATGGCATGGCCGCATAGTCACAGTCATACCCTGCCCATTCGGCAAAATGATTGGCAATATCAAACGCAGCCGGCGAGGGCGTCGCGTATTCGTAATCGATGAAGCTCACGGAGAGCTCCTGGCCGGCTTCCTTGTGCATGATGATATTGGCACTGAGCAGGTCGCAGTGGGCGAAAACCAACTATACATTCTTCTGGTTAGCACAAAGAAGGGATCTTCTACAACGCATCATGTAAGGCGGCGGGTCAACGGATACATACCCCGTTCCGTCCAAGTCCGGGACGTTGGCTGAGCTTCTCAATCATTTCCTCCAGCTCACGCTGCAGCAGGGCCTGTCTCTCGCGCTGCTGTTCCGTGTCGGTCGGTAGGGCCAGGATCCATTTCTGCATGGTCGACCACAGGTTGGGGATCGGCTTCCCCGCTGCTGCCTTGGCGATCATGGCCTTGCGGTGGCTGTCGTGGCCATCGGAGTTGCCGTTCTCTGTCGACTCTCCCTTGATGGCCGAGTCGGGCAGACACGGCACCGTGGCATGCCACTGAGCCAGCAGTCGAGCAACAGCCGCGATCAACGCAGGGTCGGAGAGGTCCTTGGGTTGGGCAACGGTACCAGGGACGAATCGGTACAGCATGCCGTTGGCAAAGCGGGCCAGCAGTTCTGGGGCCAGGCCATGCTTCATCAGCAGCTCGTGGTTCGCTGCCTCGCGCTCTCGGTCGATGATAACCGCGGTGCCGTTTCCATAAGCACGGAGCAGCACGGCGTCTCGGTCAATGTCAGCCTTGGACAGGCCCGGCAACCGGTTGATAGCCTTGAGCAGCGTGTTGGTAATGCCGTCAGTGAAGCGAACGAAGTCAACATTGGAATCATCGCTCTCCCATTGAGGGAACAGACTCAAGATGAGCTTCTGAGCTGAAGCCTGTGAATCACTGCTGTCGTAGGTAATGGGGAGGAAGCGGACATGGCTGTGGGCAGAGCCCTTGGTTGTGGCAGCTGGAGACATGGCTAACAAGAGAGGAGAGGTAAAGCGGGAGTTGATGAGAGTTGGTGGGAGTTGTGCCGAAGAGGAGACCCAGAGAGGTTAAATGGGGTCGAAGAGAGATGGTGGGAGGGTCACGCGCGCAGCGAGACTGTAATATAATGCTCCTTGCTCTTCTTTTATTGCCTTTGCGTCTCTACTGGGGGTTGGCCGAGGGCTTGCGACGTTTGCTTAAGGTTGGTGGACAAAACTGGCTCAATGCTTAAATCAAGGGGGGTTTGTTTGTCTCTCTTGTCATCGACTATTGGCAGGCTCGGAGATGGCGGGCGTTGTCGTAATTGCGATAACAGGTTCGTAGTACAAGAGTAGGACGGTTGACGTGTGCTTGCTTCAGCGAGTTGTCGTCTTCGTAGTTCGTAGGACGGGATGCCAAGCTCGGGTGTTCTCAATGGACGGGCGAATGACGGAGGCGCACGGAAGCGGGTGAGGCTGGAAGAATCGCACACGACCTGTTGCCCTCCCAAGCCGTCGAATTGTTGTGTGTGAAAAGACTTAGGAGCGTCGGATAGTGTGGGCCGCTTGTGGAAGGGTAGGACGCTTCCATGTGATGGTGGCTACAGCAAAGCCACGAGACAAGCCCAAATTAGGGGATGGGGGAGGGAGGCGAATGGCAAACGACGGGCTGAAAGTGGCCTCTGCAATGGCGCTGGTACTTGTGAATTACCGGCGGCGCAGTGTAAATGCAAAGTACTCTGCGCGATGACGCTCCGGGCTGCTCTCGAACCTGCAGGGTCCAATATCTGTTGATGTCGCTGTCGTCAAAGGTAACATCAGCCTGTAGTTGGCACGCGAGATGCGAAATTTTGTTGGGACACTGGCAACTGCTGCTAATGCTAGAACTTGATGAGATTAGCACCTCCGCATCCCGGTTAAAGCGTGCCAGGGTCAAAGTTCAGATGAAGTATCTAAAAGGTCGCTTTTTAGTTATGTCTGGCTCATATTTCACCCAACTAGATCATTTCAGCACCTAAACTCTACTCAAAGTATACTTTGCACGTGCTTTTAAAACGTGACTGCGCTAGTCTATTTGGTGCCACCTCCTAATTTTCGAGGTCCCTTTTCCAACTCGTAGGGGCCAAATCTGTTCACCGCCCAACTGCAGATTCGGCCATCAATGGACACGCACGAGTCTACCAAAAAGGTACGTGGCACTGACGTCAAGTTTTGGTGCTCCCATCGTACACCATAACTTACACAGCAATTTGTATGGGCAAATGCCACATCTTTACACCTCAAAGACATAGAGAAAATGCCACTTTCTAGGTACTAGGAGTTTACTGGGATTCAGGAATTGTTGGGAATCTGCATCTAGAAGAATCCATTAAAATGCCTGTTGCGCTAAACCCACGATATCGTGCAGCACCGCATCGTCGTTTGGCATGTGAAGGAACAAAAATACAGGGGCCTTTTGCGGTGGAGATTCAAAGAATGATTTCAGGCGCCGGGTTCTCTCCAACTGCTGCCCCCGCATTCACTATCAGCTGAAATAGCTCGCCAAACATCCCCAAACTGTACGTCCAACGCACCGGGGAATTACATGCAAGTACACCTAACAGATATTCATTGTTTGTCTCCCGGAAACAACAAAATAGAGGGCTTCTTGCTCTGCAGTTTGCTACCTTGTTACTCCTTCAAAGATTAGATGAACATTCAGGATCATTTATTAAATCTCAAGCGCAAAGACGTGGGCATCAATCAATCCCTTGCCACTCTTGGGGTCGTTGGTACTAAGTTTGGGGGAAGGCTGAGGGCCAGTGGAGTTTAGTACTATGTACTCGCACGATGTATATTTACCCAGTAGTAAATGAAGGTAGACGCGACTTCATCCCGCACAGCTCTTACTTGCTGCCACTCAAGCGACCGCAAACTGCTTAGCTTCACCTCTTCTCATCAACCTCAACTGCAAAACCAGCCAAGCTATCTTGCTTATCCTTGCACAAGCAAATAGCCTCTTGCGAAGAGGAGATCTCAATCTAATCACAGTCCGCTCACGGGGAGAATCGCTTACAGCAGCGGCTGCCTGAGATCCGGCGCACAAGCGAAGCAGAAGCAATCCGGGACTCGGAGCAGACACATTCCGACTCTTGACCGTGTCTCTCCTGGATAGTGACGGCTAAGCTGGTTGGGGGTGTATCGCATCATGTAAGGCGCCTTGCCTTAGTCCCTCGAATCTGCGGCCATGTCTTGCGTCAACGACGAAAACTTTGTCGCCGTCGCGCTCGTCATCAACCGGTCTCGCGATGGGCCTGCCTTTGTCTTCCATTATCCTGCTCAAGTACCCGCCCTCTATAGTGGCCTCGAGAAGTCAGATACCATAGACATCGAGGATATCCTTTTTGAGCGAGTGTCACAACCTGGCGGTGCCGAGGCTACTCCCGATCTCGCCGAGAACCAAGGCGTTCGTGATGACCATTATATGACCGAGTCGGGAATCCAGGTCGTTCCCTGGGAGCACGTAGCCGGCTTTCCATCCCGTGATCTTGCAGGCATCTTGACTCCCGCCAGATCCTATCATAAGAAGCTCTTTCAGCTTTCTCTCGATCCGCTCCTCTGTGTCTCTTACCCCATCCATGTACCTGAAAATGGGAAGTGGAAGAAGACAAAAAAGGCCAACAAGGCAAAGGCCAACAAGGATGCTGACGAGGGCATCGCGCCAGACGAGCCCAACCCCTTACCTACAATCAAGACAGAGCCATGTAAAGAAAAGGCCAAAGACGGCAAGAAGGATGAGGCAGACGAAGAGAAGCGCAGCTCCATGACCATGTTCAATCTTGTCTTCTTTCTCAATCCCAAGAAACACGAAACCAAGGAGCTCATCGACTCTCTGTATTCTAATATTGTGAAAAAGGTCAACAAAGCATACCAGTACAGCCAGCAGCATAGTGAGTTTGTATGGAAAGAATCCAAGCGTATCCTGCTCGCAAAAGATAGGGCCCGTGAAGATCGTGAGTTTTTCCCACCCAAGGGACAGGCCGCCAAGCCGTCACCCAGGCAGACAAAAGACAGACAAAGCTAATCATTGAATTGTATAGAGAAGAAGATGAGCGTTCTGTGGAAAGAACTTATCCAAAACTCTTCGCTGGCAGCTTCAATGTGTGAAATTTACAACGCCATCTCTCAAAACAGGATTGCAACTTTGCATCTCGATACTGTGGACGGCATCCTGACGCCCTCAGTCCAGATTCCGGCGCCCTTTTTCGTTTCGGATCTCCCGGCAGAAGACGATGAGAGGCATCGTGGCCTCTGGCTCACAACGTCCAATGCTTTTTTGAGCCAGGATGCGCTTGAGGAGCCCGGATTCCTAGACAAGAACTTTGCACTCTTGCTCATGGATGACGAAAAGAAGATTGTCTCTGAGCTACAGAGTGATCGTGATCCCACTACTCAATCCATGATCGAGTTTGTGCGCCTCTCAAAGCCAACAATGTCGTCAGTCTTCCCTGCTTCCTATCTTATCCCCTCTCGTCATTGGCTCCATTTGCTAACTTGCCTGCGTTCCCTTGAAGCTTCTACCAAGTTGGCCAGAGCAACCTCCTCACTCTAGATCAGGTCCGGAAGTACGCCCAGCACTTCATCTTCTGGCGCCGTGCCATGGCCATTCCACCCCTTCACCCCCGAGACGTTTATATCGTCTCTCCGAACTGTGACTTGGAGAGGCTACCACAGGATGCCCAAGACTGGCAGAGAGCCTTTCCCCTAGCTCCGCCTCTGTCAACTTTCCTTGCCGAGCTCTCCGTGCTTCCCCGGCCCTACAAGCACATCTCGCCTAGTAAAGCTCACCGGCCGCTGTATCTCCGCATGCTGGCCTGGTTGATGCGCGGGGGCTGGGTCACTCAGCTCTGCACATTCGGCTACGTTGTTGTATGGCCGGAGATCCTATACGAGGTCGACTACGAGATCGAAGCGGAAGAACTCGGCGGTCTCGCCACCTCCTCAACCGACTGGGCCGATGCTACCAGCACCCACACCACCCAGAGCAACAGCAACGTCGACGCGCAATCCACCAGCTCCTCACTCACGCCGCCGCCTCCGCCGCAACAGACCCAGCCGCAGCAATCGCAGCAGCCGCAGCAATCGCAGCAGCCGCAGCCTCAGGCTCAGGCCCAAGCACCCCCAAACGTCCCCAACCCATCCACCCTCTCCGCAGCCGAGCACTCGGCCGAAATGGCCCGTCTCGAGCGCATTGCCATGAAAGCTCACCGAGAAGCCGCCGACAAGGCCACTGCTCACGCCCGCAAGGTCGTCCCCGTTGCGACGGCAAACCCGTCCCTCAATGATGCGCCGCACCTCGTCGGCCTCACGCCGCACATCATCCTCGACCCCAAGAAGGCGGCGGGTAAAGAGTCTCGCTATCTCTCTGCTATTGCGCGGCGCTTCAAGGACGAGAAGCTGCGGTCGGCGTGGCAGAACATGTGTAAGTATTTCGATGGGCGATGTGCCCTTGAGCGGATCGCTCTGCAGGAGGACATGAAGCGCAAAGAGGCCTGGGCCTTGTTGACGGCCATGAGGGAGTATCTACTATGTACAAGACACTGGTGAATAGAGATGGTGATGACTGATAATTGATAAAACTCTGTCACTCAAGACGCTGCCGTAGCTACCATCACCCTAGTAATTAATCATACGTATTAAACTCAAGGCACTGTTTTAATAGCAAAGATTCATCTCGGCTGTTTATTGGTCATAAGTGGTATCTGAAATAATATGAAAAAGCAAAGGAGCCACAGGATATAAGAGATGTCGATAGGTTAAAATTAAGTACACGGATATAAAAGTGTAATCCTCCAGAAAGCCAACACAAGATCAGAAAAAAACGAAGAGAAGAAGCGTAAAGCAAATAGCTGTGTATCAGCAGCGATAACAAAGTCCCATTATCCCACAGAGAGAGGCCGAAGCCGAGACTGCTACCTAATAAAGGGAAAGAAACCACAGATAAATGAGAAAAAAACAAGAGAAAACCATACCAGTCGTAGAGCATCTCACACTATGAGAGCCCTCTGTATTGTCCCTGACCAAGACCAAGCAAACCAGCAAATGCATATCTCATAACGGGTTGTAGTATCAGTAAAGCGCTTGACAGCTGTAAAAGGAAATCGATGGGTGGAAAGAGACCAAGCCAAAGAGAGGCATGGAGTCTCTCTCTGTGTGTATGAGAAACGGGGGGGGGGGGGGGGCAAGCAGGAGAGACGCAAAGTCTCTTTGTGCTGTCATGCAGTAGTATATGAAATAAGAAGAACCGAGAGAGATGAAAGACGAAATGAAAAACATGACCCATCCCTATTTAAAAGCCATGCCCAATGCCGATGCCAGTAGGACACACCCTATCACTCCAAAAAGACGAGGCCCTGCCGATGTAATAGTTGACACCTAGAACGCCGCCAGTACGGGCACTCGGACATGTTCCTCTTGGTATGTCAGAGCCACACATATTTCCTCTTCTAGATGATTACTGCTAGATCTCTAGCAAAACATCGTCAGATGGGCCGCAAAAAGATGCGAAATCACACATAGAGAAAAACCAGAAGAAAGAAGACCCAGAATGATAAGAACCGAAAATGGAAGGAGAGTGGATAGGAATAGAGGGTTGTGCGAATAGGCAGACAAGATAAGTCGACCAAAAGATGAAAATCCCCAACATGAATATTCGCATGTGAAAATACCCGTAAGGCAGCTACTGGGTGAGATCCATATCATATTCATCCTCTTCCTTGAAGTTGAGATTGGCATCATCATCGGGGTCATGCCAGAATTGCGCGGCATCTGCGAGATCGCCGGGTAGTCCGCCATTACCACTTCCCTCCGGAGTGATGCCAACAGAGTCAAGGTTGCCGCTCATGCCATTGGTGGGTTCGCCGCGATAGTCAGTGTGGTGAGGCACGCGAAGGCCTGAACCAGAGGTGCGTGTGTAGGTAAACGATCCCGAGTCGTTTCGGGAAATGGCATCCATGAGCTCAGATTGCATCCGGCGCTCATCATCGGTTTGCTCAAAGGGTATTGTGCCGCCCAATTCGGCAATGTGGTTGATCAGCTCTTCCTGCTGCTGCAGCTTAAGATGCAGCATCCACATCAGATCCCGCGTCCAGCTGACGGCGCCGTTGAGAATGTCACCCTTGTTTGGGCCTTTGTCTTTGTCTTCAATAGGCAGGCCGGTTGTAATGTTTCCAGCTCCAGCGCCCGCAGCTCTCCGGGCACCAGGCCCGGCCAAACCAGAGGTAGCGCTTGAAACACCAGTGAGGGTGGGCGACAAGGGCGTGCCATTGGAAATCAGCTTGCGAATCTTCTCATCTTCCAATCTGTGCGTGGGAACGAGTCTGCTGAGATCCTGGATTCTCTCGTTGATGTTGTCACGGCGGCGGCGCTCAACGAGATTGTGCGACTCGCGACGGCGCTTCCGCTTCATCTCTTGGGTAGACATGGCATTTCCCACGCCAAGCTTGGCAGGCATCGAGGTACCTCCCTTCATCATGACTTCGTTAATTTGCACCATGCCTGGTTGCATGGGAGAGGAAAAGCCTGAATTGAAGGAGGCGGGGATGCTCCCGTTGGGGGTGTTGAGCCAGTGACCAGATGGTGACTTGTCATTCCGTAGAGACTGAGGGCCAAAGCCAGGAGAGTCTTGGCCGATGGGAATGCTGTGCATGCTGTTGGTCTTGGGGGTCATCGGACTCCTGGTGTTGGAGGCTTTTCTTTGCATCTGCTGGGACATGCGGGCTCTCGCCTTGGCGTTGAGGAAGTTGGGATCGTTTCCGTCTGCCATATCGGCGGCGGCTAAGGGAGATTGAGAGTAGGACAATGGCGACTGAAGAGGGTTACCGAGAGCGCGGTAGTGTGCATTGTAAGCATATGGGCTCTGAATGGGGTCACCATCTGGGGTACTGGAGTAGCCGTTGATCTGCGATGGGTCGATTTGGATACCAGAACCGCGGTGTGACTGAAAGGTGTTCTGGTAACCCATGTTCATGCCGTGGAAATCTTGGCCCTGGCCATGAAGGCCAGACTGTCCATCAGAAGGGAGGCCATCTAGTAGCTCGTCATCGCCGAAGACGGCAGAGCCACTTGAGAAGCCGTTTGTGTTGGAGTTTGTGTTGAAGTTGTTGTTGGCAAAGGACGGGGAGTATCCGCCCGACATGGCCAGATCGTTGGGGTCGATGTGGCCGCCGGTCGGGCCAGACCCAAACTGGGTGAAGCCGTGTTGGGCCATTGCAGAAGGTCGGAATTTCAATCGATTCAAGAGGTTCGCAGTCGGTCGGCAGCCGATGAGTCGAGAGTGCTTTGATTTGTCTTGTTTGAGGTTGTAGGCGCTTTTTCACAGCTCTTTGTGATTGCTGAACGGGGCAACCGGGGAGCGGCCCTCGGGATTTCGAGGATCGGCAAGTCCCGCCTGAAGGGGGAACGGTTTGTGGCTATAGCGAGACAATAGAGAGAAAAGAGTCAGTGATGTGCGCGCAATAAAGGATTGCTCAGCTGTGCGCGACAAGACAAATGCTGATCAAATAGCCGGCGGCAACGACGGAGCCTGTTGGCCTGACGTGGCGCAACCGGTCGGCGAGAGAAATGGAGGGACCGGAAGACGAAGTGCGTAGGAGGGGCTGACAAAAAGAGAGACTAACTTGACTCAAAAAAAGGCCACGGTTGACCTTGCGTTGCTACAGAAGTAGATGCTCGATTGTTGCAAACTTTGGAATCGCAAAGTAAAGAGGCGAGAGGCGATCAAGCGATCACAAAGCGTGGGTGAAGGGTTGAGGGTTGTCAAGATGCGAGGTTCGGAGGGGTTTGGAGACGATTGCTTTTTGTGAGCCCAAGGGCCGAAGTCGTCTCGGCAATGCTAGGTGCGTAAAACAAAAAAAAAAAAAATAGTGGCAGGGTGCAAGCAGCCGGCCGATGGGAGGGGCGGAAATGGCGGGCTGTCGTGTAACTGGGGTGCAGGCGGTGACGGGCGCTTGGGAATCCGCTATATGCGCAGTAAGAATCCGTCAGAAAAGAAACCGCGGGATGCGATGACGATGTGGAGAGCTGATGAGCGAAGATGCGAGCCGCGAGATGGGATGAATCTCTATGGACGAGCCCTGCACTGCACTGCGCGCTTTATTATTAGCTTGTCGGGGGTCCAAAGCGCACTCGCTGAGAGGGCATGTACGAGTATGAATGGATGGGGAGGTGGTGAGGGGAAGAATAATGGGCCAAGACGATCTGCTCACTGCGGGTGCAGGGCTTGGGTGTGATTGTTTCTTTCTTTCTTGCCCTCTCGTGAGGGGCGTTGCAGCGAGTCTAGATGCAATGCCACCTGCGCGGGGGAGAAGGTGAGGGAGGGGGAATCGAGAGGGAGGGATGCAACAAGAACAAGGGAGATGGAGGCACAGAGTCGCTTCTACTCACCAAAGGTAGTGGTGTATTGTATCAGGTAGAGGTAGGTAGTCAGTTGCCTGTCTGTAAGTTGAGACGTGGCAGCAGGCAGAAGAGAGTCGGGTGGATTACCGTGCGTGTATCGTATGTATTTGACACGATACACGGGCAACAGACGGGGTCGTCGTTTGGCCTTTTTGACAGATCCTTGAATGCTTTATGCCTATTTGTTCATAAAGCATGCATGTAATATGTCTGTCGATGTTCCGTAGCTGCGGTAGGATGGCCTTGGCGGCGTCTGGTTTGGTAAGCGGGCTGCCAAACCCTGCGTGCCGCGTTGCACAATGACGAAAGGGCGAGACCTTGTTGCTGGGTCGCTGTGACGGCCCACAATCCCCAAATAGATGTAGATGAGGCTAGAACCCTCAAAAGCGACAAAGACGGGAGAGAGACGACTCGGTGCGCCGGAGGCTGAGAGGCGCGCGGACACTAGCGGTGATGGTCGAGGACAGCAACGAAGAAAGATGACGGCGAGACGTTTTGCTGGCCGCAGGTAAATCGGAATATTGCCAGGATAGGGCGGCTAGTTTAGTACTTAGGCAATGCACATATGCGCGTATATGCGTCCTCTATGCTGTGCAGGAGATGTTGCGTGGCGTGGTGTTGAGCAGCCGCTTGATGTGAGTGGCCGCAAGTATGTACGAGTATGTTGGCTAGACGGTGGGTGAGGTGGTGAAGTAAGTAGTGAGCACGCACGCAAACAAGTTGAACAAGAATCAAAAAGGGTCCGGTGCTTGACGGTGGGACGAGACACTCAAATATTGGAATTCTGGCCCTTTTCTCTCTCTTGTACTCCGTCGCAGAGGTGGTATCCTCCCGCTGTCTGGTGGGGGAGGGGGAGTGGGAGTGGGATAGTGAGATCTTTTCGCTTTTTGCCTTTTGCAGCGGTTAGCAATCCCCCTGCTAGTGCATATAGACTAGACGCCAAAGACGCACGACTTCTCGGATCTGTCTCTAGTGATCTCTTCTGACCCAGCGAGCTGAAAAGCCGATGGTCGTGTCGTATCGAATATTGCCTGGGCTGGGCTGGGTTGAAGGAAGAGCAGTAGCGGCAATAGCGCTCTGTATTATTGGCGTCTTCTGGCCGTTGGGTGGTGGATGGGCAGAAAGCAAGTCTTGTCCAAGTGGCGCCCGGTGCTGGTGGTGGTGCCCGCGATAAGCTGATAGGCCGCGGCGGTGGTGTCAAGACGCTGGAGCGCCCTTTGCGGTTTTATTGTATTGTTTTCCAAGTTCCTTTCTTCCCGTGTCCCTGTTTAAACTCTGTCGCCTGCAGCCTTACTTGCTCGCATGCAACCACGTCGTCGGCGAATGAGGACGAGGCGTAGGACTGGATTATGCCCGATGGAGAAGCCTAGCTGATGACGATCCAGAGGGCAGACAAAGCAGGCAGTGAATCACGCCTGTTAGTCCCGATATCTAGCCCTTCCTTCGGGTCGCTCTAGATGCCGCTTTTCGATGGACCGACCGGTGGTGTCCCAGATATGGCTTAGCAGTGTCTACTGTCTGTTGTTGTTGCTGTTGCGCTTCAAGTGTTCGTACATGCATACACATATGCAAGTGCTTATACATGTATGTACGTTGGAGATGGACGAAAGCTTGCGAGGTGGCGTTGGTATTTATTTACTTGTCGGTTGGCTGAGGCGGACGAATCGGGCCGTGCGGGCTCTCTTATGTAGGTATGTAAAGGTAGGTATGGGCTGCAGCTGGATGCAAAAGTCCGTCGTGGTGGTGCTTTGTCTGAGAGCAAGGAGATGCAGATCAGAAACAAAAGCAGCTGATGGGATAGCGCGGATGGATGCACGATTGATGCAGAATACGGATCATTCCAAATCTCTCCTCGAGAGCTCGGCAGCAAGGTACCCGGCCTCACGTTTTATAATCGATGCCGGTAGCTAAAAATACCGGATCTCCAGTACGAGAAATCTTTGCTGCCTTTTTCGTCTTCTGACTTGCGCAGAAAAATAGTTGGCTCGTTCTCATCCAGTTACCACACCCACGTTATTACGAAGAGGGAGGGGGGGAGGCAGAGAAACCAGGATGAGCGTGACTCGATTCCGTTAAGACATAAACGCCATCCTCGCTATTAACCTAGGAGGGGCTGCCCATCGCCGGGCGTTATGAACCATCGCAGTGTCTCTCATGGTCATGCGTTCCAAATCTTCCGTGAACCATCTACCGTTCTGGCCACGCGGTCATGTAAGGCACCGGTTCCAGAGGTCAGCCACGATGGCGATGACGATGACGACTCTGGAAGCCCTGCTTCTTCTCCTTTCTCATATATTCTCTAGGCTCCGCTATATCGTGGCGATGCTACACGCGTTGGTTAAGCTGAAGCTGAAGAGGCAGCTAGGCAGATCAGGTCAGGTCAGGTCAGGCACGGATTGCAATGGGTGTGGTGTACACGGAACACGGAGAACGGAATACGGAGCAACAGCGCTGCAACCAACTCACTTAGACCGTCTATCGGCTCGCCCAACCACACAAACACGATTCGTGTTAACAAAAGTCGGTCAGTGTGTTTAAAACAGAAACAAAGCGTGCTGGTCCCACGGAATGCTGAATGTCTCCCCCACACATTGCCATACTACCTTACCCGCATGCAGTCGCCGTTGCACCAGGACAAGGACCGACTGGAACTGGCGATGACGTTGGTGCGGCTTATCGCTATCGTATCGTCTTATCCTTGCCAAGGTGAGCGGCACTAGCAGCGGCACTCTCACCTTGGGGGGCCTCTTAGGGCCTTTTTAGAGCTCAAGTTCACTGAACCCCAGCGGTGCTACCACCCCATAATAGCACCGGCCCAGTGCTGCCAATCATGTGGCCCCCTCCAACGACGTATCGATTCTTATCCCACACCCCTTGAATCTGGCCTGAACCTCCACCCGTCAAACATCTCGTTCCCGTTGCCAGATTCCCCATCTTCGACCTCGTCCATCGCTTCGACGTCTCCGACCTGCCCCCCACCAGCCCGTGCCGCCCGTTTTCTTGCCGCCGTCGCCATCTCTCCCGACGCGGCCGTTGCCTCGTGCCCGCCTGTCGCCCGCGATAGTCGAAGCTGGTAGGCTTCTCTCTGCCCCATCCCTCCATCTCGTCCTCGACCTTCTTCTAAGCCACACCCTGCGCTTCTATACATATCTGATCATGCCCCCCGACTGACCATGTCCACAGTGGAGCTAGCAGCTTTCCACGCTCTTAGAGCTGTCATCTATCAATCGCTGACTACGAGAAGCGACGCCCCTCCTCTTCTCCCTTGGCCGTTTCCGTTTTACCTCGAAGCTCTGCCGCGTCGATCGGGTGCTCACCCACAGCTGCTGTCAAGCTTGGCGATTGGATCCTCGACATAACCATGGCTTCCAGCAGTTTTCGAGACTCCATCAACTCCCTGGGCTGGAGCCGGCGACAGGAGGCGCCCATCACCACATCTCAGCAGTCATCCGGCCTCCTGTCCTCTCTGCAGAGTCTGAACCCTTTCCAGGATCGCGGGTACACTGTCCTTCCCACCTCAGAAGGTCCAGGAGCACCACTGCCGGCACCCACTCGGCGTGAAGAGGAGGAAGGCTGGTTTGTGCGTGAGTCAACCTGGACATTGTCCCATCGCCTTCATCGCGACCCCCCCTCCTGCAGACGAAACATGTGCATCTCGCAGCTCTAGCTCGCACCTTGGATGCTGCATGTGATGCAGATGCAACGCCTCGTGGCTGGAAGTAGCTAACATGGAGTGTAGTAAGTCGATGGGACCGCATGCTGGTATTTGCCTTTTGCAATCTGGCTGCCGCTGCCTGCTTCGTCATCTGCTTCACCCTGTTCCCTGTCCTTTCTCTGAGACCACGCAAATTTGTGATTCTGTAAGTCTTTAATGACGTCGTTGCCTCTTCTTGCAGAGCTCTTCACACACCCTTTTCATCACTGCCCTGACCCCCTTCTTCCCCAACAATCCAGCCTTAACACCTATCACACCTATCCAGACATGCATGCACGCAATATATGCCTAGCCGGAATTCTCGGTAGACGGTATTGCATCGATTACCTGCATGCGTTTCTACTTGCCGAGACCAACTACCCATGTAACTGCGCAGCGCTAATCCCCCACTTAGATGGACAGTCGGTTCGGCGCTCTTCCTGGCGTCCTTTGCTGCCATTATGGGGCCAATGAACTACGTCTACCACCTCTTCTCGGCCCCGAGACTCCCATTTACCGCTGCCTACTTTGGCTCCATCGCATTGACGTTGGTGTTCTCTATCAAGGTATGTCAAGGCCCCGTGAGACATGAGGGAGGAGGAGGAGGTGCTGCCGCGTAATCAGAAACAAAGCCTGCTAACATGACGAAGCTTCATAGCACTATCCTCACCCTCTTTGCTGCCCTTGTTCAACTCGCCGCATTGCTTTGGTATCTTGTCAGTTATTTCCCAATGGGTCAAACAGGATTGCGCTTGGCTACTTCTTTCGGCGCAAGACAGGCCACTGCATGGCTTTCGGGGTGAGTCTTGGAGTCTTGGACAAGACGGATCAGCAAGCAGAATCTCCCCACTAGTACTCAAGCTTGACACCTGATGATCTTTTGAGTATGGCTTTTGTTTTGTAATGTATTGTGGATATATATGTATTATGTGAAGCCTGGAGTTTCGAAGCACTTCGGCAATATCTGGCATCTGGGTTGCAGTCTCGTGTAGCGATAGGAATGAATCCACTCAAAAACATGTCTCTCAGAAGCGTGTCTATCAGTTATTGCCGAAGCTCCCCATCCATCCTTATGCATAATCAACCAGCGACCTTTGCGCGGTGCTAATGCACAATCTCTCCGGATATTAACTAACAGACACGGCACATCTCATCCACGTGCCGGAAACACAAGCATAGACTGGGAAATGCAGAGCGGGCAAGAGGTCACCTGCCATGCCAGGGGTTGTTGACATATATTAATCGGGGAAAAGGACGAGTCTGATTGGCTCTTTTGAAGGTCGACAGGTCTCTGTGCTCCGTACCACCAACATCTACCCTATTGATGAGCTCATGGTGATCATCATGCTTGGAGCCTGCCAGGTACTAATTCACTAAGGTAGGTACTACCTACTAGTATCGTGGTAGTTTTGAATAAAGACGATCCGGAGCAAATCTCATAGAATCTAGAACAAAGGATTTGCACTTTGTCCAAGTGAGCAATAAAAACCAGCAGAGATTTGCATTGTCACGGGTAACGCTGGTGCGGTATTGCAGGGTACTCCGAAACGCCGTACCTCCGGTATACCCTTGGAGGTAGCGCTACTTTGCGCTGCGCAGCCCATTTCAAGCCACCAGAGTCCAAAAGCAAACAATGGCATCCGGAGAAGCATTTCCGGTACCCATTTGGCCGTAAATGCCTACTAGGTAGCAAGCGGGTGATTACTATGTATCGGGTATACGAAGTGCTCGGCGCGGAATACGAAAGTGCTCTCCAGTTGCGTTTTCTCTGGTGCTGCAGCTGCTATGTAGTACTCGCAAGGGCGGGCTGGACTGAGACAGAGAGGCCTCGGCAAAGATGACGATGACTCTTACCAGCCAGTAGCACCACAACTGCGGAGTATTTGCGACAAAATACATTTCCATGTCACCAACTCTTCTCCTTTGGGTACTACGTGCAAAATCCCGCTACCCTCTGCCGTGGGTTACTCGTACATGAGAGATTTACAAGTAGATACTACTAAACTGGGAGAGCTCCCCTCATCGCCAGTGACACTCGGCGCAGGCACAAAAAAATGTTGCCCACGGATCCTTTACCGCGGATATCGCTTGTCGATAAGGGCGATAAATGATAGAGGATAAGTGATAAAGCGCGGCGCGACGCAGCAAGTCACGACAACGCGGCCGATCTCCCGGCACGCAGCCTGCTGATCACGAAGCGAAATGAGAAAAAGCAGGACAAGGCCAGTGATTATGCACGGCCGCAAGGACGAAGCCTCGCTGCCGGGCTGCCAATAGGATGCTCGATAATTATAGCGGCGGATCGCATCCTGACAACGCATTCCGGGGGGCTGAAGTGCCCCAAAATGCTGGCGCCGCACCACAGGATCTCTGCCTTAGGTACAACCTTACGCACCTTGTTTGCACATGTACATGGACAAATCAGGGCCGCACACAGGTTTTGAATGACTCCGCACTAAATGTGCATGTCTCACGCCGCCGCCGGCTCTGCAATTGCTATTCGCTATTCGCTGCCAGGCCTGCTGTAGTTCGTATCCGAACAAAAGCAACGAAGCAGAGCGGCATGGAAACGAAACAAGGGCCATGAACAAGACGGCAAACAGAGCCTTAAACTGCTTACCCGCCACCTACTACTAAGCTTCTATACTGTAATACCGAGTATCCTATTGAGTATTTATATTTCTCCGGCAGTCCGGTACTTGAAAAAGCCACCGACTCGACTTGAGCAACGCTCGGGCTGCCTCTCTCAAACACCAGACACCGACTCGACCCGACATTCGGCTTACAAGCCATATTCGCGCATTTTCAATCACTCCACCTGCAGCGAACGATTTTCCATTATCCAAGTGTGGGCCGCGGAAGCCCCAGCAGTTGTGCCCTCGGCCGGGCAAATCGAATTGAGTGCATCAGCTTCACGAGCAAGGGCTTTTTTTTGTCTTTATTTTTACTTTTATTTTTATTATTCAATATTATCTAAACCCTGGGCTTCCATTTTTTTACCCTTCCTCTCACCCCCGTTCTCACAGGCACAAGGCCCTGGAAACCCGCCCTACCAACCTTCTTACCTACTAGTTTGGGACCAGCAGCGCTGTAAGAGCGTGCTTCCATAGGCCCGCTGGGGGCCAACTGCACTCCGTAATCCAGCGCCAATTCGCTCGCTGGGGACCGCTGTAACTAAGCCGCCCAGCCGCTCCGCTTTCAGGACGCTGTCCTGGGCCCCAAAAAACCCGCCAAACCCGCCAAACCCGTCTAGGCGCCCTATCGTCTAGGAAGAGAGGGGAACCAAAAAAAAAAAAAAGTTTTTTATTATTCTGGCACACAAAGCAAAATTATCAACTTGCCTCTTTCGTTTGCCCTTTGTGCCCTCTTCATCTTTTTCACCACCACCTTGACCAGTCAATTCTCAAGAATTGCCGCGCCGGCTGGCATTTGTTTGACCGTTTCCTGACAGGCTGCGCTGTGACCTGTCGAGGAGCGCAGCTGGTTTTCTCCTTCATCTTTTCCTTCTTCCGCCCTGCATTGCCCGCGTGCCACTGCGCAACAGTTATTTCCTCCTGCACCCCGGTCACCTTCGACCCTCAATCCGGCAGCCTGTTGTCACCTCTCCCTTTACCTGACCTGGCTGACTTGTTGCTCGGCCTGCTTCTCTGTCCTTCCACCCGTACGTGTACGTGCGACGCCTGGAGGCTCTGAGTGTGCGACAGCCACCGCCTTGAGGCGCCTTTTGCCGACCGGCCGCCTTTGCGTTTTCGACCGGTTAATAGTTTTCGGGCCCCTCCGCCACCTACCGACGTGATCTTGATCCCTTTGCCTGGGCTCGAGAGACGACCGTCCCGCTTTACAGCTACGGATTCTACGCACTCGCTTCTCCTCCCGAGAAGCATTCCAAGAGAAAGAAATCGACTGCCTCTCGGCCCTCTAGCAGGATCTCCGTGTCTGGTGCCTCTTTAGCGTTTTCCCATACGCCAAAGAAATTTCTCTGGAACTTTCCACCTCGAGAGATAACTTTATACTTGCCACTGCGAGGTGCGACTTGAAACCTTGTACCGGGATATCACGCCTTTAGTGTTTATCAAAGACATCAGCTTCGCTGCCGCATCATTTCTTTCTCTTCTTCTTCACCACTCCCTCTTACGGTTCCATCAAAAATGGCAACCGCTTCAGCTTTTTCTTATGCGCAGGCCGCCAAGGGCCAGGGCACCGTGCCATCAAATGCCTTGCCTGGGCAGCCCGTCCAGGACTCCCAGCCACCCGCAGCCGCGCCCAAGTCTACCGCGGACGCCGAAAATGCGACCGAATCCAATGGTGCCGTTCGAAGCGCCGATTCTTCCGCCAGCACGGAGAAGCAGGATGCTGTCAGCAATACTGGTTTGGAGGTTGAGACCCGATCAGAGGAAGTCCAGGAGACGCGCCGCGAGCCCGTACGGGATGACGAGTCTGGCAGATTAGATCGCCCTTGGCGACGAGGCGACAAAGGCACGAGGTCTTCGAGTACGACCACGCGATCGGTCGACGAACAAGATTCCAGAAGGCCGCGGAAGTCTAAGAAGTCAAAGGCTGCAGAAAAGCAAGCCAACGAGCAATCAGCAACAGACAAGGACCAGGAGTCTGAAAAAGAGGTTCCCAAAGTCGAACTGTTTGAGGCGCCCATTCCATCTGTCAATATCTGGCGGCAGCGAGCGGAAGCTCAGGCAAAGACCAAGCCATCTGCCGGCTCTGCAGAGCAGACAACCAATGGTTCACCAAAGCCTGAGGTATCCGCCAAGGTGGCTGAGAACGGTGTCCCAGCTGCTGCCCAGCGCGATAGCATACCAAATGGCGTCAAGCCCCCTCGCAAATCGGTCGATGCCCCTCGATCCGAGAGAAATGCCAGCCGTGGTTCAAGAGTAGCGGACAAAGATGCTGGCAATATGCCCCCTTCGGTCGCCGATACTACGGCCTGGCCTACTCCAGAGACGGCCATCCAAGAGGACAAGAAGAAGCCCGCCGAGAAGTCTGAGAAGGACGCCTCAGAGGACGGATCCCAGTCAAAGCCGAGACAAAAGGGAAAATGGGTGACTATGGATTACGTGCCGAGCGTCAACTTTGAAACGCAGCTTCCTCAGATGCGTAACTCCAAGCCTCGAGGTGGAGCTAGAAACGCAAATAGCTCAAGGGCTACACCATCCCACGCCAGTGACAAGGGCACCGCACCCGTCGCCAGCCAGGGCAAGCCCAGTGAGAACACCAACAGCGGTAACAGCAACGGCGGCAACAAGGAGCGCCCTCGTGATGGTGCCAACGGCCCGAACCGCGGTGCGCCAGCGCCTCAAGCTAAGCGTTCATCGACAGACATGTCAAATGCACGTGAGCAAAGGAAAGCCGCGAACCACGCTGGTAGCGAGAAGAACAAGGATGCCACATCAAACTCAACTGTAAGTAATATCTTGATGAATGCAATTGCAGCTGAGAAAGGGGTGGTGGAAGAGGACACTCCCATACCAACCTCACCGCCATTTTTCTGGAATGATGTGCTAACACTCGTGTTTTAAGGAGCAGGGCCATGCTGTCCGTGAGCGAACGGAGAACCGCAATGATAGACCACGAGGTGCATACCGCGGCCGTGGCGGACATCATCCTGTCAACACCCAGCACCAGCATCAGCACACTGCATCCAGCTTCTCTGCATCGGGCGCCATGGGCGGACGAGCCCAAGGCCCCTACAGCCCACCACCCAGGCAAGGTGGCCATGGTCAGATGTTCATGCCATCTCAAAGGGGTGGCAGAGGCGGCCGCAACAACGGCCAAAACTTCCATCGCATGTCTCTGCCTAATGGATCAGCACGCATTCCTCAGGTTCAAACTCAGTTTGGGCCCTACGAGTATCCCATCACGCCGATGACGGCCATGCCCTTCCAGCCTCAGCCCTACTGGGACAACATGTTGGTGCCAGTACTGAAGAGCCAGGTCGAGTACTACTTCTCCATCGAGAACTTGTGCAAGGACGTATATCTCCGCGCGCGAATGGACTCGCAAGGTTTTGTGCCCTTGCACTTCATTGCCTCCTTCAAGCGTGTGCGAGAGCTGTCTGCCGATATCGCCATGGTCCGTGCTGTTTGCGAGATCTCCACCGAACTCGACCTCGCTGTTGGTGAAGATGACATCGAACGCGTGCGACGAAGCCAGGCGTGGGAAAGCTTTGTGTTGCCTCTTGAGGATCGGGATGAGTTTGCTCGAAACCACGGACCCGCCCACCTCACTTTCAAGAACCGACCCTCGCAAATGCCACCCCAGTTTAACGGAATGCCTGTCCCATACGGCATGGCGTCACCCCCTGCGTATGCAGCCCACGCTGAAATTCCGTTTCAGCAGCTGCCTGATGATGCTCTCATCGGCCAGGGACTCAACGGTCTAGCAAACGGCCATGTCAATGGCGTCAGTCAGCTGTCGGCAGATGTGCCCGACTTTGCTCCCTCAGGTGCTCTTCAGCTCGATGGCCTGGCCAAGACTAACGGCCCAGTTGCCGTGAATGGACATGCCGAGAAGCCCGTTGACAGCACGTTGCCTAACGGGGTACACAACGAGCAATCAGTGTAGGGGAATCTTTGATCCTTAGCTGGTCATGCAGCAGCGGTACTGACTCCTGGCCATTTGGGGGTTTCTCTCGTCTGTGGTGTCTGGGCGAATAGCCTTGAAGGCGCTTCCTGCATATCTGTTTCTTGTGGTTTGGCCGGACAGCTCAGAAAGCTTGTCATGGCGATTCCTTGGCCGGTTCAAGTGAAAACGCATTTTAACCTTTTCATTTTTCTTTCGTCACAGTTCTGCCTAGCTATTCTTGGCTAAGGCGCGGCAAGGGAAACGGCAAAACAAAAAGCGTTGCAACAAACTGTGAATTATTTAAGGATTTTTGGCTTTGTAAGATTCATTTCTTTGCCCTTTGATTGTCTACCTATGCGCAGATGAAGGCGACAGACGACGGAGACGGGGCGTTTCGCTACTCTAGGAGGGCACAACCAAAAAAGGGGGAGAAAGATACCCCTGGAGATTTGTGTTTTTATTTTGGGTCCGGAACCTGTAACGCAGCAAAAGCGTTTGGCACTCTGGTTTGGGATTTCCTTTCTGAGAAAAAGAAGAAGAATGAAGAAAAAAAAGAATGACAAAATGGGAAAGACATAGGAGAAGAGGAAAAGGGAAAAAAAAAGTTTGAGAGTAGGAAATAGAGCCAGTGCTTGAGGGCGCTGGCATTGGAGACCTTGTGTTAATATGGAGGTCTTTTCCTCTTGGCTGGGCAACCATGATTACTCTGACACGGTTTTCGGTAGAGAGTGGATGAGATTTCACACACTTCTGGGGCTCAGGAGACGATATTATTCACGCGCAGGACTTGGATTGGAAAGGCATACCTAGTCTTGCACCTGCTGGGATCTCGGAAGGCTTTATGAAAAAGGGTTGTTCCTGTTTTCACACTCCTGAGCATTAGTTCAAGTTTGCTCCAGCTACCATGCTATTGATGAGAAACGCAAAGGGCTTCCGTTACGATCTTTTTTATTATTATTATCATTTTTTGCTAGACAAATGACGGGATGGGCTGCCCAGAAAAAAAAGTGAGGAAAATACGAGAGATTGAAAAAGCAAAATGATGGGCGAACGACCCAAGGGCATTTAAATGGGATGCGAATTTGGCAAAAATGGTTGCACAATGAGATTTTTTGATCTTTTTTTTTTTTTTCTAAACTTTCAATTTCTTGAGTCCGTATTTTCGGAGGGTTGTTTTCAGGGCTGGATTGCCTATGGCATTTGATGCGAGACAGCGTAGTACGATGTTGCTGCAAAACTGTTCAATTTGTACGATAGGATTCAAGAATAATACCAAAAAAAAAAAAGTCAGTCATCGGGTCTGAGGAAACAGACTCTCCTCTCTATTGGTTTATGAAGAAAACTGGTTGCCTGCGTCTAGATACAAAACATTTAGGTTTGTCTTGGCCTAAATGTAATAGCAAGGTTTGCCCTCTCCTTGTTCTCGTATTTCTCCTTTTAGTCTCTGTTTAGAACTGGCTTCGTGTCTGCTGTTGGAGAAGGAGAATAAAAGGTTGTAGAAATGAATTATGTGAATTGGCGGTACCATGTATGCTCATAATGCCATGGCGAGGCCTACAATGGCGATGAGACCGACGGCGGCGTTGGCAAAGGCTGTTGGCACTGAGGCTGGATTCGACGTAGATGATGATGTTGTGGTGCGAGTTCCTGTTATTGTGGTGAGGGAGGGAGAACTGGATGAGGCGAGTCGTTTCTCTGGGTGGTTTGCCAGTGCGGTTGTTGTAGATGATGGGAATGGCGTGGAGGAGGCTGATGATGATGTAGAAGAGGGAGGTGAATGCAATATGGACGCAGTGGATGGTATGAATAGAACAGGATCAATATCTTCAAAAGGAATAGTGGTGGCCTCGACAGTCCTGGTAGCTTATGGTTAAAACGAGATCCAATATAAGATAAGGGATAAACAAAAGACATGTCTTCTTCAAGGTTCACATGACGGCAAATAAGAAAGGGGGACAGTTGGTAGCTTACGGTGATGAACTCGATATGTTTTCAACATCATCTAGGTCCGACTCGCTTGGCGTGAGAATAACGAGTGGTCTCGGAGTATTCAGGGCAGGATCATCGGCGAATGCTGTAGGCTGGACGGGTCTTGAGAAGTGGCGAGTCGCAGTTCTGCAAAAGACAATGCATATTTCGTTAGTCCGTGATCTTTTGGATTTGTACATTGCCAAAGCAGAATTAATTTAGTACTAAGAGAACCTACATTGAGTGATGCGCCAAGGCGAGAGGGCTTGTAGCGAGGATAATGGCGACGAAGTGATGCATGGCTTTGAAGTATTTGCTGTATCTGGCATCAGATGCGATAGGGTTATCAAGATAGTTGAGCCACAGTCAATCATCTGTAACGCAAAGGAAGAAGAAGAAAACGAGAAGCATGAAATGATGGCAAATTCTGTCGAGTTCAAGCGCCGATAAAGCGTGTATGATTGGAATGTAGACAGTTGCCCAGGCCGAGCCTCGTCACATACGTCGTCACATAGCGGGCGGGTAGCTTGAACTTTTTCTTTTTTTTCCTCTCTCTCTCTCTTCCGGCTCCATTTAATTATGCCATTTTTTATTCTTACATGGGTAAAGTAATCAGGACAAGCAAAGCTCTCTATACCTATCTTTGGATAGCAAGGCGATACCAGAGTAGCATTCGGCTGCTGGGCTTGGAGACTTGAGCATTTGTTCCGTACGGCAACGTCACGATAAGGTGCAAGTTGCGCTAGGCTAGAAAGGGAATATGGCATTGTAAAGCCGTTGCCCTGGTTGTATTTACGAGGGAAACGAGTGTAGAGCCAAAATGTTGTAATGTTCTTTTTCTACACTGCGTACTAGTCTATTTGACTGTAAATGATGTAACTGGTGGTGATGACTAAATAGACGGTCGTAGCTGATGCGATACAAAATCTGTATCTTTTACACGGCACATATTGTTGGGAGCATTTCATTTTCCCTGTGCGCAAGAGGCATGACATCATTCTCCAAAGAGGCCACCCCGCCATAAAGTGGCTCGAGCGACAGCCTCTGTTTCAACCAGTAAATCCCGTCACGAGCCACATCCAGGGCGAATGAGGTCAAGTCACGGGTGGCTGGCGTGTGTGGCTAACGAAGTTGAAAAAGCGGGTGAGGCCTCGGGAGCGGAAGCGGGGTCGAAGTGCTAGATTACCTGGGAATGAGAGCGAGAAGTATGTAATAAGGGAGATGGAATTCTGTGCAAAAGAGGCGCTCAGGTTCGGGCTCAGGCTCGATGTGGCGTTGGGGCTTGTTCTAGGCGGCGGGTGGCCATGGGTTCTCCCGCGAGGTTGTTGAGACGGCATGGCAAGGGAGATACAGACTTCACGTAGACTTGAAAACTGTCAGGCGATACAATGTGCTTGTGTAGGGGAGTTGTGGTGCGATAGCAGCTGTCAGTCACCCGGTGTCCAAGACGGGTATGAGGCGACTCAGCTGGCTCTGGTTCAGTCGACCGACCGAAGCTTGACCAGACGTAGAGGAGCCTAACAGGCCTAGAAGCGCTCCCTCTCTGCTTGGCTGCTGAGGCTGAAGATGAACACCACAAGAGCGAGTGGGAGGAATCGGAGCGCCCGAGTCTGTGTGTGCGTGTGTGTGTTGGGAGACATGATGTGTGGGTTTAATCTTTGATAGCACGAATGTTGAGCAGATAGTTGCTACCTGTACTAAGGTGAGTACCTAGATCAAATAACCCTTCAAGGTTGCTGGATATCGCCTCAAGCGTTACGACCACAAGAATCTCAACCAACTGAACCATGAGGCGCAGCTGCTGAGCCACAGGCCTCTCTGTCTGTGCATGGCATCAGTGCATTACTCTAGGTACATACAGTACGGTGAAAGCCTGCAGTTCAGCAATTATGCCGCTCAGACCGCCTTGCCCTATCAAATCGCCAGCCTGAGCGCAAGGCAAAAACAAAAGCAGGGCAACAGCAGGGGTGCGCCTGCCCCCGGTCATCTTCATGTGTCGCCATTACGTCTTGCCCCGCTGCTTCATGCAGGCGCTGCGGCCAAGTCCCTCCTTCCAAGGCCCCCAATTCGACAATATCTTTTGGTCCTGCCTCTCGCAAATCTTGCAGCCGAAGTTTCTTTTTACTTCTTCAAACCTCTTCCAGCTGTTAGTTGCCCTTACGAGTATATCTGCTGCAACACCAGCATCAACGCGCCAGATTCCAACAGAAACATCGACAGAAGCGCATCTCAGCTGACTATTGCACCAAAGTAAAGCAATAAATAAATACAAGGGCTAGATCGGCAGTTGCTTTCGTCCGCAGTTTTGTGCGGCATATTATAAAAGCCAGCTACCCCGCCGGCGCACTTAGACGCTTCATCTCTACGAACCAACCACCCTCTACAGGACGACACAAGGCAGAATCAACTCTTCTTTCAAATGGCGAGCCACAGCGGGCAGGACTACGAATATTCCCGTCGCTACTTGCGAGGGGACGTTGTAGATGAGCGCGATCCCCGCTATTTTGACAACTATGGAGATGTCAACGTTCGGAACCGCGACCTCGTTCCTCGCGCAGACCCTCGCGACAGCAGCCTCTCTGTAGAGGAAGTTCGTCGTGATTTCCCGCCACCTAGTGGACGAGACTATGTTCACACTCACGATGCGCGCCGTGCTCGTTCTGCAGAGCCCGGCTACTACCAGGAGGATTACGAATATCGCCGCACTTATGGATCGCGGCTTGACGCCCGGGAGAGTGACCGCCACTCCAGGTATGCTGGGAGCAGCCATGGAGGCGATGATCGCGACAGAAAGCCCAAGCACACCAAGACCTTGTCGAAGCAAGAGAAGCTCATTGCTGCTGTTGCCGGCGCTGCCCTCCTCGTGGGCGGAAAGGAACTGTATGACCGCCATGAAGCCAAGAAGGAGGGAAATGGCACTCCAGTGCAGCGCAATGCACTCTCGTCGGCCGCGCTCGCGGGCTTTGGCGCACTCGCTGCCTATGGAGGTGCTGAGTTCTACAGCAAGCAGCAAGCAAGGAAGGATCAAAAGGCAACCTACATTCTGCAGCGTGGCCGGGACGGCCGCCTTGATGACTACTACGAGTCAGATGGTGAGAGCGATACCAAGGAGAAGAAGGGCCACAAGAACTTCCTTGAGAGTGCAATTGCCGCTACCGGCCTTGGAGCCGCCGTCAAGTCTCTCACTGGCCTAGGTGACGACAAGCACTCTGACACTCGGAGCCGCGGTGGTAGCCCTAGCTCCCGCAGCGTTCGCTCCCGCTCGAGCTCCAGAAGCGGCAGAGGTGCCAGCAAAGTCCAAAAGGCCGCCATCGCCTCGCTTCTTGCCGGAGCTACCGAGGCTTTCCGGGTCGCCAAGGAGCCCGGCGGCTGGAGAGGAGAAAAGACCAAAAGAATTCTCACTGCTGCTGCCGGTGCCGCCACTGTGGATGCCGCCCACGGCGCGGACCACGGAAAGCTGGGTCTCGCCGAGTCAGTCATCGGAGGTCTGGTGGGCAACCGCTTGATCAACGGCTCCAGGAATGATATTGAAGAGGACCGTCGCACTGGCAGAAGCCGCTCCCGATCCCGTGCACGATCAAAGGACGGCCATGGAGGCGTCGGCCTCGCAGCACTTGCAACGGCCGGATTGGGTGCCCTCGGCGCTAAGAAGGCCTTTGATCGATCGCGATCCCGTGGACGCGACAGGAGCTTTTCCAGAAGCCCTTCGCGAGATCGGGATCGTCACCGTAGCCGAAGCCGCAGCGTTGTGGACAAGGCACGAGATGGTCTTGCCAAGCTAGGCTTCGGCAGTGGTGCTCTCGTCGCTGCCGATGACCGTCGCCGACGCGATTATGATGACGACTATGACGACCGGAGCTCACGCCACTCCGGCGGTCGACGAGATGATGATCACGTATACGATGATCCCAGATACCGCCGCCGTGGAGGCCGTGAAGAGTCCCGTGACCGAGACCGTTCTCGATCTCGGGACCAGTCGCGCAGGAGAGGTGGTTATGGATCCGAGTCCGATTTGGGAGACTCCTCCGAGGATGAGAGAAGGGCCAAGAAAATGAGAGGTAAGCAAATGATAACTACAGGTCTTGCGACCATTGCCACAGTTCACGCAGCACATGGAGTCTATAAAAGCATGGAGAAGAGGAAGGCACGGAAAGAAGCAGTCAAGGAGGGCCTTCTTTCTTCACAAGAAGCCAAGAAGCTCAGGGCCAAAGCTATTATGCAAGACGCAGCTTCAGTCGGTATAGCCGCCATTGGTATCAAGGGCGCATTATCCGAGCTCAAAGAAGCTAGAGACATGACCCACGAGTGCAGAGAGTGGAGGAACGAAAAAGAGCGCCGTCGTGAGAGGCGAGCAGAGAGGCGCCAGAAGCTTGGAGAAAGAAAGCGATCCTCAAGCTGGTCAACTTCATCGCGACCAAGAAACGACGGATACTATGGAGACAATGAGGATGGAGTATACATCCTCGACCGCAGATACAGTGCGGTCTCTCAACTCCAACCGCCTCTCAGGCGAGATAGCCATTGAGCCACCACCACTAAGGAGTCTGAGCGCCAACCAACAACATTCCTCATATGGCAGGCTTTCATTCCATTTCTACGTCTCAGAGTCTACAGGCTCACCCCATCACTCAAACCATTCGATACACGACTTGCATGGTATATATGCGGAAAGACTACATTCATTCTAATATTGGCATTGGTTACCGACCTTCCAATCAGAGATCGTGGAACCTTTGAAATGAAACTTCATGTGCTGCGTGCTGCTATATAGATTGAGCTTCGAGCTTAGCAAAATTGTTTTCTTCAATACTCTTGCATCTATATTAAGAACAACTGACTAATGATGATTGATTTGCTACAGATCACCGGCGCTACTGAGTGCTTGTTCATTCCGGAGAATAAGGAATGCACCCGAGAGGATGGAATCATGGCCATTGCGGAGAATAGGCATGCTCGAGCACGGCCACAACTCGATCGATTGGCGAGAGTAGCCAGTTATTTCTCGGAATCAAGGCCGGATCTGGCGTTTTGCATGGATGGCTACACGTTTCCATGCAGGCCAACACGAGAAAGGCGCGGGCTTGACAAATTCTTGGATAACGGCCATGCTAGGTAACGTGGCACATCCCAGAATCTCGATGAAGCAGGAAGGGATATGCAGTAGCAACGGCAAAGACGGCCCAGGGCGGGCGATGCAAAGGGAGATCTACGATGATTGGAACATTCGGGTTGGAAAACAGGTTGAGGGACGAAATCCTTGGATGGCTTACATTGATTTCCTTGCATGTGTGGGGGCCTGGCAAGCTGGACTCCGATTTACGAATTATGATGACTGATATTAATGAGTGCTTTTATGTTTTTTATATAATGGAAAGGTAGAGGACAAAAAAAACTGTGTGATTAATGCATGGCTTCAAGTAAATTCATCATTTTGCATATGGACTAAGACATTATCCTTTTCGTAGCCTTTGGTCAATCCAATCAAGAAAAGAACAACTACGCAATCTTTTCTTTCCACTCCCTGGCAAAAACTCCAGCATTCAAGATTTCCCCAAGTCTATGACATCATGACTTGTGTAAGCGGCATCCAACTGCATCAAGATCTCGGACACGTCCTTTTTTTGCTCCTCCCCCCTTGTTTTTTCGGCTCCCTAGTCTGAAACGTCACAGTGCGGCGGCCCGAGCACTTACACCCCCACTGCTGCATGGGAGCATGCAATGTGAAATAGTGGTGACGTCGTAGTGCGTCCCCCCTGGAGCGAATGGATTTTGATATCGTGATGTTTGAGGCGGGTTGCATGTACATATGCGTATGTATGTGGTATGTGAGTGGCCCCCTCTCCCATGTGTCTCATCGTGGTCCTCTCTTGTGAGGAGTGCATGTATGCGTGAAATCACAGTGGATGGCAGCGTGAGGAGGGGAGGGGAGTGAAATTAGACAAGACAGACAGATGTATCAGAGTATTAGACGGGGTTATTTTGTATTCTGCCCCCAAGAGTAACGGTGTAAATACAGCGACAGAAGGAATCGCGCACAACCCTCACGAAGCGCCGGACAAGTCGCCGCCTGTCTGCTTCCACTTCTGCGCCACGGCCATGATATTGGACAGCTTCTTGGCCTGCTGGTCGTCGGCCGGGAAGACGTAGTCAAAGTACTCCTCGTAGACGTCCTCGTTGTCGCCGCCGCTCTCATCCTGGACCCTTCTCCGGCGCTTGACCCTGCGCGGCATCTGCTTCTGCACGGCGTCCACGTCGGCGTCGGAGCCGTGCGTGCGTTCAAACGACAGCCAGGCGTTGAGCAGGCTGACGCGTTCTTCCTTGAGGTCCTTGTCGCGCATGCTCTTGTGGGCGCGCTCAAAGACCTTGCGGGCGCGGGCCTTTGCCTCATCGCTGACGGGCTGCTCCTCTTCCTGCTCCTCGTCGGCCTCGTCGTCTTCGGGGATGTTGATTTCGAAGTGGGCGTAGCTGATCCAGACCTTGACGTGGTCCGTCTTTTCAAGGAGTCGCTCGTACAGGTCGCGCGTCCGTTCGTACTCGCCCTCTTCTTCTTCAAAGTCGATGTAGGCCTTCCACAGCAGCTCTGGCATGTCCAGCTGGGGCTGGCTGACGGCCAGCTCGAAGATGGCCCTCGCACGATCGAGGTCGTCTAGGCCGCGTTCCAGCTCGGCAAACTTGATCCATGTCTGGCAGTTTGTCGAGTTGTACTGAACGTGCTTCTCGTATAGCTTCCGGCAGCGCACAAACTCAAAAAGCTTCCGCTCTAGATCGACATAGCCGTCGAACAGCTTGTCCTTGGGGCACATGCCAATCGCACGCCCCAGCAGCTTCCGAGCAGCCCCCAGGTCGCCCTGTCGAACCTCAAACTGCGCCGCAAGCAGCCATATCTTGGCAAACGTAAACTTGGTATGGGGTATCAGGTTTAGGCATGTAGTGTAAATCTGGCGGGCGCGCTCCACGTCCTGGCCCTCGAGCTCCTCCCACACCGCGTAGAATATCCACAGGTAAATGTATCGGCGCCAGTGCCGCTTCTCCTGGGTTGGCGGCACTTGGGCAATCGCTCGCTCGTAGACATCCCGAACACGGTCTGCATCCCTAGATGCCTCCTCCAGGCCGGCGTAGTCGAACCACGCATCATAGTTTTTAGGGTTCTCGCGCACCTGCTCTTCGTAAAACACCCGTCTCTTTGAGAGCACCACGTCTTCCACGCCGTCCTGGTCGCCAAATTGCTTTTCAAATGTCGTGTATGCCGAATGCAGCAGCCTTGATTTTGATCGGGGTAGGCGGTCAAGGGCGTATTTGTAGATGGCTCTCGCTCGCTCATATTCCTTGAGCTTGGATTCAAACCTAGCATAGGCAATGAATAGCTTCTCGTCGACAAAGTCATCGCCTAGAGTCTCAACCGCCGTTCCATAGACCTCGCGAACCAGATCGCTCGTTCCGTACTCTTCCTCAAACTTGGCCCATTTGATCCAGTTTCGGGGCTCAGGGTGGACCATGGTAAAGGTCTGGAAGATCTCGCGTGCCCGGTCAAACTCGCCATATCGCTTTTCCAGTTTGATGTACGCACTCCATGCCGCCTCATTTGGTCGCCATTGCATCCACCTATCAAAGACCTGTCGCGTTCCGGGGATGTTGCCCAGCATCTCCTCCATGTAGACGTATTTGTACCACATCTTGTCGACTCGGGGCAGCCGCGTGACTGCGCGGTCCAGCAGATTTCGGGCATGGTTGATGTTTCTCGACTTCATCTCAGCCTCGATGTACCGCGTCCACACTTGTACATCATTAGGATGGACATCGAGACAGCGTTCGAAGACGGATCGAGCGCGGGCAAACTCTTTCTGCTCCAGCTCCCACTGCGCGTACTGCAGCCAGTTGCTGAGCTTGACGCGATTCCGCCTGACATAGTCCTCAAACTCCTTTCGCTTCCGGCCCTGGTACTCGTGAAGCTCTTCGAGATCGGCGAATCGCTGCGTCGGTGCCTGGATCTGAACCTCCTGTCGGTCGACGGCCTCACGAAGCAGCTGCTCGGCACTGATCTGGATAGGCGCAGCGGCCTTGTTTTTGACCTTGGGAGGGCCACGCGACGACTCCATTGTGCCGGATAGCTTGTGCGACGCTTGATAAAGACGATTGTGTAGAAACCAAATCCGAAATTCGCTTCGATGAGCCGGAACGAGCTCTTGCGGCAGCCAGAGATTGCTCAACGAGCCCCAAGCAACTGACGAGGCTTTGAAATTTGGGAGAGGCGGAACAGACAGACGTGCTTGGAGTGTGTACAAAGTACTTAGCGGCGCCTTATCGCAACGATAAGCTTTTGGTTTGGTGTGATGGCGCACGGGCCACCTCCAAAGTTGCCTACTACTGCCTGTTGTTTCTCAGCCTCGCAGCTTCATTCAAATCAGAAAAAAAGAAGCCTAACAAAGCAATTTGTAATCCTGCAAGCTGCACATCACCCGATCGAAACAATTCTTTTTCTTTTACTTTTCTATTTCCAAAGATACAGCCGCGACTAGAGAGATAGACCTGTTCGCCAGCCAGTCGCCACCATGTCGACAGTCGCCGACGATCTGCTCAACGACTTTGGAAGCTCAGGAGACGAGGCAGATGAGCTGGACAACGAAGGTCTCGTACTCACAGAAAAGCCGGAGAAGACAGCAAATGGCGATCGCGATGCCATGGATGTGGACGATGACGACGACAATGAGGAGGCCTCGGAAGATGAAGGCGCGGCTGCCTTGAACGACATGGAGGATGCAGAAGCAACCAAGGCAAAGGTCGAGAAGATGCAGCTGGGTGCCGTCAAAGATGTCCGCAGCGTGGCCAGTCTGATGCAGACGCTGGAACCTATCCTCGAGGTTAGTAAATCCCTTCCCTTTGCCCCAAATCCTCTTTGGATGGCTTGTTTACATCGTTTTCGAGATGAGCAATTAGCCCTGACGTGTTGGCTCGACTCCTACAGAAAATCACATATTACCAGTCGCAACCGACGGCGCAGCAAACCAGCGTTGGCAACATCGAAGATCACCCCGAGTATCACCTTTTGACGCAATCCAACAGCCTATCAACCATGATCGATGGCGAAGTCGCGCTTGTACACAAGTTCATTCGCGATCATTACTCGACTCGTTTTCCCGAATTAGAACGCCTCGTTACGACTCCTTTGGAATATGCCAAGGTGGTGGCCATCATTGGAAACGGTCCCATGGACTCTGAGAATATCAAAGTGCTTCAGACTTCGACAGACAACCCTCTTGGTGTCGGGCTAAAGGCTGTCCTTGACGGACCCTCTCTCATGATTGTTACTGTGGAAGCCACCACCTCGAAAGGACATGAAATGGTGGCCGAGGAGCTACAACGAGTACGACAGGCCTGCGAAATGATGATTGCCCTGCACAGAGCGAAGCAGACTCTCACAGAATACGTGCAATCACGAATGAACATTTTCGCACCCAACTTGACGATCCTCATCGGCTCACTCACGGCTGCACAACTTCTGAATGCTGCGGGCGGTCTGACGGGTTTGTCCAAGACACCAGCATGCAACATTCCCTCCTGGGGTTCCAAGAAACGACAAGCCGGCCTGGCTACTAACATCGGCATCCGTCAGCAAGGCTATCTCTACAACTCTGAGATTATTCGGGGTATTCCCAACGACCTGAAGAAGCAAGCGATGAGAATCGTGGCAGCCAAACTCGTTTTGGCCGCACGAGTTGATCGTATCCACTCCAGCGCCGACGGCTCAACAGGAGAGCAACTGAAATCTGCCTGTCTGGAAAGGCTAGAGAAGCTTACCGAGCCCCCGCCAAACAAGGGACAGCGAGCGCTTCCTGTACCTGACGACAAGCCCGCCCGAAAGCGAGGTGGTCGCCGGGCCAGGAAGGCCAAGGAGGCGCTAGCCATGACGGAGCTGCGCAAGGCCCAAAACCGCATGGCATTTGGCAAGGAAGAGAAGGAAGTCGGCTACGGCACGGGCGAAGGCACGGTGGGCATGGGCATGATTGGCCAGTCTAACGACGGACGTATTCGCGGCATGCAAGTCGATCAGCGCACGCGGGCCAAACTTGGCGTCAAGAACAAGGGCTGGGGCGGCGCCAGCACACTTGGCGGAGGCACGGCATCATCCATCGGAGGTTTTGGCATGGCTCCCGGCATGGACCTACGCGGAAAGGGGCTCCGGACATCAGGCGTGGGAAGCACCGTCGGCTCTGCGACCGGTACTCAGTCATCACTAGCTTTCACTCCCGTCCAAGGTCTGGAGCTGGTCGATCCCAAGGTGCGCGCCGAGCTCAGCCGGAAGCGCAAAGCAGAAGAAGACAAGTGGTTCAAGGGCGGCAGCTTCACGCAGGTCGGCAACGGCGGAGGAGGTGGCTTCAAAGTCCCGGACCTGCCGGCGTCGAAGCGGGTCGACACCGGAGCTTCAAAGATGGGCCCGCCTCCGGTGCCGAACCGAAAATGAGGACCTACCCGGTAGGAAAAGGGGGATTCAGATGCTTTTGACTTTTATTCTATTGCGTATTGATGGTTGTTCACCACGGTATTGGAAAGTGGTGCTATTTTATCTAGGCGTTTAAACTACCAAGGCTTGCTCAAAGAATGTGTGTGTGTATATAGAAATACTACTACCAAATGCCATCCTCTAAACGGAAGGGCATATGCAGATTGATTGAAGTACACCAAAAACGCATCTCTGCTGTTCCTTACCTATAAAGTCCAAGCCGTAGAAGATTAGAACATTCTTCTCACGCCAATCTTTCTCCTCACCTAGGCGGCGATCAATGTCGTGCCAAAACGATGATCAAAAAAGATGTACATGCACGATTTCAATCGAAATCAGATTCCCATGTGGCTGACACGCTCTTCCTTATTCGATGCCCGACTGATGCTCGAACTGCTTGTTTAGGGGGGAGCTACACTTTTACATCATGCAAAGTTAGGCTAAACGGCTTGAGCAGGTATAAGCTGCCAGGGACGAGGATCCCGTTCTTTTTTCGTTTTATTTTTTTGTGAAATGTGACGGACGGGATGCGATTATTGACGGGAATNGGGGGGGGGGGGGGGGGGGGGGGGGGGCGTGTGTGAATTGACGATGATTTGCGCTGTGATGGGCATTTTTAGGTTACATTTGGGTTTTGGGTGATTTGGGAGAGATGGACATGATTTACATGTTCGTACAGGTATGTACATATCACAGATGACAGGTGACAGGTGTTGTTCAGTCACAAAAAAGTTAAAAATCGAAAAAGGCTGCCTGTCACATCGTAATGTGATATCAAGGATCAGAAAAAAGCAAAACCGATGAAAACTGGATGGATGTCGTAAAGACTCACAGGGATGTAGAAACTGTGGCTGGCTGCTTCATCATGGGAACAAATGTATCTCCATGTACCCAAAGACTTGGGAAAAAAAAGAGAGACAGAGAGAATACGACGTTGCGAGCTGAACCAGGTTATTGTATCATTCCTCATCCAGCCCCCCATGTGCTGGAATTTTTGTCCTTGACCTGCATGTTGCGTGTTCGTATGTCCGTATGTACAACGCAATTGCGCGCAGGTTGGAATGGAGGCAACAATATCGAAAAAGAAAAAAAGGGTGCCAAAGGTGCTTGCTTTCGTATGTTACAGCAGGGAAATCCAGCAACCAGATGTGCTCTATGCGGATACGAAATGGAAAATCCTCCGTAAGAGGGGGTGTGTGTGGTGTGTGACTACCTGACCTTTTTTTTTTTTTTCTTCCCAGTCACAAGGGGGCTACTGGGAAATCCCAGATCTCGATGAGCAAAGACAGGGCCGGAGATCAATGTCCCGTGGGCAACGAGTCGAATTTTCATGGGTACAGTTACTGCTCCCCTTTTCTCTTACCTTGTAGAAACAAGTACAGGTCAAGTATTGAGTGCCAAGGACATGATGCGCGGGACGGGACTCTGTAGTGAGACTTTGTGATCTGACCCCGTTGGAACATCCTTTTATTGGAATAGGGCAATACCAGCTACCGCACTGGCGGCGCCGGGAAGATGCACGTCAACTGCCAGGGGGCCCAAACATCGTGACTAACGGAGAGTTGGTGTTGTTGGCTGTGCAGTTGGAAATAACAGCCGGGAACAAGGGGAAATAGTAAGGGGTATTCCGTAGAAAACCAGCAATAAAGCGACAAAAAGTTAAAAGAAATAAAAAGGAGTACGCTTAATGCACAGTATCAATGGGCCTAGGGGAGAGACAAATCTCCCTTTGGCCAGTCAAAAAAGCTCTTTAATCAAATTCGCAGAAAGAACCCACGGGGACATAGTCCAGCAGTTGATGCCCAAAAGTGGAATGCCATGAAAAAGGAGCATCTGGATCTCGATCTCCTCCCGATTCACAGCGTCCGTCACGATTCCTCATCATGAAAAGGATTCAGCGCAAAGACCAGGGAATGCAACAGAAACACGGTCCCAGCGCAGAATCATTGTTGAGCCCCCCTTGGACAAGCCACCTATCGAGCTTCGTAAAAGTTGCCACCTGTGGCTGCAAAAGGTACGAAAGGAGCAATGATCAACAATGGAAGTCTTCATAGTCGCACGCCGCTGGGGATCGAGGGACCATCAAGCAAAAGCAAAGCAAAGGTACACGCCTTGTCCACAATATTGCATGCAGCAGCTGCGTTTTGGAGTAGGACAGAATACGGAGTACTCCGAAGCTACTTTGTTGCTTTTCCAAGGTCATGACATCCTTGGATCTTTAAAGACATGGGCATGCAATGCAAGCACGTCCAAATTCTAAACTTGACATTGCGCCAGTGGCAAAAGGACCCCGACAAAGTCCCAATCACAGCGACGACGATTATAGTCTTGAGCGACTTTTTTTTTTTTTTTTTTTTTTTTTTTTTGGTCCCTTAAAAAAAAACAGGATACCGTGGGAAAGAGAAAAAAGCGCAGCAGTCATCGATCGATTTCTTGAAAATGTCCATTGGGGAAAGGGGGTGTAGGGGAGAAAATCACTTGTCTTATCCGGCCAGAGAAAGATGGTGCTGTCGATCACAGACAGGGTTGACGTCGAGTTGACAGGAGAATTGGGCTTGCAGCTTGGTCGTCACTCCGTATGCTCGTACGTCATGTCCAATGGTCGTCGCGCCAGTCTGTTGGGGTCGCAAAACTGGCACTGCAGCTTGCGCATGGAGCATCGTATCTGCTACTGCGAAGCGAAAAGCTTCAGTTTCGTATCAACAACGTTTGCGTCGGGCATCTCATCTCGTAGCTTTTCGAGGGCTGACACAGTCGCATGCGGCCAAACAAGCGGCTCCGTTGTGTCTTGCCCCCGTCCAGCTGGTCCTTGTCTTGTATCGTACCTGTGGCATTCGCTAGCTAGCCCGGCCCTCGTACAAGTCATGTCTGGTGCTGTACTCGTACTCCGTACTGTACACACTCCGTACCATCGCATCCCAGCATCCCAGCCTGGTCAAGCTTTTTGCCTCATGGCCATGTGGGGTCAGGCGGAGTCCCAGGGTTTGGGTCTGGGGAGACGGTCGAGCGGCTTCTTCTCGCATGGCCGCCCGGATTCAACGATCCCTCCGCAAAAGTCGAGATCCTCGGTGCCATGTGCGTGGAGAGCAAACGGGGGAATTCAGCGATCGACAGAGCCTGCTGGTTAGTCAAGACGTCATCAGCAAAGGGGTTCACTTGTGTTTTTTTCTTTTTCTTTTCTTTTTCTTCGTCTGTTCCCTCGCTGGCTGGCATCCCCTTGTAGCTGTGGCTGCCCCCGTGGCCTCCCGAGACTTTTTCTTCTCTGGTCAAATTCTCTTTTGCCTGCTATCCATGTGCCTGACAAGCCTGAACTCTGCGGGCGGAGCTAAACTGCTGTTGACGCGCGGGGAATGCATCAGTAGAGCGCCGTGATTTGTTTATCCAAAAGCTAAAGCTTGTAGTACTCGTAAGAAATGGCAGAGGCGGCCCCCGTCAGCAACGCAAAGGCCCTAATGCACGAAAAGGCTAACCCGGCCCGGGGATTGAAAGGGGATAAACAGAGGGCGGCCATTCGCTACCATTTGTTCGTTGGGATGCCTCTTCCCTCTTCACACGAGCTCGGGGGATGGTGAGGGAGGGCACGAGAGTTTGGAAGCGCATCCGAGAGGACCCAGCTCAGGGCCTACTGTAGACCAACCCAACTAACCACAAGATGCCGAGCGCAGACAAATCGCTGCTCCGAGTTTCGAGCCATTCTAGAAAGGGCGAATACGCAGCGAACTGCTTGGTTCTGGACCTGCATTTGTGCTTGGCGATGCAGAATTTTGCTGAGGTGGACAAAAGGTAAAACAGCGTCTAACCGAGCCGAAAGCTGTGCTTGATGCCCTGATGCTGTGGTACATGAGCTCAACTGTGATGCGCTGAACAGTACCGTACTGTACTTACATGCTCTGGTACGTGTACTCGTAGTCCCTGTAACTACAGTAGAGTCTACAGTAGAGGCACTCGTTTGGCGATGCAGCCACAAGCTAGCCCCGGGCTGGCAATGATCGCCTTTGACTCTCTTATCTTCCCCCTCTCTTTTACACGTACTCGTACCTTTCGCCGGGCTCCCTTTGCTCGTCATTGTATTGCTTGTTTCTCACTGGATGTCTCCTTGTGTTTGGGTTATATTAGCCACTGGTGTTTATTGCAGCATCTCGCCTCTTCATTTCTTGATTTCCGCTTTCCACGCAATGACGGCGCGATACTTTGTTGTTGCGCAAAAACAAGAATTGTCAGCTTCTTGTGTGCGTCCAATTTCTTGTAAGCCTCCCCAAGCCAGGCACTAGGTTAGGTACTGTTGCTCTGTGTGTGCTGCTTCTCCAACTGCGGAAACTCGGGACTTGTTCTCTGGCTTCTGGCTCCCCTGCTCTGCCCTGGGATGGATGCTAAAAGTATCGCCGCTCCAAAACTCCACCCCCTCATCAGCCACACTCGCCCAAAAGCCGGCTTTGTAAGAACCACAAAGCAAACAACAAGCTCCAAAACAACAACAAGAAACAACCCCCAATATTGCTATCCAGGTGCCGCGCTTTAGCTTTTGCCTGGCAGCTGTACGAGTACTGTCAGTAGTAAACAACAAGACGCTAATTTGCCTCCTGTACGTGGCATCCGCGCCACTGGCCTGTATCCCTTGGTAAAACGGCTATTCTATGCCGGCTGGTTGCAGATTGCTTCGGTCACCATTCTCTCATTGCCCTTCTCGCCTTCTCGTGATATTCGTGATATAATCTCAACCTTGTCTCGGACAACCCTCCGTGGCCTATCATGGCTCCGGAACAGTGGTTAACGCTTGCTTGGTGCAAAGCCCGGTGCGAGCCTCCGGTGCAAAGCCACTGGAGATAAACCTTACGCTGCTGGACCCGGAGACGTCCTTCCGCATCAGTAAATGAGGCGTCACTAACAACCTGAACTGCTTGGCCCTACGGAGTCAAAGGAGTCCAGTACTCCGCGTACTCCGTACTAATTCTCAAACCTGTCAGCCCTTGGGTGCATTCATACAGATAGTGCTTGGGCTGTTGGGCAGAGCACAGCGGCAGGACCCTGATTGCTCCTAAAAATAAATTGAATGAACAGACATGTTGGGCGTATCGACAGCTTGCTCATACGTTCAATCATACGGACATGCGTAGGCAAGACCCCTTGGATCGCCCGCGTCAGCCCAAGTTCTGATTTTCCCATGCGGGCAGGTCAACGAACAGTGCAGACAGCGAGAGATGCACTCATGCACTGCAACTCTAGGGCGCAGCAGAAGCGACCACGAACGCTGAAGAGGGAGAGGGGCAAATCCGGCACCCACGAAAAGCGCATGCTCGTTGCAAGAATTGCATCTTTGCCCCTCTCGACGGATCTAGGGCATTAGCGCACGGATGCGCGTTGCGAAGGCCAGTGGAAGAGTGGAAGGGGGGCCAAAGTACGTGAAAGTACTGCCCATGTTGTGCGCTGGGTTGTCGACGCAGTTCGCCATGTACCGCCGCCGCCATCGTCAAGTACCTGCCCGCGCGGTGTTTTCTGGATTCTGCGCCGCCGTGTGATTGGTTTGCGCCGCAACAAGAGAGTTGTGGCTAGGCCGCTCTGGCTTACTCGTGCCCGTGCATGTGGTTGCACTCCAGATGTTGTCCGCAGACAAAAGAAGAAGCAACACCGGGCACGGCGGAGTACCAAATCCTCTTAGAGGCGGCACAGGCAGCATACCCTTGAAGTTGGAACGGAACATTGCTGAGGACCGGCCAGGAGAGATGTTGCTGTATGTAGGTACTCGTACCGTCCTTGCACAGGCATGGCGGGGTGGTGCTGCGGCCGTTCCCACAAGCAACCTTCACCTTCAGTGCTAGGAACCGTCTCCGGACGTCCCAGGAGATCCGCAGCCATGCAGCCAGCGCTCGACAGTAGCTCGATCTCTCCAATAATTGGCCATGGCCGTGCTGTCTCCGTTGCATGCGAACGACCCTGGATAAGGCGCTAGCGCTTTTCCCTGCCCTTGCGCTGGTCTGTGGTCCCCCGTTGCAGTACTGGCATGTAGCGACTGAGTCGTGTTAGCCCAGCTTCGGCACATGAACCGGGTTTAGAATACTTGCCAGTACTTGTAAGCTCTGCAAGTTAAGGGCCCTTGGAGACCCCTCAAGACCCTTGTCCCTTGGGCTCCTCCCAGGACCCGTCTTTTCTTCCATTTGACCTCAGCCGGCTGTCACTGCACCCATGCTTGAGCAAGTCGAAAGGGATCCGAGCTGTGGGTGTGGCGTCGAGGGCCAGTTGCTCCAGTTCCAGTTGCTCCAGTCCCCTGTGGGATCCTTTAGGGCTTTTTCCACAGTCACGATGACGACACCATGAGGTCAAAGTGGCCGAGTTGAGGCCCTTTTTCGAGATGCGCATTTCTGCCAGAAATCACCGGGTTTGCGAATTATGCATGCCCTGTCTGTGATTTGAATATCCGCGGCACAACTGCCTGATTGCAAAGTGCTGTCTCGTTTCCGCCGGCGTAGCTGTGATTTGATGTTTGATGCACGAAAACTTTCTTTCCCATGGCGCTATGCAAAAGTTGGAGCAAGGCTGGCTGCTAGCACACTCGCTGGGGAGACAAGAGCTGAAGCTAGCCTTGGCGTCTACTCGTACTTTGTAAGCGCGGCCACCCAGGTCTGGGGTACTTTGCCCCGTCTTTAAACTTGCTTTTTGCACCCAACCCGATGCTTACCTGCTGATAGTGGTGCGCTCACTAGTCCATATGTACCTGCAATCTGTAATCTGTGTTAATGCGTCGAGTCTTATCGGCAGCTCGCTGACCTTGTACCTCACAGTACTCGACAGTTGCTGTCAAACATGTCGAGATGAATTCAAGGCTCCATAAATGGAACCCCCCTTTTTTCTTTTTCCTCTTCCCACTGCAAAATAAACCTCTCGTGTCTCTCTTGTTCTTCCAAAAGGAGAATTGCACCGAAGATGGAGCGGCGCTGTTTCTTGGTCTGATGGGACACCCAATACGCTTGATGGGGCCCAGGGTCGGAGAGTGGAAAGTCGAGGTTGACGTGACCCTCGGCTTACCGTGACGTCAACCATTCACCGCGAAACGCTGCGTTCCTTGTACCTAGTATGAACACAAGGGCCCTGTGATCCACCATGGTGTCGTAAAGTGCCTGCAATCGAGATTTCGCTGCTGAGGGTCCTCCCAACTCCGGACATGCCTGTAGTACAAGTGCAAAAGCCAAGAACGTGTGTTTCGTGCCTTGACCAGCCCTCCACTCACAGCCCTTGGTCGAACGCCAGAAGAGAAGAGAAGAAGGGTGAAGAAGGGGAAAAGAGGGCCCCCAATTGGGAGCAGAGCGGCCCACCGTGATACCTTTGGTTTAGTATTGGATTGGATTCATCGTTTGAGGGTGCTAGAGGCCCCGAGTGATGTGACGGCGCAAAAGTATCGTGGCTGAAGCGCGCGCAGTTAGATGCTTGTCTTATCTTGCGCTCAGCAAAAGCGAAGTGCGGTGCGGAAATAGAGAAAAGCCCGGCCGAGGATAAGGAAAGAGAAAACAAGAGGGAGATAATATAAAAAAAAATCAAAAATAGATTAAACGAAATCGACAAGAAGCGAGACGAAAGAGAGACGGTTCACCAAACCCCTTCGCCGTGCAGCGTGGAGCAGTACTTTGGCACATCCGCCGCCTGCTTTGAGTCGCAGACACACAGACACACACGTTCCGCGCTTGTGCTCAGCGTAACCCCAAGGCGCTAAAGAGGCAGGATCTTCACCGGCTGCACCTCGACAGCCAAGCGAGACAGAGGCGGACGGTGGCGCATGCACGTGTGGTCGGGCCAAGCAACGGAGATGGAGATGTGAGAAAAGAAGGGAGAAATGAGAAAAGATGAAAGAAAACGCCCGTATTGAGCCCTCCGGTTCGCAGTGCAAGAGAGGTACTTGAACCCTTCCTTCCTGTAGTAAGCTGCATGCTTTGCGCAGAGTGAGAGCGATAGACCCTCAAGTCGGTACATGCTTGCGGTACCTGCGGTACTTGCAGCCTGGAGTTGAGGGTACAAGGCCTCGAGTAAGCGTGCGCGTTCAAGCCACACGAGGCGTGCCCACGGTACCGGCGACTGCTCCAAAAGATACAAGCCGGTACGCCAGGGTGACTGCATCCCCTCCCCTCTTCTCCCCTCCAGCGACTCCACACACCCCTCCAGCCTGGGCCCCGCTTCCCCCCTGCCGGACCCTGGTTCCCTGCCCGGCTAACAAGCTGTGGCTGCTGTGGCCCTACAGTACTTGCCCTACTACAGCCCGCTAGAGCCTCTAGGGGAACCCCTGTCGCCGCAGCTCCAGCGCCCGAAGCTGCTCCCCATGCAGCTTGCAGGGCAAAGCTCGCGCCGGGAAAGTTTTGGCTTGGGCTTGGCCTGGTTTTTTTTTTTTTTTTTTTTTTCCTAATACTCCTGCTATGACAGAAGTGACCATTTTTTATGGCTCTTGGGCTGCGAGCAGTCCTGTACATACATGTACCTTGGTCCCTGGGGCCACGCAAGGTACGTACAGTACAGTACAGTACAGTACCTGTCTGCATGTACATCCCCCATCCAAGTCCAGCGCAGAGATTACGGAGCAAAGTGGGAAGTGGACTTTGTCACTCGATCCTCGATCGATGGGATGGATGTTCCCGTTGCGCCTCTCCGGCTTTGACAAAAACTCCATCGCTCCCTCTTGCGCCCTTCTTTTCTCCCACCTTCTCCGATCTCTTCGTCACTTATTACTCGGCAGTGCTGCCCTCCTTCTTATCTCGCCTTTACCTTTTACCCTTTTCCCTTTACCTCCTCTCACCTACTATACCTTTACATCTCTACTACCTTACATACTTCTCCTTCTCCCTACTATATCTTGCTCAAGCGCAACAAGCATCTTCGCCTGACATCATTGTTGTCCAGCAAGCGTCGTCTCTTCGTCGCCTCGTCTCTCGTTTGATAGCACCGGCAGCAGCAATTCGTGCATACAAAGTCGGCGCCATCTGAGATTGGCCTGATCTCGACCCTGCTGATACTTATACGTCTATACCACACCCCATCGGAGGAAAAGATTAGCGCGCGACACACAGCTACCTACCACCTGTGTGCTATCTGCCTCGGCTCTATTCTGAAGAAATCAAGAAGTAAAAAAGCAATAAAAACAGCAACAAGAGCAAGAAAAAGAAGCATTTGCAACTGCGCATATCCAAACCGGGATCAGAATCACCATTTGCGCCGCTTCTGACCAATTCGCATGACTCCGCCGTCCCTCTTTCCTCATTGCGACTCCTGCAGCACCAACGGCTCCTGCCCTCCGTCTTAAACGACATTAAGCGAAGCTTCGACAAAAGCTGCCACCTGCTGTACCTTTTTCGACTTTTGGAATTCATTTTCCATTTCCTTTTCTTTTCTCTTTTCCCCCCTCTCCCCATCTCTCATACAACGCGCATCTTTCTCTCAAGAATCAGACAGTGGTTCTTGAAGAGCGCTATTCTGCAGCTTACTGAAACGTCAAGTTGGAGAGAAGCATTTCCAGAGCGGAAACTCCGGAGCTCTACAGCTTTCCTGTCTAGAGAGCTCAATTTCTCTGCGCACAACACAAAAACGCAGACAACACGCACCACCGAATTATTTCTTCACCCAATTCGAACCGGCACATCGCCAATATTTTGTCGCAATGCACGCTCGTGACGCCGCAGGCCGCAGGGTCTCACTCCTCAACGAGGATGACTTCAGCAACACCGTCGACACTTCCTCTTACTACCACTCCGTGCATCCTCAGCCTCCTTCTCGCAGCGACTCGTCCTCACCAAACACACCCGCGCTCCTGAGATCAGACTCGTTTGATTCTCAGCTTAGCGATGTCATTTCGCCCTTGACGCCTCCGGGTGATTACAACTACGGAATGATGCGCGCTCCCAACTACGTCTTCGGGCACGAGTACGCTGAGGGCCCTCCCGCTAAGCGCACTGCCTATGGGGCTCTCAGTCCCTCTGCCTCCGGCGAAGAGGACAGCTCCGCTGCGTCTTGTGTTCCCGAGCGCCCCGTTAAGCGGTATCCCTGCCGCTACCGTGAGATTCATGGATGCGAAAAGACCTTCACCACCTCTGGGCACGCTTCGCGCCATTCCAAGATCCACACAGCTGAAAAGGCGGTTCACTGCCAATTCCCGGGATGTCACAAGAAGTTCACCAGAGCAGACAACATGAAGCAGCATCTGGAAACTCACTTCAAGGACAAGTCGCGAAGCTCATCGGGCACCCAGCGATCTAGCAAAACCTCGTTGGCTTCCAATGCGCGACGCAGCTCAACTTCATCCAGCCGAAGCCGCTCCTCCACCACAGGGCCTGACTCTTTTGTTTTCTGGGACTCCAGCGAGCTTCACCAGAAGCAGAGCCTCTTGCCGACGTCCCCGCTTACACAGCCGACCGGCAATGCGGGCGAGTGGGATACCAACATGAGCAGTTTTGATCTCCCATTGCTGAACCGTCCCTCCGCAGTTGGCCGCACCCCCAGTGGCCTCGACACGTTGGCCATGGCCATAGCGTGCCAGGAAGGCCGGATGGCATTGTGAGGAGAAGTAAAAAACTCTGCTGCACCTCTTTCATCTCCCCTCGCTTCATTTACCCCTCCACCCTTGGACAAACTTGTCAGCAAATCCACTTAGGCACAGCCTGGGCGTTGCGGTTACATTACATGGAATACCGGAGAGCGAAAAAACAACACAAGAAGAAAGAATCCACAAAAAAAAAGAAGCAGACAAGAACAGAGTAATTTTTAATGCCCCGCCAACCAGCGACGACAAAAAATAAGAATGGAATTCGGATACCGCCGATTTATACTACAAATCTGCGGCAGGGGAACATACACACTCGGTACATATACGATCAGGGGCGGAGAACTTATACACTGGCGGCTGCCCCTGCGGGATGTCAAATGGCGTTTGGATGCGATTTGCTTTTAGGCATCGCCATTTATCATGATTTTTCTTCTTTTTCAATTTTTCATTTTCATTTTCTCTTTACTTCACGTCTTTTCCTTTATTTGTCCTGACATTACCAGCCGTTGGCAATGCAGAGACACATTCTATACAAGGTGGCAAGATACACGAATGGCGCCTTGGTTGACTTAGCTTCATTGTTCCTTTCCTTTATTTCCTTGTCTAGGTACTCGGTTTTCTTTTGTCAGGGTACTGTTTTACACGCTTCTTGATATCCCATGCTTTCATGCACGCCTCGATGATTGATGAATCTTTTCGAAGATGGCGGTTGGAGGGGGATGCTTCATCTTATCGCATGGCGTTCGGCGGTATTTTCCCCTTAGATGAGATGCGCGCATGGGGAAAAAAAAATCGAGATGCGTGTGTTAATGGCTACATGTATATACAAATGGCAGCTCTTCTGAGCTGGGGATGGGATGGAACTCAATTGATACCACTTTGTTGATTTTGATAACTCTTTGATTTCTCTTTTGCATTGGTGATGGGTCTATGCAGTATAAAAGGACTTGTAGCAGCACTCTGCGAGGTTAATACCAGGCATGAATGGATTGTGTACATGAAGCCGGCCCGATGCATTGAGGCCCAGTCACGTTTCCCGAGTCCAGAGTGCATATGAGTATCTGCATGCATGTGTAAGCTTGGTTAATACCCATATGGGAATGGACTGTGAGTTTTTTTCTTTTCCCGTTTCTATCTTCTTTTTCTGTCTCTTCCCCCCTTGTCCCGTCTTCCCATCCATTATCCACTTCACTTTTTTTTTTTTTTTATCGTCGGAGTTGCCCGATTTTTGCTCGCCTTCGGCCTTTGGGTAGCCAGCCACAGGTATGCGTCTTGGGCTTGGCGGCATGGGCACGGACGATACCGATTCAGCTGGCTGCAGATTAAAAAGTTTTTTCTCTCCCTCTCTTTCGCCATTTTTGTGAAGCCCGGGGTGTTATTAACTCCGCTTTTCGGGGCTCTGGGGAAGTAAACGGGGGAGAAACGGGGGAGAAGGAGGCGAGATTGTTGTATGTGTGTGTGTGTGTGTCTATAAGCTATTTCTTGTGCGGGGGGTTTTGGGCTTGTGGTGTTGAAGAGGCGCTTGAAGGGGGATATATTCAAGGTGAGAATAGAAGAGTGTTTTTTTTTTTTTTCCTTTTATTTTTTATTTATTTCTTTTTGTTTCTTGTGAGTGTTTGATTTGTGGAGAGTATTATGCTAAGATTTCTGTGTTTGGGGGTTGCTGTAAGGTGAGGTGGAAGTATATACCCTAGACATCAACAACACTGCGAGGAGGAATTGTCATAACTGTCAATTAATGAACATCATTTGATGGGAATGTTGCTGGTATCTGTTTGACAGAATGTAAATGTGAGCATACCACTTCATGAGAGTTGTTTGATCATGGTAAAGAAAGAAAGTGTACGTGAAAATCCGCAGAAGCGAGACCTAGTTGTTTTCATACCCTCATCAGTTCTCGTCCTCCTATCAAAATCCATCAACAACTACTGGATCCTATTCAGACCCTAAAGTAACCTATCTCACATAGAGTTTATAAACGCGGCGTTACAATTGATTATGATTGATAAATATTTTCGACCTCGTAACCTATAACCCTCAATGTAAATACCCTTGCTGAATCCTAAACCTGCCCAAAGACAACATGGCCTGCAACAAAGATGCCGATCTCACCCAAGCACATCTCGTGGACACTCATAAAGTCATCAAAATTTACAATATATATTCTACATACACACATCTACCATCTAAATAACCGCGCTTTATACCCTCTCCCCTTTTACGTCCAAAGTGCTTCAATCTCCGTACACGCTCTAGCCATCTCAAATTGTTCATCCGTCTGACACACGAGGACCTTATGTTTGGAATCCTTGCTGTTCAGCTCACGAACAGTTTTATCTCCCGCTCCCTCAGCATTATTGAGCCCCTCGTCAATGGCGAAACCCAGGCAGCCAGCTTGCTCAACCACAGCGCTGCGAAGACGGGCACTCCTCTCTCCGATTCCTCCCGCAAATACAATCGCGTCCACATCACCCTTAAGCGAGACGTAGTAGCTCCCAACGAAACCGCAGATGCGGTCTACAAATAGATCGAAAGCCAGGCGGTGCTGGGGTTCGTCCGAGGCGGCGATGACGCCGAAATTGGTGGTGCCTGTCAGGGATTTCCAGCCACTCTCCTTGTTGAGAATCTCCTCAGCCGTGGAAATGTGGAGCTTCTCTGTCGACGCCGGAGAAAGCTTGCCTACATCGCTGGCGTAGTGAAAGACTAAGCTGTTTATTGGTCATGCTTGTTAGCTCCATGGACAGGGTTGAAGACTGGAATATAAAACCGAAATGCAAAGATTGGCTCACCTAGGATCTACGCTTCCACTGCGAGTCGCGCCAGGAAGCCCGGCCAACGGCGTCAATCCCATGCTCGTGTCCCAGCTCTTGCCATTTTTAATCGCACAGGCACTGGCGCCGCTGCCGAGATGCAGAGCAATAATGTTGAGTTGATCACGGCTCTTGCCGAGGAAGTCGGCCACGGACCTTGAGATGAAGGCGTAGCTGATGCCGTGGAAGCCGTACTTGCGCAGCCGGTTCTTCTTGGCTATTGTTTGGTCGATTGGGTATGTGGAAATGTGCGGCGGTATGGTAGAGTGAAACTGCGAGTCAAAGCAGGCAACGTTGGTTGCGTCGGGGAGTTGCTTCATGCACGAGTCGACAATCGTCAGCGCAGCGCCGTTGTGCAGGGGCGCGAGGTCGCTGAGGGCTTCCAGATGGTGATATGTGTCTGGGGTGATGACCTGGGACGAGCCGTAATCGCCTCCGTGGACAATGCGGTGGCAAGCGATGGCCACGTCCGATTTCGAGCTGATTTCTTTCAATTCAGCATCATCCACCAGCGTCTTGAGCAGCAAGGCAAAGGCATCATCTTGGCTGTTGACGGCAGTGTCCACGTTTTGGTCCTTGATAACGGTCTCGCCACCTCGCGAATATTTCAGCTGAGCTGGCGGAGCCGTAAGACCGTTTACTTGAGCTTCAGCAATCTGGCGCGGCGCTGTTCCCTGGTCGGCCAGATAGACTGAGATTTTGACGGAGCTGGAGCCAGCGTTGATGGCGAGAATGACGCCCATGGCAGGGGGAGTGGAATCGTAAAAAAAGTAATTTGTGATTTTGAGCTGGAAATTGGGGGCACTGCCCGACAAGGCCCGTCTGCCCTTGCGTTGTGTGTTTGTGTATAGATGTGTAGACTTGGGACGCCAGTGTCTCTCAACAGCTCCGGAACTTAGCCCTTGCGCCGCCTTTTAATTGAATTGTCTTCCTCTTCAACTCCCCTCGCAATCTGCACAAGGAAAAAAAATGGAAAAAATGGGAAGAGAATGTCGGTCGATGAGCTGCAGAAACGTGTGAGGTTGCTCATGACGCTCATGACGACACTGGAGATATCGATGGCCTGATGATCGCGGGAAGTTTTGGTGGTGTGGTGGGGGGAGCCAATAATAGACGCTTCTCATGCCACGCCATGCATATTAGCAGAGGTGACGTCCTCAATTCAGCCGGACCTGGTGTGGCGCTCCGGCTGACAAAAAGAGAAGACAACCCGAAGCCCTTGATGGGGGTCCCTGATGGGGGTTGGGAAGAAATTGGGGAATCAAGAGGAAAAAGAACGATTGATGAGACTTCTTCCCTGGAGGCACGCATGGCCCGTAACGATTGCTGAGCCAAATGCAGCTTGATCCAAGGCGTACTATTTGCGTCACATATGCCGACCAGGCAAAAAAACGCAACTTAATACGAGCTTGAAGAGGGCTTCCGGCTCAGCCAGTATCGGCATCTCGACCGGGCTGGATTTCCGGCGAGGGCAGCTCGAAGTGATTGGGAGGAAACGGGACGCCGTTGAATTCACGGTCGGAGCTGTGGGCAAAGGCCCAGGTTTCGATGAACCGTTTGTAGTCTGCAAATGCCCCACGTTAGAATGTTTGCCTTTCCACACAGCACAACACCGATTTTCTGTAACTTTGAGATCTCTCTCTCTCTCTCTCCTCTTACCTCGCTTATGTGTAAACTGAATGGAAAGGTAGCGAATATCTAGGGTGGTGGTTGCATATGAAGGGCCTAGCTCGGGACTGGCGGCGCTGGCCTGGCCGGCGGACCGGACCCTTTGGCGAATGCGAAAGGTTCGACGCGATGAGGTTTCGTCGGGCACGCTCCCTCGGCGGCCGTGGACGTTGAGGCGGAGGGTTTTGGCGCGGTCATCTCGGTTTCGGAGCTCGCCGTCGAAGTGGTGAATGTCATACTCGCGGTACTGGTTGTCCGTCTTGTTGGCCAAGACGCTCAGCGAGTGGAAGGTGGTGTATCGGTCCCTCCAAAGCTTGAGCCTCTGAATGGCACCGATGCCCTTGACCTTGCCGAAGCTGTCGGTGCGGCTCTGCAGGTTGGACCAAACAACGTCGACGTCGTAAAAGTCTACCAGGTCCTTTCGTCGTAGGTCGCCCTGGAACTGGATGGAAGCTTCGACAGTGGTGAACTCGTACCGGACCTGGATGTACTGATCATGAATGCAGATGCCCTCGCCGGAGGTGTACCTGATGCGATGAGGCTCGTTGAAGGACAGGAAGCGTTCCATGTCGGGCGGGTCGTTAAATTGGCGATGCCGTGAGTGGAGGGTGTGAGGATGGACATCGGACGGTATGTCTGAGGGTACTTGACATGAAGATGATGAGCCAGGGACAACATAGTGAAGTGACGCGATGACGCAGCAACACATGGGACATTGGACAGATGAAGATGATGACGGCTTCTGCTTAGCACTTACAAAAATGTTCGAGCAGCTCGCTCTGGTAGCTGCACTGCCAGCGGATACGTCGCTGCTCAGACCCCACCACCTCCCAGGGTCCCAGATACACAGTTCGCTCATCGGGCGTGTCTTGAAATAGGGTTCTATCGAAGAGAAAAAAAAGACAGGCATTGTCAGATCAGACGGGACTTTGCAACGGAGCACCATAAAAGGCCGGGGGCATCACGGAAGAAGCTCATCGTACATTGTGGCAGTGTAGCCCGGAGGCCCGAGGTCGAGAGGCCGGAGCGAGGCGGCGGGCACAACGGACTCGCTGGTGGAAGTGGCTGATATCGTGGAGATTTCCGACGTCTGCGTCCAGGTCGAATCTACGGGACTCACATAGGAGCGGCTGTACGTGGGCGGGCGGCCGAGAGACGACGAGGTGAAGGAGGAGCCAGACGAGGACGAGGCAGCCATGCTGTGCTGAAGCTGAGCTGAAGCGGAAGAAGATGGGCAGCCGGGAGGCGCTCAGAAGTCACCGAAGACGACTATCCGCGGGCTGGGGCGTCGTTGGAGAAGCTATCATGACACTGGCCGCACAAGGAGGAGAAGCTGGCGGCACGGCACGGCTTACGGAGCCGTCACGGGCTGGGTCTGGACAAGTCTGAGGAATCGTTGTCGCCATGCCCCAGCTGCAGAGGGGGGGAAAGGAGATCAAGATTTGCTGAGGGCGGTGGATTGGGGGGAGTGGGAGGACAGGAAGAGGATTTCGGGATCGAAGAAGCAAAAAGAATGGACATGAAGCATGTTGCTAGGAGTCTCTCGGCTGCATAATGCTCTGCTACTACTGCTACTACTAACTGCTACCTATCGTACGCACTGCTAAAGGGCTGCTACGAACTAGTCCCACGTCCTGCTGCAGGTGGATAAGACAAGGTTCAAGCTACTAAAAACTCTTAGTCCAGATATTACCGTCTGGCAGATTTGCTGGCGAGTTGCTCTCGCAGTTGTTACGAGGACTACGGAGTAGAACTAAAAAAAAGATGAGAAAAGTCCGGGTCTTCTTGTCTTGTCTCTATCATCGCGGGGTTCCGTTCCAGTGCAGCTCGAGACAAGTTCTGCACGGCCTGTCTAAGACAATCCATCAGATCAGCCTGGCAGGCAGGCAGTAATATCTAATATTACCCAGTTGTCGTAGTAGTACAGGGAGTACACGCATGTACTGCAAATATTTGGGGGAAGCTCTCTTCCTCTGCTCTCTTAGGACAGCAACCCCCCCCCTGGCCCGGTCCACTACAATGCAGAGCACCCGTTTGGTAGAGCCGGGCTGCAAACCCAATGCACGAGTTTCTTGAGTGAACCGCAAAAAGGGTGGTGACAGTGCATGGCCTTGTACTGGGTACATCCAGCTCGCAATTCCGCTGCTCGGTTGGTTTGTCGTCCAGGCTCTGGTGCAGCTGCGGATTCGGTACGACGACAGCGCGCATGGAAGACGTTCCGGCTGGGCGCTCCGCTGGTACCGGATACTTACTTGGCCGGCGTGGCATCATGGACAGGCATGCGAGGCGTCTGTCTGATGTGTGATGAGGCGTCTAGCTGCGGGTTGGCGCGATGCCGCACAAGAACAAGCAGCACCTTGCACGAGTCTCTGCTAGCCTAGCGATGCCAACAAACTGCACTGGTAAAGAAAAAACTGGCACCCCGTGGCCGTGTCTTTGCGATTTGATGCTCACAAACTGCTAGTTCGCTTCGTCTCTTCTCGGAAGAGGCTCAGGACCCGCTCCACTGGAAGCGAAGATAGCGTGCACGGGGAGCCATCCGGCCGCCTGATTGGCCAGTGAGCCGCCGCCATGCCGTCCAGAAAGCTGCACCTTTGGGCCGGGCTCTCGGAAAGGCTCTGCCCACAGTACCGAAAGTCTCCAGCACCTTATCTTCAGCGATGGGCATTGGCGTAGCAGCAAGATGCCACGGCTGAAAATAAATAAGTAAAAACACAGGGCGTCGGCCAATCAGGGCGGGCTGCTGGTGGCTCTAGGTTGCAGCGGCTGGGCACGGCTGTCTGTCTGGGGGTTGGCTGTTTTGTTTTTCAGCTGCCTCCAGTCAATACTGCCGTGTATACGGAGTTTGGCTCCGAAGTATATAGTATATGTACGGGTACAGCAACAATGCGATGCCATGCGATGCGACGTCTGTGTGTTCCAGGCCCATCAATAACGTGCTCAACCTTTCAGACCCCCCCCAGCAAAGGCCTAGAAGCGGCCATCAGATGCCAAGCTGCCCGCGAGTACTAGCGCAACAGTGACCGTCGCCGGGCTGTTAATTGCCACTGCTGGCTTCACGCACAACGCCTTAGCGGCTGGCGGCTTCGCACCGTTAAGCCGGTACCGACAGCCACCGCTGGCCACCCCCCACATGTCTTCAGGAACCGTCTCCAGCGCCGGCCACCACGTGCTCTCCCTGACACCTCTGGCCGGTCCTCGTTTTTTTTGCGTGAGACTTGCATCTCGATTTGCCCCGTGGGTGACTTGGCTTGACTTGGCTTTTCGGTTTCGATGCCATGCCAATCGGTACGAGTGAGTGCGTGGTCTCGTAGTTCCGGTACGGAGGATGAGCGAGGCCGTTTGCCGAGCCCCCGCCCTTGTATGTGTGTGTGACGATGACATTCTGACCAAGAACCTTGGGATTCCCGTCTTGTTGATTTGCAAAGTATTGATGACAAAATTGGAGGTTCAGACTAGTAGCATGTGCAGCGGTTTCACCCGTCACATTGGTGGTCAACTATGTAATTACACATTGATGCAGACGATGGATAGGTTCGTATGAGGTAGCAGTACTAAGGTAAAGTAGTAAAGTAATGTAGCACTCGAAAACCCCCAAAAAGCTACATCACAACCGAATCAGACCCCAAAAATCCCGAAACCCAATCGCCCATCCCATCTTCAAATTTCACCGTATTCGTAGTAGCTCTACCTCGCTACTTTCGCTCTCCCACCCAAGTCTGGAATCGTGCCTCTACCAACCCAAGACAGGGAAATAAAGTGGGAATTGGGCGAGGTAGCGTTCGGCACGGGCGATGGATGGAAGGGGACCCTTTTTTTCCTCTTCATCTTGGGAATTTGCATTGCACGGCACGGGATGACCTGACTTTGACCACAAGGTTGGTGGGCTTCCGCATATTAAGCTACCTTACTATTGCCAGTCTAATCTGGGAGTTTGCAGCGTTAGACTATTACAGGTTCCTCTTCTCTGTTCAATATAGTAGTACCCAGCAATTCCGAGTACAGGTACAAGGGCATATTGCCTGCTTGGCCAACTTGGCTCAGGTATCAGGTAGTATCACGCATCAATCAATCAGGTAATGCCACCCCCCCAGACGCTGTGCCTGCCTGCTAGTGAGTCTACCTAGTCCGCATTTCCTCAGCCTCAGATGCATCCTCACTCTTGGCAACCTATTGCTCCAATACTTTGGCCACGCCTGGAGCTGCTGCCGTTAAACGCGTCACTCTCTAACAGCTGCGATGGCTTCTTTGCCTGCCCGCTCGCTCTAGAACGCCTCGTTTTCGTCTTCCCTTTGCCATCCTCGCCGCCTCGCCGAGACTTCATCTGTTTCTTCTTCCTTTGCGCTCCCTTTCTTCTTCTTTCTTTTCCCTCTTCCTTTCTCCTTCTCGCCTTTTCTTCCTCTCCCCTTCGCCAGTTGATGGGCCCGCCATGAGATGCTAACGTCAAATCGTGTCTTCCGTAATGAGCCAGACGCTGGGATTGTTGCGCCCATTTCTGCCTGTCGCTCGACAATCGTGCCATTTTCCCTCTTTCCCCTCGGGCCCCGTGTCTCAACTGAACCCGCTCGACAGCTATTAGGGGGGAAAACAGAGAGATTGAGACTGTCTCAGAACAACCTGCAGTACACAAACCTCCAGCCGCTGCAACCCCCCCGCCCAAGTATCTACTATCTGCTTGGGCGCATTCGCCCGAGTGAGTCTCGCGGCCAATGCCCTTGAATCTGGGGAACAGCTCCGGGCGGAGAAATCGAGGGTTTCTCGGCGCCGACAGCTCTGCCTTGTCGTCCCAAGACGTCCAGGTGCGTCTTTTTGCCCTCGCCTCGCATTTATCCATCTCCTTTTACCCTTATCCAAATCCTTCTCCATTCTCCATATCTCCATATCTCCTTCTCCATCCTCGCTGCAACCGCATCTGCATCTACTACTATCCTGCGTCTGCGAATCGAAAGAAATGGGCCTCGCCCCACTGCCGCGCGCAAATCGAACCGGATGCCTTGCCATTGCCACGAGCTTGCCGCCTACATACTAACAAGTCTGTCTTATCTGCCATAGGATCGACATCAGTTGCGCTACGAGCTTGACCTCAACTCCTGGAACCTCCGCATCTGGGGCGTTGCCGCCTCGGGCTTCCTTACCGATTCGTACGTTGCCCAGCCTTGTGTTGCTCTCTCTTCCTGCCTCTTACCTCTCTTCCTCTTCCTCTTCCTCTTGCTCGTCTTGGTCCTCCACATTCTCTTGATATTGCATTGCCGTTGCTGTATCCCGTATAAAAGACTTTTCATCACCAGAAAGTATATACGACTTCCCTCCCCACTAACTTTATTGTCCTACAGATACAACCTCTTCTCTTCCAACGTCATCCTTGCTTCTGTTGCCTTTGTATATTGGCCTCACGGAGGAGAATGGACTAGCCTCCTCATCAACTTCTTTACCCTCTTTGGGTCCATCGTTGGACAGGTCCTCTTTGGCTACCTCGCCGATCGCTTTGGTCGTACCCGCCTCTATGGAATCGAGCTGGTTCTCGTCATCGTCTCTACCATTGGCGTAGCTACTAGCAGCCATGGCTACGGAGACATGTCGTTCCTCGGCTTGTTCATCTGGTGGCGCTTTGTCATGGGCATTGGTATGCTTCGTCTCCCTCCCCTCTTATACACCTGTAACTTACCATTCTACCAGGCATTGGAGCCGAATACCCCTTGAGCGCAGTCATAACTTCTGAGTGGTCTAGCACTCAGTCAAGATCGAGCATGCTTGCCAGTGTCTTCCTTATGCAGCCTGTTGGACAAGCGCTGGCTCAAATTATTGGCTTGCTGGTCCTGATTGGGTTCAACAACACGCACCACCTCAGGGAGATGCGATGTGGGCTCGATTCCTTGCATGAAGAGGAGTGTCGCCGAGCAGTTGACGGCATCTGGCGTATTGTCATTGGATCTGGCGCTGTACCCGCTCTCCTGGCCATCATTTTCCGATTTTTCTTGTTCGACTGCGGTCTCTACAGTCTCGAGGTGAAGAATAAGCCTGCTGTCGCCATCATGAACACGCAACGTGTGTACGGTGCACCATCCGGCACTACCACTAATAATGTCCAAATGAACCCTCCCAATGGCATGCACCCTGAAAACTCTCCCGGGCCGATGCCAATTCAGTTTTCCAGGGAGGATCTACACAACTATTTCATACGAGATGGCAATTGGTACTATCTCCTTGGAACATCGGCAGCATGGTTCTTTTTAGACGTCAGTTTCTATGGCCTCTCGCTTGATAATCGAGGAACCCTGGCCGACATGTGGGCCACGACGAAACCAGCAAAAATCAACAGCCAGCTTTCCTGTTGGAACTCTTCGCTGCCAGGGGGCAATTCGACAGTGCCCGGCTGGGTGACGGCGGGACTCCCTGCTTGGCAAACGGACAAGACGGAGCCGTGTAACACCATTTACGACGTGCTGATACAGCAGACCAAGCAATATATACTAACTGTTTCCTTGGCTTCTATTGCCGGAAGCGCCTGCTTCATCTTTTTCGCGAATCGCATTCCACGCAGGCGATGGCTTACAGTTTCCTTTTTCGTTTTGGCCATTCTCTTCATCATTACGGGAGGCGTCTACTACGGCGTCCACCAAGAGGCGGCTGCCCCTGCAACAGTTGTGTTTGTGGCCATTTGCCATTTCATGTTCAACATGGGTAAGAAACTTCCTCAGACACGGCACCAATCCATCTCTCTGCTTAATGCTAACATGTTGTTTCTCTCTCCTTGTTCTAGGCGCAAACACGCTGACGTTTATCATACCGGCTGAGATCTTCCCCACCTGCTACCGATCGACCTGCCATGGCATCTCAGCAGCAGCGGGCAAATTCGGGAGCATAGTCTCTCTATTGATTGTATACGGCATCAACCAGTCGTACAAGAGCTCCAGCCGCCAGGGCCTGATTTTCCTCCTCTTTGGCTCGGTGGCCGCCTTCGGGGCCGTCTTTTCCTGGGCCTACCTGCCAGATCCACAAAGATACGTGGACGACGGCGAGGGAAAGAAATATCTCGAGACCAAAGATCTCGAAGAGCTCGGCGAGGGCCGCGTCAGGGCCCGACAGAGCGGAGAGGTCGTCACGTTTAGCGAGAAGTGGGCGGAGGTCAGGAGGCGAAGGAGGGACAACCAATTTCGACGCCCGTCTTCATGAAATACATAGTGTACTTTTTATACCTTTTCTTTTTTTCACCTCCTCGGACCGGCATTTATCTTTTGGAATTTCTGCCTGGATATATATGAGATGATTTGGGATTTATCAAACATTGTTATACATTGTATATTGGGCTGGGCGGATAGCGTGGGAATTATTTGCGATACCACTTTTAAGTTTGGATTGACACGAGTATATATAATAAAGATTTCAATAAAGAATGTTTGTAATGATGTACAACACATTAGTTCATTTCAACTCCTTTTAGTCATCATACATGGACTATAGATTCTGCGTATAGACATCATCACCCTCCTTCATTTGACGTTTGAAGTAGCAGGTCAACAGTTTCTAGATAAAATTCATCTGTACCCGTCGTCGCCCTAATATGCGGATCCATTTCCAAGGCGTTTAACCAGCGATGCCAGCGCGTGCCCGAAGTGGCATCCGCCAAAAGGGCATTCGGATACCGACGATGGAGGATACGGCTGAGGCGAAGCGCAAAGGGGGCGAAATGGATGTCGACGAGGGACAGAGACGGGCCGAGGAAGTAAGGGCCTTGTTCGTCGGCGGCGAGGATGAGGGCCGTCAGGTGTGATTGGAAGAGGGCGACAGAGGATGTTGGCGTTGTGGATGTATTGATGGTGTTTAAGGGGTGTTGTGAAGATGTTGGTGGTTGGAGGAGGGAGAAGAATGTTGGGACAAGGCGGGTGTTGATCTTGAATGATAGATGATGTTAGTCGAACTCTACTACTGACTTTTGGATCTTGTTGAAGGAAGATGAGAATTGAGAGTGACTTACATGATGGATCCAGAGACGGCAATTTGCTCTCAGTCGTGGATCAGAAGGGAATAATGGGATATCAGGATAAATGTCTTCCAGCTGTTGTATCAAAGAGAGACTCGGTGTTAGCACATATCGTGAACGTATTGAATTTAGCTTTTCCATACGTACATATTCTAGAATGACAGCACTCTCGGAACACGCCCAATCTCCCTGTCGAATAGCGGGAACGCGACCTCTCGGATTAGCTTCAAGGAGCGGTGTCGGAGCAGGACGCTTGAAGGGATCTGTTTCGATGTACTGGTATGCCTGGCCTTTGGCCTCGAGAGCGATCCAGACGCGCTGGGAAAAGGGGCTGGGAGTTTGATTGCAGTTAGAAGCTGGAACTTGGGAAAAAGGCTTAGAGTGTCATTGGTACCAGAAGGTGGCTGCGTATAGCCTCAAATCGGCCTTTCTACTGTGCATCCGAGCTGTCTCTTGCGCAGCTCCAATAGCCTTGCTTTGAGGCGTTCTCTATAATAGGGGTTGCAAAGTTGTCAGTCAGCTTTGCTCGTTTGATATCACAAGTTTTCTTCCATACTTTTCAACTTACCTGTATCTTCTTCCCTTCCTTGTCTCTCGTCGATACAAACCGCTGCACGCTGCTCTTCTTGATCTCGTCGCTCCTCTCCAGAGTATGCCGATGAGGACCAGCCACTCCGTCTGCTTTGCCGTTGCCGCCATTCCCATTCACCCTCTGAATAGTCCAGAACCGCTGCCCCGCGCTGACGACGGAATGAGCCGCCGTGCCGGCCGCAATGGCGGCGGCAACGTCCCGATCCAGCGCGGCCTCGGCCCCGGCATCCGGGAAGTACTCGGTGATTTTGATCTTGACGTCGCACAGATCACGTTCGCGCGCGCTGCGCTTGCGCTTCTTCTTGTTCGGATCATCAGACTTGGGCGTCCCCGGCGGGCGTCCCTTCATGCGGCAGTCCCAGTAGTGCGAGATGAAGGGCTTTCGCTTATAGCGCTGCGTGGAGCGGTGTGAGTAGACGTTGTCAATGTGTGGAAAGTACGTCTCAAACTGCTCGTGCGTGAGGATGATGAGATCGTCGACGTGGAAGAGTCTTTCTCGCCATGCCTGGAGATCAGGAGGATCGACGACGAGCTTGGCCTGACTTAGTTTGTAAGGGGCTGGAGCAGCGGTTGGTGGTGGTTCGATCTGATGGCGATGATAATCGTGGACCGGGCCTGGATTTCGAAGTGATGAAGTATTGTCTTCTGACTCGGCGGCCGAGCGGGGAGTTGGCATTAGAATGCCAAACTGGCCGGCCGAAGCTTGTCTCTGCTGCGGGTGAGGATGAGGATGAGGATTGGGGTGATGGTAGCTTTGATGAAGGCCTGGGGCGACGGGAAGATGCTGCGTATGCTGTTGTTGAAGTGGCCGTTGATGGTGTTGTTGATGGTGATGATGCTGCTGTGCCATGACGCTTTCATGTCTCGCATCGCAATATCTTCCAAATGCAGCACCTCTCCCTATGCCCCCCAACTCGCCTGCGCGTCGTCCACCACTGCCACCGCCTGCATTATTACCGCCGTTGCTTTTGCCGCCGTTGTTATTGCTGCCATCACCATTATCACCACCATGTTCGTGATTGACGCCGTCCCTCCCGCCATTCCCATCATTGCTCCCTCCACCACCATCAACACCATCAACATCATCATCACCAGCTTCATCATCATTAACATCCCCCTTGCCCTCATGGTCATGATCATGATACCCCCCCTCCAGCCCCGAGTACCCCCCCATCCCCACCGCCGCAAAGTCCAATCCCACGCCCAAATAATGCTCTCCGTGCCCCGACCCAGCAGCAACCCCAAACGAACCCCCAGGCGCCGCCATTCCGGGGGGGCGTGTGTCAAATGAAGAAATGGCCGAATATCCAATAGGAAAACAGAGCGAGGGTCCGTTTCTGTTGCCGTCTCTGGGCTAGCAATAATACCCTTTAATCATATCGTCTTTTCCTGGTCGCTGCTTTAAGGTCGTGCTGTGTTAGTTTAGATGTTTGTTGCTTTGTCCAATGGAGGGGTTGTTTGGCGGGGGGAAGAACAAAGTAAGAGCGCTGAAGGGCGGCAATGCGTGCACGGGCCACCTCGCCCTGTCTTGGTTGAGTCCGTCTTACTCATGATATTACCAAAGACTCTTCCTTTGAAACAAGGAGCAATTTTTACTACTGTCTACCTTACATATTCTTAACGACACTCTTCGTATTCATATATTTACTGACTTAGTTATCATATTTATTCATATTATAGACAATATTTTTACTTATGCTACCTATACTTTTATATCAATCAGTACTTTGGTCGTTCTTTATACTTACTCCCTCGAGCTTTTATCAACAACATCGCATTCAAGACGAAACATCCATCAGTCAACAAGTCGTGCAACAATTAAAAACACTGAATCAAAGCAAGAGTAACATCATTTGCAAGGAGAACATTCGTCATTGCTGGGTATTAACTAAAAAACTGTTTGTCCATGTTCCATCTTCATCCCACCGCCGCCCAAATTCCCAAGCTCGCAAAAAACCCTCTGCAAAAGACAGGTAATATGCGAAGCCAGAAAAAGGCGGACAAGTATGACGTGAAAAGAAGTTAAAAAAAAAAAAATTATGAAAAAGAAGTTTAGAAGAAAAAGGGAGGAAAAAAAGAACCAAGGAGATACACAAGGGTAGAGAAAAAGAAAAGTCGACAACAAAAAATGACAACCGTATTCGCCCCAATGCCCTACACGCCCATAAATATCGTTCCAATCGTCCAAAGCATATCCAACAAATTACAGATAACGTATAACCGTAGAGCGAGAGTAAAGAAAAGACCGTGTGAAACCTGTCGAAAACGTTTTCCTCGTGCAAGGCAGAAACACCCAGGATAAATAAAACTCCCAAATACAACCTCCCCATTCTCTTTCAAATCCAGTCTAGCACAAGACCATGCTTTACTTCCCCATATTCCTTCTCTTTTTACACCGTATTTTTTTCTTTGATATGTTCAGGTATATGTCCGTTGATGATGGTTTAATGCGGGTTGCCAGAGTCCCACGATGATAGATCCATGGCGTCCATGGGTCCCATGTTCATCAGTGCTCTGAGAACACCTTCTCCTCCTCCTGGTTGCATCCCGGCGGCTGGTCCGTTCAATCCTCCCCATCCATTGGACATGCCGTATGCTGCTTGTGGAACTCCCATACCGGCAGCCATCGTGAAGCTGTTGGGGTCGCCGTAGAAGCCTTGGTTGCCGCTGCCGTCCATACCTCCGTGGTTCATCATTGTCTGCTGAGGTGAAATAGGGCTTGCTCGGTATGAATCATGGCCTGATGCAGCATTGGACATTTGGCCGGGCACAAGATGAGGCCTAATGTCAGATCCGGCACCGCTCGAGTTGGGAGTTCGTCCAGCTGATTGCACGTCTGGAGATCCAGAGGCATCTTGATCCAGACCGCCGTCACCAAAGCCGGATAATCCGCCGCTTCCAGGAACGTTCTTTTCATACATGCTGCCGGAATTGGGTGTCAATACATGCATTTGCTGTTCGGCCGATAGCCACGCTCCGTTTCCAAAGTTGTTGGAGTGTGATGTTGACATGCTCTGAGAATCGCCAGAAGGTTCCGTGAGGTCCGGAGCTGTGGCAGAGTTGCCGTTATCGCCGGTTGTCTTCATAAAGTGGCATTCGTTTCGGTAGGCTAATATGCCCTTGACGCCCTCTGGGTCATCGCAGACAGCTCCGGCTCGTACGGGTAATCCCTTGGGGGCCTCAGCAGGCTGCAAGCACGGTTAGCAAAAACTCATCTCAAGCACCGCTACATCTCGTGCAACAAAAGTTAGGCCAGATAGGGGGAAGGAATGCTTACGCTTTCGCCGGGGCGAGGGAATGCGCCCCTCAGCTTGGGAATCTTCAGCGTCAGAGCCTCAAAGTCCACATCCAGTTGGACAAGGAAAGACTCGGTCAGAGGGTTCCGTCGCTTCAAGGCATTCATAGCCGAGATGAGGAAGCGCAGCGAATCAATGGTCTGCGCGTCGTCAGGCTTGCTCTTAAGATACTGCACAAACACTCGTGCAGAGACGTAGAGGCAAAAGGCAATAAATGGGTTCATCTGAGGCATCCGCGTTAGTATTCATCATTATGATATCATATGACGATGCTTCTGTTATAAAGGTTGCATCGTTGGTGGAAGCAACTTACCGAAGATAGATCCATGTGTGAGATTGTCCTCATGATGCTGGCAATCTCGTTTGCGGCAGTGATGCACCGGACTTTGCTCTCTGCACTGACTGACGCCGGAAGCTTGTTCGCCTCCGCCTTGAAGATGGCCGCCTGGTGAAGGCAGATGGTCGAGGTGTGGATGCTCATGTTCGTGAAGACGACGTTGGGGTTGCCCAGGCCGGCAGGGAGCTTGAGGTGGGACGGTAGGCAAAGAGAGGTGTTAAGGAGGATGTGGTCCATCTGTCGGTGGCGCTTCCAGAACGGGCCATTGATGTCGTGGTCAAGGTCGTCGTCGTCGGGGCGGTGCAAGTGAATCAGGTTGCGGCCGAAAAGACAAGCCATCAGGATGATGCCACCGAATGAGGAGAGCTTGCCGGCTCCGGATGGGCCCATGGACTCCTCCAGAGTCAGCGTCTGCTCTGGGCGGCTCATATCAAAGGCTTCATCTGCCGATGGCATGTTTGTCTTGATGTCCTTTTCATCAATCGTCATGGGCCAGCCAGTGCCGATACTGGCATAGCGATCCTCACAAAAGGCCATCCAAAACGTTCGTCTGCGTTCCTCCCTCTCGGTCCAGTCCTTGGGGGGTGGCAGACACTGCTTCACGTCCAAGCCACCGCCATCCATACGGTGCAATCCAATCCTACATCTTGTCAATCCACGCCCGGGCTCGGTTGGAAAGGGGAGGCAAGAGGGGGTTTCTTACATTTGTGCCAGACGGACAGCAGAGCCAGTGTTAATCCAGGCTCTGGGGAAGTACATCATCTTCATCTCATAACTGGCCAGCAGGATGTGTGTCTGGCAGTGAGCGACGGAGATCATATGCTCTCCAAAACCTTTCATGTAATCGGCTTCGACATACTTGCGTGCTCTCTGGTAGAACAGATCCTTCAGATCCGTGTACTTTTCCGAGATGGAGCATGCCAATGTCCACATGGCGTAGCGTAAGCAGACTGGTGGTCGTTGACTTGGTGCCCTGTACGAATGAATTGTGAGCCACTTGTATATTCCAATCTCTCGCTTGCAGGACCGATTCCATCATTAGGTATCATCGCACAAGGGCGCGGGGGTCATGTCTCAGATGATGACTAAAATCAAAGAGGGGGGATAGAATGAGGGAAACTTCAAGCAAGACGTACAAGTTCATGGCGGCAAGATAGCGGTATCTGTGAATCATGGGCATCGATGGATGGACCTTTTCAAAGTAGATTTGATGCAGCTCGTCAATGGTTTCCTGCGGCGGTAGCGGCTCCTCCAGTCCCAAGCCAATCATTTCCCAGGTGAAGTTTCCGGGCATGTTGTTGACGGGCATACCCATGTTGGCGTTGAAGCCGAAGTCATCCATTGGCGCTGCCTGGGGCGACTCGCCATTGTTGTTGAAGTGCCAGCGCTCCTCGCCGTTGATGCCCATGTTGGAATTGGGCATGGGCATGGACGCACTTGCATTGGCCTGGCTGTTGTTGGCTGCAGGGATCTGCATGCCGACGCCTTTTGTCGGGCTCTTTGCTGCTGGCTCCTGGGTCTTTAATAGCGTCTCAACTTGTTCTGTGTGTCTTGATTAGCCTTTTTGTCTCATCGATGTCGGCCATTTTGATGTTGAGGTTCTTTTATCGACGTCATCTTGATCGCATGCCCTCTCCTCTTCCATCCACTCCTTCTCCGCTCCCTCCCGTGCATCTTGAGAAATACGCAAAATCGATCGATAACGCAATGCTGAAAAGAAAAAAGAACGTTGGCAGGGGGTGTTTCTCACTGAGTCGTTCCTCCAGGGCCTTTACGTAGCCACGCTTAGGACCGCTCTTCCTTCGCTGCTCGTCGTAGGCACAGTTGTGTCCCAGTCGGGAGCAGGTGCTGCAGCTGGGTCGAATGCCGTCGCACTTGAGTTTGCGCTTCCTGCAAATCATGCAGGCAAGGCGCTTGGGCTTGGGGACGCTGGCGTTGTCCGGGTGCGCATCGCGAGGCGCCATGTTGTCGTCCTGAGACGGGCTGTGGCCCGAGTGGTTCCCGCCGTTGCTCGACGAGCCGTTGTCCGAGGAGCCGGGCATGGCTGCTGGTTGGGAGATGGCGACTGCGCGAGAAGCGCTGCGGCTATAGGGCGTGGTGATGATTCTTGGATCGACGGTTGGTGTTTATTCCTCCCCTCTTGCTGGATTGCCCAATTTCTGCAACGCAAATCTCCTCCACGCTGGGCGACGGATGATTGGTGGGCCGATGAGCAGAAACGCGAAAAAGAGATGAAGAAAAGGGAAAAGACGAAGAAGAAACGGAAAGCCTGTCGGACCGGTGCGGGCGGAGGATGGAAAAGTACGAGTGCAGTGCAGTAGAGATGGCGGTTGTTGAAGAAGGACTGCCGAAGTGTTGTGGATGCGGGAAGCCGGGCACTGAGGCGAGTCCGCCGAGAAAGAATCCAAGGATCAATGCTGCTTTGGGGAAAATGGGACGTGGGTTTTCGGCTGGTCTGGCCTGAATGCCCGTAGCTGCAGCAAGGCATCATCGAGGGGATGTGCAGTGCATGTACAGTATACAGCAAGGTACCCTGTACCGCCAGGCTACGTCCGGGGCTGTATTATTAATGGACCACCTGCTGCTATATTTAGCCCAACGCTGGCTCTGTCTGTTCTGTCTGCGCGTGCCGGAGTGGGGCGCGCCAGTGTGACAACGGTGCGGCGTCGTGCTGCCCAGGTACCGGCTACGGGTGCGATTTGATTGATGGCAAAGGCACTACAGGGCACTACAGGTAGTGCAGCGCTGTTAGTGAGCTGTGGAACTGCATCGTTCTAGCGCCCTACTGCTACGGTACATGCACAGCGCAGTTGGTATTGAGGTATTGAATGGCTGGTTGGATGGATTGATGTCGATGATGGAACGTTCATCAGGTCGACATGACATGAATGGGGCCAAATACAATTTCAACGGCTCTGCGCCCCAAGGTAGCGGTACAAATGCAACTGCAGCCAGCTGCGATGAGTTGCAGCAATCAACAGCCGTCAGCACGGTACCCTCCACTACGAAGTAGCAAAAGCTAAACACTTGTGCCCCCCTCCTCATTCCAAGCTGCCAAAAACCCTTGGAAACGAGCGACAGACAGACCCCAAGACGCCTGGGCTATGCCGCATCCGTGTGGTCGCCTCGTCCTAGGGCCATCAAAGTAGAAAGTAGAGGGTACAGAGGTTTGGGGGGCTGCTCAAGAGGCACTGGGACGGCGCCGCGATGGCGCTGAAAGGCGCTGGCCGGCGCGCTGCAAGAAGCTCAAGGTTGGTTGGAATCAAATCAAATGAGTCGCGGCACCGGCCCCCCGAGCGGCAGAGCCAAGTCCAATGCTGGGAAAGCTTGCGAGTTGAGGGTCCTGTCCCCTCCTCCTCAATCTCCATGATGCCTCAGATCCCCCTTGTTTGTCACGCTGGCTCGCCCCCCTCCAGCGGATTTGATGGGGCGAGATTTGTCCATGGGGGTTCCTCTATTTCCTCTACCAGGCCTAAGTGATACAAGTACAGGTACTAGCACTAGCACCATCACGCGTGGTTTGTGGGGATGCGGTCGTGCTGCGAGGGCGCATGTTTTGGTTCCTTGGCGATGACGACCGCTGCCAGCCTATTGTCTCGTTTTTATCAGATCAGGCTGTGTTTATTCTGCCCTTTCACTTTCATTCGTCTTCATGCTATTTTGCTGGATTATCTGACCGGCTGAGTCGGGCGGAATTATAATGTATGCATGTACTCTGTTCTGTATGATTACCACACATCTGTGTAAGTCGAAACCCGAAAAAAAGGGTTTCCAAATCAGATGGCGTTTTTGTTAGTGGCGATGCCAGTTGATGGTGGCGCGTTTGGCTGCGCGTCATACGGTCGATTTGCACGGCCGACGGGCAAAACCTTTGAGCCATTCCCATACGCGTACGAGTACGAGTTCTGCTCGGAAAGACTTTAGTTATTGAAACGAGTTTGCTTGAATTTGATTTGAATTTTTTCTTGGGCTTGCGGCCGCGAGGCTTTGGGATGGTGATGGGAAAGCCGGATTCAAAAAGGCAAATTGGGGGGGCTAATGCCTGCCAAGGTACGGCTAAGGTAGCCCATCTGCCAGAACAGGTACCACCGCGCTAGGATTTCCGTGGCTCAGGTCGATTGTGTATGCTCCGGACCAGTTCTTGCATGGAACGGCTCCTTTTCTAAACGGAGCAGCCTATTGTGTGTAAGTAGAGAGGTGTATAGGAGGGAGTGCTGCATATTGCGAGTTGGGAAGTGCAGGTAAACTGTTTGTAGGAGTGTACATGTAAGCGCATCAGTCAGAGATTACCAAAACAGTCCGTTGCTATTTTCCTCTGCGAGAATAGCACGAGCATGACCTGTCCAGTAGCATCTTGATTGTCTACATACATACAGCCTGTGGCATTACCTGTGGGATGATTCAAAAAGAGCCTGTAGCATTACTTTACAGCACAGTTCGTTGTCAGCCTTCCAGATGCGGCCACGCCACATGATGCCATGAGACGCAAAGCGTGTATCTGATTAGAGCTCGAGGGAAAGACTTTGCGATCGTCCAGCCAATGTCTCCTGTCATCGGGTGCTAGTGCAGTACAACGTCAGGTACATGGACTTGGCCAGACGGGGCATTATTTCAAATTCTTTTCTGCTCCTCAATTTCGTCCCCCCACTGGCGGCACATACCGCTCAGCTGCTACTGGTGCTTCATCTTCCCGACAAGCCCCCGGCACAAAAGAGACGAAATAGGGCCTAGCTGAACTAGTACCGCTACAGCATATGGTCGAGTCTATCCTACACGTACAGGTAGGTTCAGTCAAGGGGACAGACGCCAAGGGTACAGGGACAGGGACAGGGGGGGCTTGGACAGTATGTTTCTTTTTGGAGATGTGGGCTGCGGGTGCATATCTCGGTTACGTGATTCTGCAGGAGAAAGGCCAAAGAATATGCACGCAGCTATGGAAGCCTGCCATTCTCGGTGCCTTTGGATTATTTTGTCTTTGAGGTGTTGCAGTTTGTTTCTTTACAATACAGCCTTATTAAAAGAAAAGGCTGATCTCCCTAGATGAAATGCACAACAGAGCTTGATTGTCATCTGACTTTTTTTATTTTAATTTCCCGTACCACTCCACGTGGGATCATGCTTATTGATGCCCTCTCCGTCACTTTGCATTTTGCATCAACTATCACAAAACACATCCATCAATGTATAAAAGTTCGACGGAAACAAACCCAAAGCACCTACCTAATCAGGCTCTTCCAGCCCGAGGTGAAAGACTCCCGCCAAGTCTTTTGCCACCCAGAAGTACCCCAGCATTCGGCTGCGATCATCTTCTAGGTACGGAGTACTACCTAACTACCACTACGGACTACGGACTACGGAGAACAAGCTACGGGCATGCTCCACGGCTTTGTACCTTATACTCCGTAACCACCTCTTTTGTTGGGGGTTACAAACACTTGACACAATCAAGTTTCCACGGATATAACATTGTAATTCAAATTCATTTTACTATGACTTGTTCATACATTGAAGCCGGATATAAGCCCAGTGGCCTCTACCTCAATCAAGCCTTGCTTACGTACCCAGCAACCATCTAGCCCGGCAATGTTTCTTCCCGTCCGCCCGCAAATGCTAGCATGGAAACCGGCTGCCAATGGATCAAATGCGAAGACAGAAAAAAAAGACGCCCTCGTGCGGATGAGATGCACAGCCCAAGCCTTCTTTCTGCTTCACCGTTTCTAGCGCCTTGCCTTATGCACGAGCGTATTCGGATCTGATAGCACACTTCCACCAGTAGCAGCAAGCCAGCAGCACACCTGTCCAAGTGGTGTCTTGTGTATGCTCTTGTATGGATGTTCGGAACGCCGCACACGCACTATTAGACGGTGTATTCCGAACCGCAGCGGACGGCAGCACCCACAGAAACATTGACTACCAGGGATACCAGTGATCATGGCATGGCAGCATGCACAGCTGGCCGTTTCGGTTCGCCACCATGTCGGGATCAAAGACCAGGGTCAGATTTCCTTTGTGGAAAGTTGACTGTCATCATCCCATCCCCAATGAGATTCCCTGCTCCGCTCCCCCTACTGCTAGTTACAGTTACATGCCCTGCATAGTAGCTTTTGGGATATGCCGTGAAGGCTACGCTACCTATACATGATGCCCATGTGGCATCACAGAACGAAAGAGATGGATGGTAAGAGGTGCAACCAGAGACATCCGTGCCGTGCTGATGGACGCCCAGAAGGATGGAAAAAACGATAAAAAACCCCCACTCAGCCCTAAGCAAGTCTATTGCAACGGTACGAGTACTCGGACAGTTTACTCTCTCTCGACGCCCAAAAGTCATAGTCACGTCTCTTGAAAAACAAAAAAGGGACTAGTTGATTGGCCGGTTGTTAACTGCCGGTTTGGCCCTCCGTGTGGCCGGCCTGCGCGGTGCTATCAGAACCTTGATGCTTCTATAAATAATTCACCCACCTTGCACTTGGTGCCTGTTTAACGCCTCGATTCTACTTAGTCCCACGTTATAGTTCTATAGTCCCCTTGCTGTGGTAAATCCGCTCTCTCTCCATTCTCTCCATTCTCTCTCCCTTTATACACGCCCCCGTTCAGTCTCGTACGATCTCTCGCGTCGGTAGCAAGTACATTCAGCTTCCACATTCGAGCCCCCAAAAAAACAATCCATGGCAGCCATGCCGCAACAAGCAAGAAAAAGTGTCACTGCTCTCCGTCCCCGCGGACCCATCATCCAATCGAGCCCGTGTCCCAAATCTCCATCTGACTGCCTTTGCCTTTTGCTTCCGCCAAAAATATTACCCGCCTACCATCACTCCCACGTTTCTCCGGGCTCCCAAGCAAGAGAAAACCAAAGTCAATGGGGTAGGAAGGGATCCATTTTCCCCAGCCTCCCCCCCTCGTCCCCGGTAGACCGTCTTCTAAAAACAAAACTATCAACCCCATGATGTGATGCCTTCTGTTTCCTTGTTTCTTTTCAGGTAGTTTAGTGGGAAACAACGCAAATCGGCTTACCTTACCGTTGCCGGACTGGTGAGCAAGTTCCACTTCTTGCCCATGCCAAGGCGGAACTTGCAGCACATCGAGGGCGGCACTTCCAGCAACCATGCCTGTCCAAGGCAGTAGATGGTTGTACATAGCCCGCGCAACGGAGTACTCCGTACCCTTTACCCGTTTCGAGATGGGTTACACACACATTTCCGAAGCCGTTCTAGCTTGAGTGCTGGAACGTTGGAGGATTTTTGGGGTCTGTGGGAGGCTTTGGTGCAGAGAGCTCGCGTGGCTTCAGGCTATCTTGATACTACTAGACAGTTGCCAACCTGCCACAGGAACGCCCATTTGGGCAAGGAGTCTATCAACCCTCTTATCAAAGATGGTGAATCCTCTTAACAAGTAAAAGAAGAAATTGAATAAAACAAATAAAAACAACATAAAACAAAATAGGCCCTTATCCCTCCAATCCCGGTCCTCATTCCAAGCAAGCTCCTTGTCTCAACCCACGTGCTGTTTCACAGCCTAGTGGCAAATCGGCTGCCAACTCTTGCGACACCTCCAGCAACTTCTACCAAGCATGCAGCCGATGGCCGTTGCGTCGAATCACTTCCCAGTCTTAGCCTTTACCCGGCGTATTACATACATGCCTTGCTTACTGGGGGAGCGGAAAATGCGCGACCTTTTCCACACCATCGGGATACTTTATCCGGCTCAACACAAATGCCCTAGGTAGTGCCACATGCTAGCTAGACAACATGCTGGAGATACGCAACCTTCTGCCGACGACTCCGTGCCATGCCATGTATACCCAATGTGGCTCTAGCTCACTCTCGCCTGTTCCCGTATACCCAAGTGTCGGAGAAAAAAAGCATGGGCGTAAGACCACAAGAAGGAGAAAAAGGGAAAGACGACAACAAGGCTATGCCCCCCCTCCTCCTCCGGCGCTGGCAGCTTACTTTCTGTCGAGATCTACCCCCACAATTCGCAGGACACCAAGATCGCTATACGCCAAACAGTAGCGGGTTGGCGCCCAAGCCACCACTGGACATGATCCGGCCGTCTTGAACGTGTGGACGTGCTCCCCCGTCTCGACGTGCGTTACTTCCAGTCCGTTGCCTATTAGGTTGATGGATCAGCAGAGCGTCCGGAACTTGGCCAGCCAATACAGAGGGCATTGAGTCGGGCCGCCATTGTCATCCGAGACAGATAACCGCGGCCTTCCAAGTCGCTGACTCACCTTCGTCACTTCCGCCGACGACGTAGCTACCATCAAATGTGAAACCTGCGTGGGTGCATAGTCGTTAGCTTCCAGTGAGCCCCCGTCAAGCACGGTCACAGCCTTCGGACTTAACTCACTTATACTCCTCACGGGGCCCGTCATCCTTGTGATCGTCCTCTGGCACAGCCAGTCTGTGGTATCCCATAGCGCTATAATGGAGTTGGCTCCTCCCGTGGCGAGATAGCGGCCCATGGGCTGCAGCTCGGCGGTCAGGCATGAAGCGGTATGACCCTTGAGAGTGAACTCGGCGGCATCGTCGCCGTCTCCTAGACGCAACACCGGCTCAAACTCGGGATATGATAGTATCCTAATCTGCCCTTCTGACGTCGTGACAAATATCTTCTTCCCACTCCAGCAAAAGGCAATTTGATTCGTTTGCACTGTCTGCTGGTGTGAGGCCAGAGGGGTCGATTGTGTTGGTGATAGAACAAAGATGTTATCCGACTGGAAACGGTGAGCCATTCCTGAACAAGCATGATCGACGTGATGGGAGAAGGAGATGAGAACATACCCTGTTTCCGACGAGCAGTGTCTGCCCATCTGGGGCCCAAACGAGCGTCATCGCGTCTCCTAGACCTGTAACTTCATTGAAGCAAGCCTTGGTCCTGACATCCCAAAATCGTACCACACCGTCACTGCTTAAGCTGCACAGCTCAGCATCTTTTGTAGGATTAAAGGCTACTTTTTCGATGCCTGCCTGGTGACCTTTGAGCTCCGTTGAAAACTTGACATTGGGTTTTTCTGGATTCCCTACAACGCGTGTCAATCTTTCCGTCTTCTTTTTGCTTGGCCATTTCTCTTCTTTTCACTTCAGCCACGCCTACTTACAGACTCGCAATGTCCTATCTGCTGAACCCGTGGCAACCAGAGTCCCAGGGGGGTTCCATGCAATTGATCTCAAACTGTGCACCGTGTCAGATCTTGCATCTCAAACAAACCATTGAAACACCACTTACTTCAACGGGCCGGCTGCCCGTGATGAGTTCGGATTAGTATATGGCTGACTCCTTAGGTTATTAAAGTAAGTTGGGAACCTGTCCTTTGACAGGCTCATTCGAGGTCTGAGAATCGGCGCCATGGCCGCACGGTTCTGCTCGGATTAGCCCTTCTCTTACCGAATCAAGGAGGCTGCGCGTGAGTCTGTGTCCTCTCTCTCGTAGAGGTGTGACAATCGGAAGCAATAGATGCCTTTATTACGCGTCCAGAGGCCAATTGAGTGAGATAATAGTCTTATCTATGCCGTTACGACTTCGAATGAATCGCTCTCAGAGATGTGGCTGATGTGAATAACCATTCGAATATGCACGTCGTTGATGAAAGATGGTGTAAAAGGCTAGGCCAGGCTGAAGGCGGCGAAGACAGCCACTAGTGAGATGTGTGGCTAGTGTACAGGTGTGGCGCAGTAACAAATCTCGCTACTTGAGCTTGGGCAAACGTCTTGTGAACATCATCGTTGACATCATCACCTCTACTTCTTTTCAAAATAGCCTGCATGACCAAATCTTTCATTATTATTATTCTCGTGTAACTATGATTAAGCTGTGGGTAAAAGTCGTCCATACGGGGGCTCGTAAATAGAATGGCAAAACAAATGCAAGATCGCGACAACACATCAAACAAGACAAAAGCTCAAAGCACGAGAATGAAGATGCATAAAAACAAAACGCCGACAGAAAACTTTCTCTAAGACTCATACAATTCAATGTCATTCCGATTTGAAAGCCCCTTCCATAAACCAATCGTGATATGTGTACACTTTTTCTATCTCAGCCTTTGCCGGCTGAGGGGCGAGCTTCCTGATTCCTCTCCATGGCCACAGCTCATCAAAGCTCGTCCAACTGGAACGAAGCGCAGCTTCAGAGAGCACCAGATGCCGCGGCCAGCTCATTCTCCAAATGTTTGGTCACTCGTTACCGGGGCCACCACAACAAGCCGACTCCAAGATTGGCAAACCGATACCTTTCCTTTCCATCGCCCCAAGACTCCAAGGCGCCTGCCTGTATCAAAAAAACAAAAAAAGAAGCGCGAAACGGGATTTCCATGCTGAAATATTGAAAAACCAGACAATTGCAGACATAACCTGCTAGATATCAAACAATGAGAATGGTGATGCAATGTAGCCGAAATAATACGGCTCCCAGACCAAATGCTTCATAGCCGCTCATAACGATGCAGGGCCCAACAGGCCCAAACGCAGTATGCAATAAAGCGACATATTATGGCGTGGTCGTGTTCACTTTCGTTGAGCAATTAAGTCGTGATAGAGTCCAACGAATAGTGTTCGTATCCCAACTCTGAACGGAACTCGCAGTAATTCAAGACGCCAAAGTGGGGGGGAAACAATGCGAGTGACAGCCAGCGTCGTCATAATCATGAAATTTGGTCCAAAGACAGATGAAGATCCTCGATGCCGAATAATGGCGCGTTTTTCTTGGCCCATTGGCGAGAAAGAATAGAAGCTGCAGTGGGTGTTAGCGACGAGATGGAGACGTTGTCATGGATGGATGGATGTCAAAATACCTTTGAGGAATTTCTTGCTAGCATACTTCTTGAAGAATGCTTCGTGAATGGGAGGTCGCGCTAGGTAATCAACCATGAGGTTGACAACAGGCTCAACCTCCTCCTCTGTGTAACCTGCATAATACGCAATAGTTGCATCCTGTCATCGAACCTGTTAGCTAGTGCTATTGATAGAGTAGAACTGATTGTCTGTACATACCCACTCGCCACGGTCAAGCATGAGTCGCGCCAGATACATGGAAGCAGCAGCAACATGACTGGGGCGGTACGCCATGAATCGGTGGTCTAGCAGGCTAATCTCCGTAAGATACTTGCCAATGGTACGTGACTGGATATCATAGTTGTCCGCTTTTGAGACTCGGCGAAGGAAGTTCATAGGGTTGGGATAGCTGAGATCATAGTTGAGGGTGCTAAGAATGAAACGCTCCGCACTCAAAATCTCAGCCTCGCTGAAACCGTCATCGGCAATCTTCTTGAAGTTCTCCACGTGAGGAGACAGGACCTCTTCGTATTTGGAGGCGATGAACATGGCGGTGATACCAACGAGCTGGAGGCGGTCGAGCTGGACAACCTTTTCGGAGAGGAACCGATCGATGATGTTGACGGCCAGGAACAGAGTTTCGGGAAGCAGATGGAACCGAGTGTGAACCTCAATAAGCCAATCAATAAGAATTCCTCGCGTCTTCCACTCGAGGTCGTCCTGGTGAGACATGTAATCAGAGTTGGGAATCGATTGAACCTCGAGGTCTCTCAAGTAGTCAAAAATATCATTCGCATATTCGGCAACCATGAGAGGGTCATCCAAGTCCTCCTCATCGAGACTCTTGATGTTAGCAATCAGCTCGGCTTTTGCCAACTCCTCGGGATCTGGTTGTGAAGCCTTGACTGGAGCGGTCTTGACTGGAGCGGCCTTGACGGGGGCAGCTTTGGAGGATGTAGCCTGGGGAGCCTTATTCTCAGACTCAACAACTTCAGAGCGAGCACGCTTCTCAGCATCCAGATGTGCCTTCTTGCGGGCGGGCTCCACAGCCTCGCGTACGACTTCTTCCTTGGGTGCAGCTGCCGGAACCTTTCTCTTGGGTGGGATTGTACCAGCTCCCGACTTCTTGATTTCTGGCTTCTTGACTTCCTTGCTACTCAATGCTGTCCGACCGGCGGTAGGGCGAGTGCTCTTTTGAATGCCTGTAGGCTGAGCAGCCTTGGACACCAGACCCTTGGCCGCAGCCTTCTTCCCCTCAGCGGCATCCGTTTTGCTGACATTGCTGACATCGCCAAGTGCAGCGCGTTTCCTAAGTCCGTTGGCAGTAGTGGTGCTGACAGCTGCCTTCTTCGTTTGAAGGCCAACTTTGGAGGGAGGTGCTGAATCGTCCACGCCAAGAGCCGCCGCCTTGGCCCTGGTCATACGCGTTGTGGTGCTGTTCTCGTCATTCTCGTTAGAGATAACGCGGGTACGGGGTCGTCCCTGGGCATCGCGTCAGCACTCTTTCGCTGCAAGGTGAGAGCTGTATCGACTGCAGGAAATACTCACAGGAGGCATATTCGAAAATATGAACTGAGATGAAGAACTAGTGGTGGTGTTAATAGCTTCGAAGCCTAACATTGTTTGCCCCGACATGTCAGCCTAATAGAACGCGTCGAGAAGAGTAAAAATTGAAAGCGTGCAGACGATGAAGATAATTTGATGCAACTCAAGGGAGTTGCCAGAAGCTCTCCTGAGGCACTCATCTGAAGACAAGGGGGCCGGAATGTTACTGACCTCCAGATGGCGAGGTTAAATTAAAGAACCGACACGCCTAGTGTGGCAGGAATGCTGCGAGATAGAGTCAATGACTGGGCTAAGGGTATTTGAATTGAACAGGCTCGATGCCAGGTAGAGTGACTATGAGTAAGAGTAAAGGACAGGCAGCCGGAGGGGGTATCAACAAGCACGATTGGAGATGATGCAAAGTGTTTATGAAAGAGGATAGTGGTGAGGGCGAGGTGTGTTTTGAGGAGAAACGCACAGGGAGCGCGGAGTGGGCCGGCGCGGATGGGGTACGTACCTCGACAGAGTTGGCGCGGCTCGCGATTTGGTTTGATTGAAGGCAGCGTTGCCAGGCAGGGGAGAAGAATGATGGGGGCTAAGGCAGAAAAAAAAACCTAGAGCCTATGACAATGCAACTTTTTGTGTATGAAGCTAGCCAGGGCTAGGGAACAAAGAGAGGAGAGAATGTTATGCGAGTGCTGTAGTCATGCGTTGAGGTGAGATGAGGGCCAGCTGTTGATATCGCTTCGGGACAGCGGTGAAGAAAGCTTTTACTGCCTGCCTGGCCGGTGAAGAGATGCTATGCTGGTCTGGTCAGGCCGATTGACGCCGGGTCGAGGCTCAACGAGTGGACTAGGATGCCGATACAGGGAGAGGGAGAGAGAGGATGTGTGTCGATACGATACGGGACGATACGATACTGCACTCCGTAGAGAGAGAAAAAAAACAAGACTAAGAGACAGCTTCCAGAAAGGTATCCTGTCGGGTATTGCACGAGTACCAGCCAGAAGCGGGCGGGCGACGAGTGGAGGCCAAATCGACGACTCACAACGCGCCGTTTGGCGGAATCTCGCGGGGCCGGGGGGTAGAGGCTGGAAAGGGCCAATGTCAACAGTAGCAACAGCAGGGCAACGGGGGTTTGATTGGCTGGACGCGATCGCGCGAGCTTTTTTGCAGTGGCTGGATGCCTGGCAGATGCCCGTGCCGAACTGAGCCTCGCTGTGGCTGGTCGCGCCCTACTAACCTACCTAGGTTAGTAAGCTAGAAAACTCAATGCCCTGTCATGCCTGTGCTGACTACTGCAAGTAACAAGGTACCTAAGTTTGCCAGGTCTGTGCTCTGATTAGGTAATTGCATAGCTCTGTGCCGGGGGTTCAATGCAGCGATTCGGCACAACGTTTTTCAGAGCTCCGTTGAAATTTCAACGTGGGACGCCGAAAAGACAAGCCGCCAGAAGTCGTTCGATTGCGACAGCAAGGCCGAACTGCTCGACGACGACCGGCACGGCGCTTGCAGACTTTGTGAGCCGTTGGGCATCGTCTTGTCCAGCTCCTAGTGCACTCCAGCTCTCGTTTGAAGAGGCTGCTCTGGGCCAATTGCTGGGCTGTGAGAACTTCGAGCATAGACAAAGTCCCCCACCACGAATGTCATAAACGATCAGAATAGGAAATCACCATTCCCCTCGATACCAAATTTATACTTTCTTCCTTGCCAGGCCAATTATAGGATCAAGATGTTGCAGCCAAGGATGTCTATTGCTCCGGCTCTTCGCAGCCGCAGCCTCCTCGCTGCCTTCAACAATCTCTCATTGAGGGCTTATGCCACCAAGTCGAGGACCAGCAGCAATGCCGGACGTGCCAGTGAAACACCAGCCAGCATCGATAGGCCCTCGAACCAATCCGTCATGTTGCGCACCTACAAGCCCAGGACTCCCGGTGTTCGACACTTACGGCGACCTATAAACGACCACCTCTGGAAGGGACGGCCATTCCTACCTCTGACAATTCCGAAAAAGGGCCAGGGCAAGGGTGGACGAAACGTGTATGGTAGAATCACTGTCAGGCACCGAGGAGGTGGTGCCAAGAGGAGAATACGCACAGTCGACTTTATACGATGGCGCCCTGGACCGCACCTGGTCGAGCGGATCGAATATGACCCTGGACGTAGTGCCCATATCGCCCTGGTCACGGAGCAAGCCACCGGACAAAAATCGTACATCATTGCTGCCGATGGACTGAGAGCCGGTGACATTGTCCACAGTTATCGCGCCGGTATCCCGCAGGATCTTCTCGATAGCATGGGTGGTGTTATCGATCCTGGTATTCTTGCGGCCAAGACTGCCTTCCGAGGAAACTGCTTGCCAATGCACATGATTCCAGTTGGCACAACAGTTTTCTGTGTTGGTTCAGCCGCAAAGAGAGGCGCCGTGTTCTGTCGGAGTGCGGGCACCTCCGCCACAGTGGTAAACAAGAACGAAGAGACAAAGGATGACGGAACAAAGATCATGACTGGAAAATACGTCGAGATCCGGCTTCAGAGCGGCGAAGTTCGCCGTGTGAGCAAAGATGCATGCGCCACCATCGGAGTTGCCAGCAATATCCACCACCATTATCGCCAACTCGGCAAGGCTGGTCGAAGCCGGTGGTTGGGTATTCGACCTACCGTCCGTGGTGTGGCCATGAACAAAGGTAAATTTACCCAATCTTTCCGCTCATACAAGCAACTAACAATTGTCGATAGTTGATCATCCTCACGGTGGTGGTCGAGGAAAGTCAAAGGGTAATCGTCATCCTGTGACGCCTTGGGGCCGACCGGTAAGTTGCAAGATCCATTCTCAACTATACAATCCAATGAGGGAAACTAATGCATATGTCCCTACAGACCAAGAGCGGTTACAAGACTCGCCGTACGCACAACATCAACAAGTGGGTTGTGACGCCCCGGCCACGCAACCACGGCAAGCGGAGAGACAAGAGGTCGTCCAAGGAGTGATTTTGAGGCAGTCCAATAGATGCCGTTATGAAGGGGGGAATGACATGAAGCTATGTATATGCGCCGGCAGCAAGCACTGTGTTGTGGCTCTGCGCGATTGTATATTATGTGCTATTATTGATATGCCTGGCGAGGGCAAATATTTGATGACCACGTGTAAACACTGCCACAAGTAATACACGTTTAACTGTGCTGTGATTTTTGAAGCTTGTTGATCATCACTTTGTTCAAAATTATCAAGGCCAGAAGGTATTGTAATCCTATATCAGCATCTATGTTAGTTACTAAAAGTACCTACTGGGTAATTAGGTAGCACAGGCAGGTCTGATGATATGCGACATCAACTTGGAAGCAGTTTGAGGTGCGATATTCGTTACACATGATAAAAGAAATCTAATAGTCCTCAGACATATATAAACATAAAGCCTTTCGAACTGCTTCCCAAAGGGCCAGGTTAGGTGACGGTTGCTGTTATGGATGAAGACTTAGATCCCCGTTGGCCAAGACAGGCATGAGTATGATGCAGATAAACAAAAAATATTCGGGTAGGCCAAAGTTCATGGCTAACCCATGCAAAGATACTACCTGACCTATATGAAGATATATAACTGTAAAAAAGGCTCGGATCCATAATTTTATACTGTCAATACTGCTCTCCCAGCAGCCCAATGATGCTATCTGCCTTGTTTCTCTCAACGAATGAAACCAGCGTCTAATACAAGCGCACCTATCCGTATGTGTCTTCCGTATTTGTCTTTCGCCTTAACATCCGCACCAGTCTCAATCAGCAGCTTAACAACAGCCTTACGCATCATCGCAGCAGCCTTGAGAAGCGGCGTTTGCCCGTCATTGTCTTTCGCCTCAACATCAGCACCAGTCTCAATCAGTAACTTAACAACAGCCTCATGCCCCTTCTCAGCAGCCTTGAAAAGCGGCGTCTCCCCGTTATTATTTTTCTCTTCAGTATCAGCGTCCTTCTCAAGCAGCAATTTAACAACAGCCTTATGCCCACTCTCAGCAGCCCGTAAAAGCGGCGTCGACTCATCTCCATCTCTTGCCCCGACATCAGCACCATTTTCAAGCAACAGCTTGACAGCGGCGTCGTACCCCTTCCCAGCAGTCAATATAAGCGGCGTCTGCCAATCACTATCTCTTGTATCGATAAGAGTGCCATTCTCAAGCAGCAGCCTAACAATGGCGTTGTATCCATTTATAAGAGCCCATGTAAGCGGCGTCCTCCCATACGATATGTCTTTCGTCTCAGTCTCGGCACCATTTTCAAGCAACAGCTTAACGATAGCCTCATGACCACATAAAGCAGCTAATGAAAGCGGCGTCTGTTTATGATTATCTCCTGCTTCTATTTCGGCGCCATTCTCAAGCAGCATCCTAACAATTATCTCGTGGTTGTTTGCAGTAGCCGACAAAAGGGGCGTGTGGTTAGCATATCTTGCCTCAATATCGACTTCCTTCTCGAGCAACAGCTTGACAATGGCCTCATACCCCTGCTGGGCGGCCCATAAAAGTGGCATCTGACCCTCATTGTCTTGGAAATCCGCATTGACATCGCTTCGAGCTAGTAATATCTTAACAAGCGCTTCATGACGACCTCTCACCGCATGCCATAGCAATGTCCGTCCTTGGGCATCTGCCAAATTGGCCGTAACATCACTTCTGGTGAGCCACAACCATACAGTATCTTGGTCTCCTGCTTGTGCTGCGCTGAATATCTTGCCAGTCCCCGGGGAGTTCATCCATAGTGCAAACAAATTGTGATCGTCAATGCCGCGATTGATGCCGTACTGATTTCCAGAATTTTCGACTCTACCCACTGGCGCCATTCGCTGCATTCTGATACACATCTGTCTAATGGGATATCGCCATCTTCTGAAGTCACGAAAGTCAATGCTTTCAAAAGTTTCGCTTCGGACTCGTTCAAATAGCTCCATTGTCAAAGCCTTATCTTTCACATAAATGGCAAGAGGCTTAGTTGCTTTATTTCTCTCCGCACAATGAAGAATTACAATTCCAAGGCCTGCGCGACCTAGCCCAATAAATCGGAGTGCCAAATGTATTCCTCTGCTGCTCACAGTGAGGGACCCGCTGGAATCACCGAAAGGGCTGTAATGGATAATGTTGTTGGAATCGCTAAATGCATCTGCAGATGTGGCCAGAAGTCCACCACGGGCATCTCGCGATTTCCAGCAAAATATACTGTGGTCGTTTGAAATCCTCATTATTTCCTCTTGGAGCCTAATAAAAGCTCGTTCGCCTTCTCCATAGAGTAACGGCATATTGATGCCAAATATGCCCATCAAACAATAGGCACGATCTTCAATCCTCGTGGTTTTCCTTTGAGAAGCCCAAGACATCCTTTGCGCTACAGTAGCCGTTTCGAGAGAAGCGCCGGATAAAATGTTGATTGGTATGCGCGTTTGATCGGATACCGCTTCTTGTAGACTTTTCTTAGTCCCCAGGTCGTTCCATTCCTTGTCGAGAAAGTATACCTCAGCAGGTGCAAGCAGCTCTTGCAAAGTCCAACCTCTCTTGAACCATTCGCTCTCTTTAAAGGTACCCATTGATTGCACATCAGAGAGATATGCATAGCATCTGCCAGCCTTATGATACCAAAGGTACATGGAGTTGATTGCCTCTGATAGCTCTGCGCTACTTGTCTTGTCAATGCAGCATGAGTCGATCCAAGCATATTGAAATGTGTCAGATTTCGCCCTGATGCAGCATCGATTTATCTTTTCGAAAGCCTTTATCTTATTCTCATTCGTAAATCCCTGCTTCTCCCACATGCGGTTTTGCACATCTTGTAAACTGAGTTCGTAGTTATACCATCTGTGTGACAGAATGGCATAGTTTGGGATTTGGCCAAATCCAAACTCTTCAATCACCAGTGTGTCGGTATTAATCAACCTCATGATATGATTTATAGCTCGTAGTTTGTTTGACTGAATTGTGCAATAATCGGAATGAAGACAGTGAGTGTCTAGTCGATCTAGCTTTGTCAAAAGGTGCACTTGTCCCTATCCAGACGACAACTATCGTGCCGCAGAAGGCTATAATCAGTAGACTCGACGGCGCTGATATTTCGTCTCAACGGCAGATTTTAATATGACTTTAGTATAAACTTCGTAGTTCAATAACAAGGAGTAGTCAGATATATTACATCACACAATGTGTCTATCGCTGGAATACAACATCGTTAGGCAGCATTAGGCAGAAATAGGAATATGAAAACCAGCCGTCCAGCGATGCCATCTTATTAATAAACACCTATCAACCAATGATACTGCTTAAAAGCTACCTGCTGTAGATTTACATGCTAATGCGACGCGATAGCACCCAACACAGCCTCGTACTGAGGGGGTTATGAGGTCCTTTGGACTACATTATCCCGAGTCATAACTTCATGCCAGATGAGCTCATGATGATTATTTTTTACTTTCAATAGTGAGAACAAATGGAATAAGAGAGGATAAAGAATTTTAAGTACTTACATTTTGTATCAATGTCAACTCTACATATCTACAGCTCAGGCCACCAAGGGGTTTTTTTTAAAAAAAAAAAAAAAAAAAAAAGAGGAGACCGAGAAATGACCACCATACAAAAACAGACAATCCGCACATAACCACCTGATATTAAATTCATCTAGAATGATAGTCGTATTCTCGTCATGAACAGTATACACACATTTACTTTGCGGTCCCTGTACTATTACAAACCGCTTAGTGGCTCACACCTGCCTCTAGGAGAATTGCAGGACGATGTCGATCCTATGCACAAAGCGCCCACTTTTGACTATTTAAACATTGGACACAGTCTAAAAAAGGGTCTTTTAACATGAGCGTCTGATTTATATGAAAAGGAAACAATTTTGGTAAAAAAAAAAATGTAAGAATATCTTGCACAAGGCCATAACTAGTTGTAGCAAATGAGGGGTGGATTAGAAACACAAAGGGGAAGCGCCCACGGAGTACATTCAAGGAACATCAACAAAGCCCTTCACCTGCTGAAAAAAGATGCCTTAGTAGCCACCGCTAACCCACGAAGAGCATAATTTACACAGAGCAAATAGTCAACATGCTGCGAAACGCCTCTCCTATTTGTTCTATCCTGATTTTTGGCAGCCCAAAAGTGAGCTAGCCTGTTTTGTTCGTATATACGAGTATCTCCGCTGATTAAGGAGACGTACATCTCGTGTAACCCTTGGCGCCTTGCATCCAAGAGAGATTGCATGATGAGGTAACAAGTAACAGAGCTTTGGTATTGTTACTTCGTACTAAAACCTGGCCACTGATTCGCGCTGGGTGCAATTGGCCAATTCGCTCAGCCATAATGCTAGCCTGCGTCGTGTATAACGTGTACGGAGTACGCCGTCAGTCCTTTCTACAAAGGTAAGGGTGAACAGGGTAGAGCTAAGAGGTTGTACTTCCAGATACTGCCAGGGTTAGTAGTAAAGGAGTAGTACTGGTAAAAAAAAGCCGGTAACCAATTGAACTACATATGTAGTCATGTATTGATACCTGAAAAACGATTGGCCTAGGAGGGTTGCTTGTCAATTTAACGTTGATTTAACCTCTTTGCACTGTAAATCACGGCCGGATAGACAAGTCGAGCCCAGCGGGAGAAGTGCCAAGAAGCCAAGAGCCGGCGCGAGCTACGTCAGAAAGAGAAAGGACAGGGGGCAGCGCTTGCCAAGAATTTCTAATGCTCCTTCCACTGGCTGCTGGGGCGCCGCTGGGAAGGCGCCAGCCAGCCAAGAGGCACACGACCCACTTCCTCATCCAGATCGAACACCTTCTGCTCCATGTACAGAAGGTACGGGTACAGTACAGGCGAGTGTACCTGACTTTTGCACTGCCGGCTTATTGCTGCTCCATGTTGCTAAACTTGTCCCATGCCAGCATCGCAGGTGACTCCGGAATACCGGCTCAGCTCCATATTCTTCTTGCTTAACCGTCACCTGCTGCGTATTTCCTTCGTACCGTCTGGTAGGGTCTACTCCGTACTTTGGTCCCAATATAGAGGTAAGCTTCATGTTCCAATTCTTTCATCAGCACGGCCACATGTCTCCTCCACTGCACAGACACAAAGCCCTATTCTATCCACTTCTCCCCTTCTGCTCTCCTCGATTTGAATCAACCCTGTTGTACTTAATGTGGCAATGCTTCCTAGCCTCTTCCTCTTTTCCTTCTCCCACTGCTCCGTTCTCTTCTCCATCTCCTCCTCATCTCGGTCAGGCATGCAGCTAGCATGACTTGATTCATCGCAACAAGCTTCGTCTCCATTCAAAACCCACCCCTGCGACATGTTTGAGACTGCACAAAAGAAACAGCAGATCCGATTACTTACCACCTGTTAGCCGCCTCTAGTGACCACCCGCGGGCTGTGCAGCGGTTGCCACGCGTCCCCTTGGATCGACACCACTGTGGAATCCAGCTCGCCTCGATAAAACCGAGAACCGAGCAAAGTCGATGTTTTTATAGCGGCGCCACATCCACTGAGCGGAGAGAGATCTGAGCCTGCCCACACCTCAGCAAACCCCGGCTTGGGCTTCTAACTTTAATTCCTCCCTACCTCCTTGACCTTCCACTATTAGGTGGTCAATCATCTGTTATACCCGCCGTTAGCCTTGCCGCTCCCTTATAGGCCCCTGGGCCCCCTTCTCACCTTTTGTCTCCTGCTAGAAGCAGATGTCACCATATCGCAGAATGTCCCGCGCCGGGTCTGAGGTCAAGATGGGAAGACCTTCGATTAGACTCATCTCGTCATACATATTCGACTGGATCGTTCTTATCGTTGTTGCTGCAGTTGGTTATGTCCTCGGTGTCATCACGCCCAACAAGCGGCCCTTTTCTCTGGTGAATCCAGACATCTCGTGAGTTTCATGTCACGTTGATCAGGCTTTGTCTTCGCCCAGTTAGTTAGCTAACAGAAGCACTACCCCAGTTTCCCTTTTACAGAACATGAGACTGTCCCAGACTGGCTGCTCTTCGTCTTGAGCTGCGGTGTCCCTGCCGCCATCATCGTCATTGTCTCCATCATCTTTGTACCTGGAGCAACAGTACCCAAGAACACCCCTGCTTCACTGATATGGAAACGCAAGCTATGGGAGCTTCACACCGGTCTTCTGGGGCTCCTAATGTCCGTTGCCTGTGGCTTCTTCTTCGTCAGCGGTATCAAGAACATGTGTGGCAAGCCTCGACCTGATCTCCTCGCACGATGCCTGCCAGACCTGGAGAACGCATCCAAGTTCCTGATTGGCGGTTTCCAAGGAGAGTCCAAGTTGGGCAACAGCATTGGCCAACTCTATTCGGCAGACATCTGCCAGCAGACCGACAAGGCGAAGCTCAATGACGGCTTCCGAAGCTATCCCAGTGGCCACTCTGCCGCCTCTGCGGGTGGCCTCCTCTATCTCTCACTCTTCCTTGCCAGTAAATTTGCCGTAACCATGCCATTTGTGGCGACGGGCACCTCTTCATCCAGCCACGACGTACATGCTGCATTCCCTTCTCGCCTGGGATCCGCAGTCGAACAATATGACGACGAGGCATCCGCTCCCATGACGGGCAAAGGCGCCAACACAAGCATCGCATATAACTCCAGCGTCCAGTCCTTACGTCGTCAGGCAGCAGCTCCCCCCGTCTATCTCCTGGTCATTACTGTGGCCCCATTCTGCCTCGCCATATTCATAGCAGCCTCCCGCTGGTTTGATTTCCGACATCACGGTTTTGATATTTTGTTTGGCTTTTGCATTGGTGTTTTTACTGCTATCTTCAGCTTTAGGTTTTATCACCTGCCCATTACTGTCGGAGCTGGTTGGGCGTGGGGTCCTCGCAGCCCAGATAGGGCTTTCTGGGCTGGCGTTGGACGACTGGGCTATGTGGGTGAAAAGGATGTTGAGCGTGGGATGACCGTTCCCGCCAATTATGGAGCGTCCACGGATGTCGAGGCGCACGGCGCTTCTCTCTCAGTGCCCGCAGCTATGAGCTACAGGTCTCCGGTTTCGAGGAATGATCCCTACCAGGATGTTGAATTACACAACTTGAATGAGGGGACGAGCCAAGGGGCATAGCACGGGAATTGATTCGAGAGTTTTTAAATGATACCCATCTCCCAGCGGGGAGATTGCACTTAGAAAACATGGGGGAGTACCTCGAAGGAGAAAATAGTCTTTTTGTTTGGTTTATTTGTTTATCTTCTCCCTTTTCGAAGGGTCAAGTATATATCAGGAATGGCTGTGCTCTAATATTAAACATATAAATTCCGTCTACTTGGCTGTAGCACCTCGACGTTCGTGATGAAGTTGAGATGCTTGTAGGTGTGTCCACGAAATTATGTGGCACGGCTGAAAGATGAGATCCAAATGATATAATGTTTCGGCTAGAACAACGTTAATAATCTTTACGGTAAAATGTCCACTGTGCAAGCCATTAGATTGGGACAAGAATCAGGCTAAGCATCAGGTTCATCACAATATTCAAGACAAATACTAATTAGTTTAATGGGCAAAAAATCATTGCGTACATAGAGACTCAAAGCCAGAGCTTGGTTTGTTCCCCCCCGCCGCCGCCGCCAAACGCCTGTCCGTACAACAAAAACAAAGAAAAGGGAGCCTATGTAGAGAGAGGGGGATTGAAAAAAAGTAAGTTGGAATGGCGTAAAGCTGAAGAGGTGAAGAATAGGAGTAACAAGGAGAGCTAGAGTGTGTGTAGGTTGCGTAAAAGCATCATCATCGTGGCTCTCTTGTGTATAAAATTTTCAGTCCTTTCCTCACTTGTCCCATGAAAAAATATTTCCCTTATTCCTTTTTTTTCAAGGTGTGAATTTGTTATTTCTCTTCTTTTCCGTCCCATCTCGCTCACATAGGTCCTTCAATCAGCCTCATGTTGCTGTTGTTTCCATCGACTCCCTCGAATTCGACATCGTCGTCTTCTTCCTCCTCTTCCTCCTCCATCTGCTCCTCTCTGAAGCCAGACTCAATCTCCAGCTTGCGTAGCCTCCTCCGCATGTCATCTCTCTTCAGGTCTTGCCACCGGACGAGGGCGGCGGCGGCGTGTACTTTGAAGCCGTAGACGCGGGGGATGTATCGCTCGATGCTCTTGGAGGGGATGAGCGCCGGGTAGACCTGGAAGATGATGTTGTGGAAGGAGGTGCCGAAGTAGGCACCGTCGATGGAGGCGTGACGAGAAGACTTTGGGTTGTAGAGGTCCTCGCAGCGGGCGCAGTAGAGTTTGACTGGTTTGAGGTTGGGGATATCGGAGAGGCCCATGGGGAGGAGGGGATGGGAGTGGCAGTTGACGCGAGGGCATTTTCCAAACTCGGCCTTTTTGTACTTGTCGAGCTGTTTCAAGGAACCGTCGGTTAGCGTCGATCGGATTTGTAGACGGGAATATGAGAAAAAAGGGGGGAGTGATACCATTTTTGTCAGGCCGCGTGTTGTGACAATGTATCGCGCGTGCACCAGGCCGTACAGGTGCCTGGCCGAGCTCTCAATGGTCTCGCGCATATCATCGTCGCAGTCGAGGTCGAAGACATCCGTCACCAGATCGAGCGCATACTGGTAGTACTGGACCTCGGTGTTGAGACCAGTCAGGTTGAAGCGATCCGTCAGGTAATCTTCGTCGATCTCGCAAAAGTATTCGTTGCCTCTAGATGAGATGAACTGCGTAGGGCAGCGCGTTAGCTTTGTGTCTGTTTTCTTTCGTCTGAAGTGCCTTTTTTATCCTATTTTCGTAGTTTGGTATCACAATGGCATCGCGTCTTTCTCTCTGTGGCTTTGGACATACACCAGCAGGGGTTTATTGCTGCCCATAGAGCGTTGCATTGGGCTACGGATGGGAGGGAAGGGAAGGGAAGGGAAGGGAAGGGATAGATGGAGGGCGGATAGACAAGCTACAGAGACGCAAAGGCAACTCACCCAGTCCCGCCAATAGCTGGTGTAGTCACTATCGGACTCGCTCACGTAGTCATCCATCGTAGACACACGAGAAGCAGAGATGAAGAAGAAAAAGCAGAAGCAGAAGAGATTGAAGCTGCGGAAGGTAGACGAGGCTGCAGCACCAGGCAGCAAGCGTCAAGGGCGGAGAAAAGCCGGTCGGTACGAGACAATAATCGCAGAGTCAGACCGCGATTATGCCCGTGAGGCGAGGGCGAGAGGATTCGATATTTCCCGGGGCAGAGTCGCGCGGATGCGAGGGCAAAGAATAAAGGTCGTGAGTATCTCGACTTTTGGGAGCGGATGGCGGTTGGCGGTTGATGGTGGGGGTGCGGGATTGTTTCTTGGGCGATAACGTGACTGGACCAGTTGCTAGTGGCCAGTGCTAACAAAGAGAGGCCTGGGCTGGCTAATCTGTATGGCTGCGATAACGCTGTAACTAATGAGCTGCGGTTAGGAGAGGACAATTGATTCACCCGTGTTATTACCATCTCAGATATATGAAAAGAAAAGAAATTAAAAATCATCTGATTCTCTATTTAGGCATTCATAAGTCTAAACCAGCACTTACGGATACGGCCTTTCCCCAATACTGATTAAGGCCCGTGTAGCCGCCATAACACAACATGAAGCTCACGCAAGGGACAAGGGACAAGGAGCATCCCAGCTCATGAATGACTCTTGGAGCTCTCATCTAGCCTAAGTAGGTCTCATAATAGACCAAGTACGACTTGGTTTGTCAAGAAAGGTGGCAATATATACACTAGAATGTATATCCTTTATACATCTCGTCAGGCTGTTGCTCTTTTTTACCTTCTTTACCCAAAACAATCCCGCATCTCATCCGTTTCGCCAATTCAAGCCCATAAACACGACAGCCATCTAAGAAAATAAAAAGCGAACAAGAAACAACTCAACAAATACTCCCATCATCGTAATGATCAATATCCATCTCATGCATGCACCCATCAGCGCCCCTGTGTGCGCTTTCATCTCATCATTCATCCGTCCAACGGACTAATAGTCGAACCCATGCTGCTGGCGTCACTGGGGGACCGTATATCAGATCCCGTTTCGTCGTCGCTGCCATTCTTGTTACGTCCATTGGTAATAAATCCCAGCCCCGTTACCGGGAGCTCAAGTCTGCTTGAGATACCATCTTGGTTGGACACCTGCGTCACATTGGCCATCTTCATGGCTTCTTTGAGAATCTCTCCGGTTTCATCCATGGCGGCTAGGAATCTTGCGAGTTCTTTACACAGTTCCCAATCGCCTTCTCTAATTGCTCTTGTCAAGACCCGGACAGACTGCTCTAGGGAAGCGTCCAACTCATCCAGCGTATGAAGGATGATGAGATATCCACCCGCCGTCTTGAGTGAGCCTCTTTGCAGTGATTCTTCAAACAACTCTTGCGCTGGGGGGAGATAGGCAAAGAGCGTCTTCCATTGCCGGACTTCCGTTTTTCTTGTGCACTGTAACACGATGTCAAGGTACTCCTTAGAAGATGACAGTAGAGACAAGACACGCGGCAAGACAGCATCTTCCGGCTTCGGCGATGTGTCTGCCTCTTCATCCAGCACACGATGAAGTAGCACCTCCAGTCCATGAGAGAAATACTCCAGCCCTTCGTATTGCTGAGATAAGTTTGCCGCTTCGACCGTCATGTTGTTGCCAAGATAGAACCGCAGCACATCTGGTAGAACGAGGTGTGTCTGCAGAAAAACGATGTGTTAGTAATGCAGCTGTTATAATTACCGGAGCATTGTTAACTTACCCTGATTGCGAAGTGAAAGAAGGAAAAGTTCACATCGCGTCGCTGCACCAGATCTGACTCTACACCAAGAACAATGCCCTTTTCCAGCAAGATAGACAATGGGTAAAAGTCGACGTCTACGGACACCGGTGCTGGCAACTCTCTCCCGCCGCCATCTCCACTCGCTGCCATCAAAAGCTCGTTGATATCGGCCCATGCTTTAATCTCTATGCCGTCAAAAAGCCACAGGGAATCGCGGAGAGCTGGTGGTCCATACCGCTGCTGGGTATCTTCAAGGGAGTGGCTGACGTTTAGAGGCGGCTGGTCTCGCATGTTCACATGATACTCTACGTTCTGTGCAATGATGCGCATATCGTACTTGAGTTGGCCCTCTTCGTTGAGTGACGGGCTCAGTAATACTAGCTTGCCATCGACGAGGAAGAGAACCGATGCAACAGCCACATCCTGGGAAGGATCTCCGTCGCTGAGCTGGTTGTCTGGTAAGATCCAGCTAAGTCCTCGGACTCTGGCAGGGGACCGTACAATTCCGTGAAATGCAATCTGGCCCACCTGGACGAGACGAACTGACCCGGTCGTCGGGACAAAAATGTAGTGGTACAAGAGATTCTCGTAGGTATAGACAAGGAGGGAATCCTCACCGGATGCTGTGATTAGAACCACAGGAGCAGGTAAACGCTCGGTGTGCAGGATATGGGAGTTGTCCAGCGCCGCCTCGCGTGAGTACAGCCGCAGCTCAAACGTCCTGTTATCTTCTATTGCGGCAACCAGTATATGCTGGTACCAACACATGCCTCCCCGGACCGCGAAGGCGTTTTCCATCGCCTCGTCAGTAAATGTTTTCCATCGTCCGCTGTTGACGCTGTAGTGGGCCAATCCCCGGCGACCAGCGACCGCAACATAGCGTCCATCTGGGGAAATGACTGTTTGGCGGATGGGCCACTGATTAAGAAGGTATGATGATGGAATTCTTGAAGTATGCCATAAAAAGGGTTCGGCCGATATGCTGGTCAAGTCAGGGAGGTCATAGCCTCGATATATCATGACACTAGTCGGCGTCTGTAGGACTGTGCGAAAGACATTGGCCTCGTTGTAACAGCCAGTGATGGCATTTCTGGCCATCTCAAGCGACCATACGGCTTCGTGCCGCCGCCCTATTAGGAGAATCTCGGAACCGCCACTGGCCCAGACTGCGCCCTTGACCCCTGAAAGCCAGTGTTCGCCATTCAGAGTCGATATGCTCGGTTCCGCTCCAAAACTGTTGCTTCCTAGCTTGCCAAACATACTCCAGGTAGACCATCCTTTTTCGAAGCCCGCAAAGAGGCAGTATCCGTCGGGAGAGTACGTCAGGGTCGTAAAAGAACCA